AGGATCCTTGAAGTCAACGAAATTAGAACCTTGAATAATGATTGGTTCACAGTGAAAGTAAATTGATAAAAGTGGTGTTCTACTCTCATTCCTATTATTAAATGTGATCTTGGTATGTAATTGGTGATCTTGATATACATTTTGCATTTATTTTATAACGTTGAAAGGGAGTTAGACACAGTAAGTTCTTTAAAAGTTTCTTAAATTATTTTATCTGTCTCGCCTGTTATTGAGCCAATATATATAAATAGTTATATAATAAACATAATTATAATTAATAATAATAAACATATTTGGACACGTATAATGTCTATGATAAATATGACTGCAGAAATAACTTGTAATTTCAAATTTAATATTTGCATAATATAAAATATTATCTATTATATCAATCTAAATTCAGTATTTAAGTTTGGGTACCATACTCAATTCTTGTTTTTAAATTTTTATTGCTTATTCTATACATTCAGTGCCGGTCTTCGGCATTTATGCCTGCGGGCAATGACGTCATCCTGCCTATTATAAATATATTTTTTAAGTTATTTTATATTATGAAATATTTGAGTTTTATATGATAAAAGCCGAAAAGTTTATCCAAATAACTGGATCTGCGTAGAAGGGAAATCGTTTCCAAATGTGGAAAAATTCAAATACTTCGACTCCACAATAACCTCAAAGAATAATCAAGGTCGGGAATAGATCAGCGTATAACTAGCCCAAACAGAGCGTTCTTCTCCCTCTCAAAGATATTGAAATCCTGTCAAATCTCAAATCAAGGTTTCTCAATGCTCTGACAAAGCCAGTTAGGATATATGGATGAGAGACCTGGACACTGACCAGCGCCCTAGAAAAAAGTATGATAGATTTGAGAGGAAAACCCTCCCCACGATAACCGGAAAGATCTGGGATCAGAGAACTACTTACACATGGAGAAGAAAGACCAATAAAGAGCTGTTTACAGAAACTGGTCGTAACCATAATAATATAAAACCATGTCTTATGATATAATATTAAAAAATTATCTCTTAAAGTATTATTACTCATGTAATTACATTTATTAGGACTCCAAAAATCACTAATAAAGTAATTATCGTTATTAAATAAAAAAGTTAAATCCTGGATCCGTAAGTGAATAGAGATGTATGCAGTAACTGGAATGAAATAGCCCATGAAATTTAGAAGATGCCAACAGAAAAGTACATTTACTGTATTTTTTAAATTCACTTTATTAATAGACTGAAAGTGATTATTTTAATGCTTTATATATATATATATATATATATATATATATATATATATATAATTCACTTTATTAATAGACTGAAAGTGATTATTTTAATGCTTTATATATATATATATATATATATATATATATATATATATATATATATATATATATATATATATACATATACATATACATATACATATACAGGGTGTTTCAGGGTTAACTAGCCAAACTGAAAATATGAATTAAGGACCACAAAACAAGAAAAAAAATTCCTATGAAGGTATGTCCGCAAACGCTTTGTTTAGAAGATATTCACACATAAAGATTTTCGTTGTTATGAATTATTTACGTTATATTAGGTAAATAAAACTTATTTATTTGTTCCAAATACTTTATTAATCAAACGTAAACAATAAATTCATTTTAAATGTTGTTTTAAGTGATTTCCTTGAGCATTAAGATAGGCTCGGCATCTTTCTTCAACAGATGCTGTTTAAGAACGGCTCTGGATGTGTATTATTGTTTCACAAGATTCAATTATGCTTCTTCGTAAGGAATTAAGGTCATTGACCAGAATTATTGTTTAATGTTACCCTAAACAAAAATCCATTTGTGTCAGGTCTGGAGTGCCTGCAGTCCAAGCCACTGGTCCTGCACGACCAATCCATTGATTGGGATAATTAACATTTAGCCATTGTCATGGACCTCTTCCGTAATGTGCAGGATATCCATCTAAGTAAAGGCACATGTCCCTTCTCAGTTGTAGTGAAATATGTTCAACTAAATCATAGTAATCATTATTAAGAAATTCCAGAAATTTGACCGCATTATGTTGAGGCGGCAAAAAATGTCGACATATTAAAATATTATTTATTATCCCCAACAACACGTTGCTCTGAAATGCTGCTGAAAACGATGCTCACGAATTGCATAGGGACTTTTCTGCGACCAGAAATGATTATTTTTACTTTCACTTACTTATATATGAAATATATAGTAAGGGACAGTATTGCGATCGAGAAAATTTTCGAATCTGGGTTTCAAATGGAAATATATGTTTTGAGGTCTCCTGAATCCAAAGAACCAAGTCCCACAAAATGGTCTGTGTGTGTGTGAACAGTCTAGCTCAAAATTGGACAGCCCTATGAAAGTGAAATTGCATATTTAAGGTATTTATATATCTCAGGTGTTTCAGAAACTTTTTGGTCAAAATCGGCTAACCTGAAGTGCAACTTTATATCAACGGTGAAACACATGTTTCTCAAAAATGGCTCTAACGATTTTGATTAAACTCGGTGTATCATTATATTATTAAGTAGACTTTCATTTAGGAATTAATTTCCATTGATGTTACAGGGCTTAAATGCCTAATGTTCATATACATCTTCCTCTAAAGTACCTTTAATATGGTTTATTTTAAAATATCAACTATCTCTCATTAAAATAAAAAGTAACTATAAAAAATGGCTCAATATGAATTTTGAAAGAACGTGATAATTAGAAACTAGAGAAAAAAAAAAAGAAAATGGTTATCCAGGTCGAAAATGAATCACCGGAAATAATATTCAGAAGGTGTAATACGTACAGATACGTATAATATATTGTTGGAAAGTCCAGAATTTCAGATAAAAAAACAAAACAATATCACTTAAATAAAGACTTAGAAGAAGGAAGTGGAGCGTGACGAAAAAAATATAAATGATAATTTCAGAAAACTAACATTATTTAACGTAAATCACATGTTTCCAAGGAAATTAAAGGAAATTTCCTTACTAAATGTAAACTTTTAAATGTTTTCTAAGTAAAAAATCTGGTGCGCGCAACACAACTTTCACTTACCGCTCAACTTTGAATAGAAATTATTTTCTGGCCATGTTGGGTTATTATAAAATTTTTGAATTACATTTTTACTGTAAGATAGCAGCTAACAAATCATAAATACTATTAAAATAACAAAAGTCCTATTTATTATATCACCGGTTGATTATGGATTGTACGATTCGTTGATTATGGATTGTACAACTATTAGTTATTAAACTATTGTTTTCCATTACAAAGTTTATTAAAACGGAATTAAGAGATTTTCATTGTCTGTCATAGACAGGTCAAAAGTTGTCACACTAATTGTAAGTGGATTCTGTTGGAATATCGCAAAGGAAAAATTTATCAAATTATTCACTAATTTAATTTTCTAAAAGGTTACATAATGATTTTTCGGAATAAACGGACGATAGACACCTAATTATCTAAAAATAATGTCAGATCTAGAGTTATTAAACTACAGTAAATATATCTAAGGTTATAAACGTATCCATGAAATATTTTTATATTTCACTTCTTCTTTCACACAAGTACAATGAAATAGTATCTTAAACAATGCCATTGCCTTTAATCCGTGGGTTTCAAATACTTTTTCAAACATTAAAAAAAAATTAAAAGTTTACATTTAGTAAGAAAATTTCATTTAATTTCCTTGAAAACATGTTACTATTTTTTTTTTCCAATCTTCGTTACCTTCTACAACTTTCTATATTAGATATTGTTTTTTCTAAAATTCTCCGCTTTCCAACGATATATTGTACGTATATTTTCTGACTAGTATTTCCGGAGATTCATTTTCGACCTGTATAAGTATTTTTATTTTTTTCTCCTTTATTTAATTATCAAATTCTTCCAATAGTTATATTTAGCATTTTTCCATAACTCCTAACAATGATAAATAGTTATTATTTATAATAAACCAAATTAAAGATTCTTTAGAGAAATATATGATAATGACGGGATTTCAGAAAGGGAAAATTCACTAATTTAATTTTCTAAAAAGTTATATGACAATTTTTCGGAATAAACGTTTATATTTAATTTCCTTGAAAACATGTGATTGGCATTTAAGCCCTGTAAAGTGACATCAACGACCACTTAATTTTACAATGATACACTACCGAATCCAGAATTTAATTTTTGGGGAGCTTCAGGCCGATAGAATTTTTTTTTTTTCATAAAAATAACGATACTTTGGAAAAAAAAGAAAGAAACTAACTACCTATATGAAATGGTGTTTAAGTGATTCCTAAAGCCCTTTTAAATGAAATTACACGAACAATAACACTTCGAGAGACAATTTTTCAATATGTTTTTGTGGTTTTAATAAGTTTTTAATATGAGGTTATATTTTCCTATTTTGTGGGGGACTTTAGCCCGAAAGCCTCCCTCCCCCCTCCCGTAGTTCCGCCTGTGCAATGATACACCGAGTTCAATCAAAATCGTTAGAGCCATTTTTGAGAAAATTGTAAAAATGTGTTTCAGCGTAGATATAAAGTGGCTCTTCCGGTTAGCCGATTTTAAGAAAAAAATTGCTAGGACATCTAAGGCATATATCTATCTTAAATACGTAATATCAGTTTCGTAAGACTTTTCGTTTTCGAGCTAGAGTGTTCACAGACCGTTTTTCCGGACTTGGTTTTTTGGACTCAGGGGACTTCAAAACGTGTATTTTCTACGTGTGGATCTCAAAACTCAGATTCAAAAAGTTTCACGATTGCAATACTTACACTTACTGTGTATTACATATATAGGTAAGTGAAAGTAAAAATATTTTGAACATACGTAATAAATTAATTTAATTTTGTTTATGAAATGGCAATTTTCTTACTTCGGGAATCTTATTTTTCTTTTTTGATAATATTTTTTAGTTTTTTCTGGAAACATTCTTTTGAGGACCCTAAATTTTCAACCGCCAGAGCCTCCAGTTGTCTGGGTCATGTCTCGTTTCAATTCCTATGATCGTGATCTAGGAACCATTATGGTGAATTTCTTGTAGTTAGGCAACTGGACGGAAGATAGCAGGCCATTATCAGACCTCGTGAACCTCAAGAGGTTTCACATCCTTCAGATATATGTTAGGGAAGGGTGGGGTTCCTTCATGCTAGTCGGTTCTTAGTTCCCGTTTCCTAGTCCTCGTCCGTTCGGGAATTTCGTAACATTATTTTGTAATTTCTTCAATTTCTCTAATATCTTTAGTATTCACTAATTCATTGTTAAAACTGCAATGGGCTTAAACAATTGTAAAGGTGAATATACTTTATTGATTAAACATTTTTTAGGTAATTTTTAATTAGTTTTCTGAAAATTACGAGAGTTGGATTATATCTTTCATATGTTTGCTGTCCCAGTTTAAAAGTCTATTATTTTCATGTTGTCAAGACTAATTCAGACATTCTCTGTTGTCAGGCTGTTAAAAAGCTTATCTATATATAGTATAGGTAAGGAAGGTACTTTTATCTTAAAATTAGAAAATAAATTTGTACTATTTTATTGGTCATTTTTATTTATTTCCCCTCATTAACAATGTTTTAAGCAGTATTTTCTATTAAATATTCAATGATCTCTATCATATGTTTTTATAATCTGATGTACATTTATCCATACCTATTTCATTAAACCACCAAGGACTCCAGATATAATGGACAGCTGTAAATGTAAATCTAAAAGTAAATGTTGAAACCCTATAATACTCTTACATTAGATTAAATAATATGAGTAGCTTAGCTTATCAAAGCAAATGATACAGTTTTTGAAAAGAGGAAATTGTTTTGATTGTGCGCTACAATATGGTGTCATGGTTCCCACACCCCTGCAATGGTGTATTTGTATATTTAAATACACTTTGTAATAAATTTCAATCAATATGAATAGTACTGGGTTATAAAAAATTTTCAATTTGCTTGGTAGAGATTGTTTTGAAGCTAAACTACTCATATAGTTGTTGCGATAAAGGGAATCACCTCTCTCTTATTTTAATTATTATATTTAATTGGATATTTTATGTCAATATTATTGGAACATGAAAACTCATATGGAGGAGATCTGAAAAGATTATATCTAAATAATAAAATGTAAATATTGAGTTATTTTCTTTTAAAGTATTTTTCAAGATCGTTGAAGAATCAGTCATAAAAGAAAATTATGAAAATAATAATTAGAATGTATTTGATGTTCCATTTTTGATCAACTCCCACACCATCTCTTTATTGAATTATTAAATGGTCAATTACCCACAAAATGTATTTTTACTCCAAAAATTCTAGTAAAGTAATATTTTTATTCTCAATGCTATACTTAAGCATGAGATTGTTGTAACAATTTTGAAAAATACTACATGATTATTGTTGCAGTGTTAATAACTAATTTTATACTTGGATGATTTTCCAATTAAGCGCATAGTATTATTTTCTTAACTCAACCCAATTCCAAACTACTAGGAGCCCACCCCTTCTGACTACCTCAATTTATATTAGGATGTGATCTTCCTACCTTCTGTACAGTCTACAGATACAGTGTGCACTGTTGCAATCCATGTTTACTTCATGGTGGTTGTAGGTTTATTCCCATTGCACATTACTTTTGTGTATTTCTATATTATATAACTATATTAAATTCATTCCTTGTCTCTAAAGTGTAAATTTTGAAGTGTTTCCAAGTGAGTACTGTTTGTTTAAGAAAATGGCTATCACATAAATTACTTTAATAATCACTATTTTATATCTTACATTGTTTTAACTTTTATATTTAACCAGATTGTTGATATGCCTATTTCATTGAAGTTTTTATGTCTAATATTTGCTTGTATTGTATGGCTGAATGAGTAAAGTAAATATGGATGAAAAAAGTAATTTCAGTGTTGAATCCTTAAAGTAATATTGTTCAGACAAGTATATTTGTCTTCTTTAGATTTTCACAAAAGATCACTTGGCAATTAGCTAGTCATAGCACAAGTAGAGTTATAGTTTAATTTGTTTGAACTTACCCATTTTACTATTCATAAAATTATTAATCATTTATAAACTGTGATTCTTTTCAAATTTTTTTTCTACAAGTTATAACATAGAATCTGACTACGAAATAGAGGTAGTGTTCTGCTATGTTAACTAGTTCATTGCATTAAATTGACTACAAATTATATCATTGTTGATAGTCTTTGTGCCTAATTTGTATCAATAGTCCAGAGAAGTCTAAATAGTCAATTGTATTAAAATAATTTAAAACAAATTTTGTGGATTCATATTTTATTAGATATCAATATTTCTGCCTTCCAGCCATTAATGGATGCCTTTATCTGAGAACAGGAAATTGCATACCTCTTGGTATGTGTTCAGTGTGTAACCTAAGATCATAATCAGTTTCAGTCAAATGTGTGATTGTAAATTGATGTTTATAATGTATGTCAGTAGGCGTATGGTGAAGCATCTGTTAGTCTTTTAGTTATTGTTTGTATATTTCATTCAACTAGGAAGTTATATAGCAATTTTTTAACTGCTTCAAGATTTAACATAAATTTATCGATCTTTTATCATCAAGAAAACATTTTAGAGGGAATACAATTTTGTATTTTGGAAGTATTAACCAATGAAAACTGAGCTGAGCTATATTTTTAATTATTTTAAAGCACACTTTTGTCTCTTCAATGTGTGTATAAAGTACATATATTAATCAATACTTATATTCATAAAAACTTTCATTTATTTTCTATTGCAGATAAAGCTATGGCTAATGAATATGTTGAGGACATAGTCTGCCAGGAATCTGAAGTACCGGATAATGGGTATGTACTGACATTGGTTTATTTGTTTGTTGAAATTTTTTTTTATATTCTGTAGATAAAATATGAATAGAAAGTCCCCCTGGCTATAGCTGTGTTTCTAAACTCCATACACCTGTGGCCAATCAGAATTAAAGCTACATAATTGTTTCTAAAACCTACAATTTGGAGAAAATCAGCTTCAAGAAGATATAAAAAAATTTCATTTCATTAAAATATTTTGTCATAATTTATTAATTTTGCTGGTGCTTAAGGAGGAAACTATATATTAAACATAATGGGACACTAAACTAAAAACTAAAAATTAATTATTTTTTATCTATAAAGATTTTTGATTCTTTTGATCAAAGTTTCATATGTATAAGTATATATATATTGTAGATTGAAATATATACAGGGTGTTCCGTAAGTAGAGGGAAATTTTCATAGGAGTGATAGCAGACCTTAAGGAGCTACAAAAAAGTTAACATAAACAATGGACTAATTTTCAGGAGGAAAGTAGCAAATCCAAGATTTGTGTTTTTTAAAGTCACGATTTTTGTTGAATAGAAAGAAATAACTAAAAAAAAATTAATTTTGAATAAAATTTATTTAAAATTAAAGTACAGTTTGGCATTGTTAAAACCATTTGGACTTTTGAGCAGATTTATATATGTGTATATATATATATATATATATATATATATATATATATATATATATACATATACATATATATATATATATATATATATATATATATATATATATATTTTTTTTTTTTTTTTGTTCTTCCCTTCCTCGCCATTTAGGCTATATGGGGATTTTCCCAAGCCAAGGAGTGAGGGAGGGGGATTAAAAGACCCCTCTGCACCAGGATGCAAACTCCTATTTAGTCTCCCTCCTATCATCTGTAAATTGGTTTTCAGATTGCCGGGCAACGCATGGTGCTTTGCACATACATTAGCCTTCTTGGCCACCCAAAAGTCCTCTTTTTTAAATGTTTTAACAATGACAAACTATACTTTAATTTAAAGTAAATTTTGTTTAGTTTGCTGAGGAGCAATTGTTAATTGTATAAATTAAATTTTTTTTTGTTATTGCTTCCTATTTAACAAAAGACGTATCTTATTTAATAAAAACACAAACCTTGGATTTCCTACTTTTTGCTGAAAATTGGCCCATTGTTTTTATAAAATTTCTCTCTACTTAAGGAAATTTATATATGTGTGGATGGGTTACAGAAATATAAAGGGTTAAAAAGATATTTAAACATGTGTAAAATTGAGCTTGAAAAAAATTTGTGAAAATAAACTTAATATCTTATAATTCCAATATTACTATTATTAATTTTTTTGTTTATAGAATGAAAGTTTGTGATCTTGGTTCTGATGGAGGAAAAGTATTGTTGGTTAAGCAAAAGGGCGAAATTTTTGCCGTTGGCACTAAATGTTCACATTATGGTGCTCCGCTTGCTAATGGTGCTCTTGGAAATGGACGCGTACGATGTCCTTGGCATGGTGCATGCTTTAATATCAAGACAGGTTTATATTATCTATAATTTTCATTACTTATTTTTAAAATAATATCTTATTATTAAATTGTGAAATCATCTTTTAGGAGATATTGAAGATTTTCCAGGGCTTGATAGTATACCATGTTATTCGGTTGAAGTCATAGAGGGTGGTGGTGTCAAGGTCAGAGCCCGTAAACATGATCTTGAAAAAAATAAACGAATGAAAAATATGGTTGCAAAGTCTCCCAGTAACAACAACACATTTATAATTGTTGGGGGAGGTATGTATTGATGAGTAAATTATTTATATTTGATTTTAACATAACTAGACAATCTACAATAGCGACCATGATTTTTACAATCCTAAAGTATATTGTAAATCTGTTTATGTACCCTTGACTGGTTCATTTGGGACATTTGTCCTTAAAATTTCTAAACCTTTGTTTTCTAATTGCTACTTCCAGATCTTCAGCTGGTTTTTGCCCATTTTCCATTGATAACTCAATGTATGTTCAAATTTAAAAAACATTAGATTTTCTTAACTGTTAATTTAGTGTTTAATATGCTAGAAGGAGGAGCAGCTGCTTTTAAAGTGCTCGAACTTGGAGGCGTATTTGGGTCCCTAAACTTAAAAATATTACAATAAATTTTTATGTCACTCATACTCCACCCCATATAAAAAGAAACGTCCTATTATTTTTGTCTATGCCTCAGAGCTACAGATAAAAAACTGGGACAGTTTTAAAAATTTCACTAATTTTTGCCGATATCTCAGAACACTCTCAGCAATTTTGTTTGGAAACATCAAGTTCTTATTTGGCACCTCAAAGCAAACATGGAGCCGTTGAGAAACTATTTGAATTTTTTCCATGTGCGACTATTATTTAACTAGTTAATGACTTTGGCGCCGTCAGTTTTTAAAAAGCAATCAGGTACGCCATCATTCTTAGTGAATTGTTTTTTGAGACTCATAATATGCATCCTATCAAAATTTGAGCCTTCAGTTTTCTAATTAATTGGACTGTCAATTCAAAATTTAATATGCAAAGTAACTCTTTTCAACCAACTGACCGAAGTTGTGTTCAGATGAGGAATATCTAGAATTTGAAATGGTATAGCTGTAAGTTATTTCGTTGATAGAATCATCTAGTCTAGGTTGTTCCTAGTCCAAAGAAAAGTTGCCTCACTCGTAAGATTGCCAAAATGAAAGTATTTTTCTAAAACTTATTTTCTTCTTTTGTTCAATTGATTCAGAGGTTGGCAATAAAAACTTACATAAGTTCAAACAAATTTTTTATTTGTTACATCTTAATTATAGTTAAAATTTCAGAACCTTTTTTCCATCATCAGAACTATCCTCACAATTCATTTATATCAATTTCTAAAATAAAAGTATTATTATTAATAGACAAACCCTTAGTGGTTAATGCAGATATCCTATTGTTAATCAAGTGATGTAGTAGCTCTGGATATATATGTTTCTACTTCTTCAATTACTTTAAGGAGACAAATAATGATAGCAATTAAAATGTTTAGGTAGATAAAAAATTCAATGTTGATATCAACAATAATCATTGTTTCATCATTCATCATTGGTTCTACATTCCTCCTTTCAACTTTTTACTGAACTGAATTCAAGCATATTTGTTGTAATCAAAGAAATGGCATAACGTATAATATATATAACAGAATAAGAATATGAAGATCATAAAGTTAGCTAAAAAAAAATTCTCATAAAAAATATCACCATTTTTGTAACTATTCTTATTTTATTTTACTTACTGATCAAAATTCATTGCGTTGTTTGAAAAATTACAAATTTTCACTGAAGTTAAGAAGTATTAAGGAATCTATCTATGTCTATTTAATTGAAAATATCTATTAGAGGGCTTATTAACAAAATGTTTCAAGTATAAGATGATTAATAGACCTTAAACATTATTTTTTTTTTCATTTGTTCCTTTGATATTTAAAATGTGGAAAGTGTACTTTTCTCTATGAATTGTGTTTATTGCGGTAGAAATAATGTCATTTTTAAATTGTAAGCACCGACTTTGATTGAGCAGTATTAATGTCTTATAAGTTTTAATTTTCATTGGGTTCTAATAAGAAAAAATAGAAACTATTGTGAAATGATTTAAATGCATTTACATTTGTTTTTGAATCAGGAGCTGCTGGTCAAGTTTGTGCTGAAACGTTACGACAAGAAGGTTTTTCTGGAAAGTTGATTATGATTTGTGCTGAAAAATATTCTCCATATGACAGAATAAAACTTAGTAAACAGCTTGATCTGGGTATTGATAAAATACAGCTAAGGCCAAATACATTTTACAACGTAAGTATAAGATAATTATATTTCCAAAGTTTAAAATTTATTAATGTAAATTATCTGAAGTATAAAGAAAGTGCTGAAAATTGGAATTTGTGAAAGATAAGAGTATTCCCACACACAGTAGTGTTATTTTTTTTTTTTTTTTGGACTAACATATATCTATCCGCACCTGTCAATTATGATTGACAATCAGCAGATGTGCTGGCTTAGTAATGAGAGAAAAAAAAATAATAATAATAATAATAAATAAATAAAAAGGCTTGATAGGCATGAGGAATAGCAATACCCAGCGGTATCCCTTCCATGGCTTTTACTTATTATAACATTATTTCAGCAGATCCCTCATCCAGACCCTTTTCAGTCGTCTTCTGGAGTTCTCGGGCATACTAGTTGTGGCCATTTCTTTTACCAGCTGGTTGGAGTGTCCGTTTAACATGTTATGAAATCGTTTGTAGTACGTTCGTATGTGTTCGTTAACTGTCGGAACGTGTAAGTCAGTGTGTAAAGTGTGGTTGTTTACGTACCATGGTGCTTGAGTGATTAGTCGTAGTATCTTAGACTGAAAAGTTTGAAGTCTTTTTATGTGAGTTGGTTTTGCAATTCCGTATATTTGTAGTCCGTAAGTCCAAAGAGGTTTTAAAAGATATGTGTAAATACTTAGTTTCTGTCTTGCTTTTAATTTGGAATGTCGTCTTAACAGTGAATGTAACAATTTTAGTCTTAGATTTAATGTGATTCGTTTTTTCTTCACATGTGGACCCCATGTCATTCTCCTATCGAACGTAAGGCCTAAGTATTGTACTCTGTCTGTTTGTGGAATTGGTACATTGTCTATGTATACAGGAGGGCATGTTTCTGGTCTTAGAGTAAATGTGATGTGCTGTGACTTTTGATAATTTATTTGAGTTTTCCAAAGTTTACACCAATCGAGTATAATCTGTAAGTGATGTTGTAAGTTAAGGGATGCTTCTGTAGGATTGTCGTGCCTGGTAATGATAGCAGTGTCGTCTGCGTAGGTTGCTGTAAGAGTGTGGATACTTTGAGGAATGTCGTGTGTATATGTGATGTACAGTAGTGGGGCAAGGATTGATCCCTGAGGTACGCCAGCTAAAACTGATCGAATTGAGGATAGACCTTGACCATGTCGAACGGAGAAAAATCTATCTGAGAGAAAGGAATGGAGAATTAAGTAGTAAGTATGTGGAAGTATGGTCTTAAGCTTGAAGAGAAGCCCCTGATGCCATACTTTGTCAAACGCTTGGGCGACATCCAGAAATACTCCGGTTGCATATAGTTTTCGCTCTAGTGCTGTCGATATGTAGTCAGTTACCCTGTGTAATTGTTGTGTTGTTGAATGTAATTTTCTAAACCCGAATTGATGGTCAGGAATAATCTGTCTGTCTGTTAGTATATGTAATAGTCGTGGGTACAACAGTTTTTCGAATAACTTAGAACATACTGGAAGTAAACTAATCGGTCGATATGAAGAAGGATTGTTAGTGTCTTTGTCTGGCTTTTTAATCATGGTTATGTGTGAGTATTTCCATTGTATAGGAAATTTGGTGGTCCTGAGAATGCAATTGAAGATTGTGGTAAGAAACACTAGAGCTTTCCTTGGCATTTGCTGGAGCGCCTCAGCAGTTATCAAGTCATGACCAGGGGTTTTTCTTTTGGGCAATTGTCTAATTTCTTGTGCAACTTGTGATGGTGTGAAAGGAGGTGGTGGTAGTGTGAGCTGTAACGGTATGTCTAAGTTATTATGTACAAAAATATCGTGTTCTGTATTAATTAAGTCTGTATGTGGTTTGAAAACAGTGGAAAGGTGGTTAGCAAAGAGTTCAGATCTTTCCTCGTCCGAAACAGCCCAAGAACCATCCTCTCTTCGTAGGGGTGCTGACACCTCACGATGCTTTAAAAGATTCCTTGTATGTCTCCATAAACTTCCATCGTCCGTCGAAAGGTTGTTAATAAAATTGTCGTAGTTTGTGCTTTTGAATTTTTGAATATGTCTTTTGAGTTCGTTGTTCAATCTGTTAAAAGTTTGTCTGTCTGAAGGAAGTCTATTAGTCTGCCATACTTTACGTGCTTTTCTCTTTGCTCTGATCAAGTCCCTTATGTACATAGGATAATGGGGCAAGTTCGCTGCTTTTTGTGGCCTGGATGTTGATGAGGCCCATGCTGCATCTTGTATGCTTTTTGTGAATTTTTCAACAGCTTCTTCTAATTCCTCATGATTTTTAATTGAACCTGGAACAGAAAGATTGGTGTTCAAATGGTCTCTATATGCGTCCCAGTCCATGCAGCCTTTTATGAGCCTAGGTCTTTTTTCTGCTTCGGAAGGCGCGTCGAAGAGAACCATGTGCACTGAGGAGTGATCAGAACAAAGATCAGAGCTTGTATTGACGGCAAATGGTACGGTTCTTAGTCCTTTTGTTATAAAGAAATCAAGTAAGTCAGGAGTTTTGCGTCTGGAGGTGGGCCAATAAGTTGGTGAATTTGGAGTTACAGTGTCTAATGAAAGTTCATGGAGAACAGACCAGAGATTTCTGCCTCTTGGAGTAGACAACCTTGAACCCCAGCCTTGATGCTTAGCATTATAGTCTCCACCTGCGATGAAGCATCTTCCGAGGCGTTTGAAGAACTCAGAAAACATCGTGGGTGTAAGCTTGTACCTAGGGGGACAGTAAACTGAGGCAAATGTTATAGTATAGTGTTTAGTGTATAGTGTTATTCCTGTCGATTGTATGTCGGGTGTAATGGGTAAATCTACGGGATTGTGTTTCAGTGAATTTTTAACGAGTATAGCTGTTCCTCCATGTGCGGTTTTATCTGGGTGATCAGTTCTATAAATTGTGTAATCCTGAATGTAAATTTTTGATCGAGATGTCAGGTGTGTTTCTGTAATGAGTGCTACGTCGATCCGTTTTTCGTGCAAGTATAAGTCGAGTTCAGTACTGTGCTGTTTCAGTCCGTTGGCATTCCATAGAAGAACTGACAAGGAGCCTACAGTTAAATTATTGTGGGCCATAATTTGGGCACCAGACCTGTGTAACCTGTGACAGTTGTTGAAGAAGAATGAAAAGGGGCTGGATTAGGTTATTTAATCCATTAATTATATTAAATAATTGGGAAGAGCCATTATCTACCGGAGGTATCGGTTGGGTAATGCCTCTCCTCGTACCTGTACATGTTGTCTGGTTCGGGGGTGCTGAACTAGATGATGTTTGATTTTGTTGTTGCGGAGGTCCTGCGATGATCTGTGGTTCCCCTTGGTTGTGACGTTGCCGCATTGGGGGGAATTCATGCATGCCTGGAGGTCCCTGCGCTGGCTCTGCTACTGTGGAACGCTGAAGACGATTTCTTGCATTGCGCTGAACCCTGAGGTCTTTCAGCGTCTGGCAACCTCTGTAATTAGCGGGGTGCTGACCGGCACAGTTGGCGCATTTCGCGGGAGTGTCTCTGGTTTTCAAACATGAGCTGGTTTCATGATATTCACCACACTTTACGCATCGTGGTCGATGGTTGCAATAAGTTTTAGTGTGCCCATATTGCTGGCACCGAACACACTGAGGAATATTTCTCTTTTGACGCGGTTCCTCAATTTTAATATGTGAATAATATAGAAATTCAACATTAAAAATTTCTTCTCTAAATGTCTCTTTTGTAATGTCCACAAAGAACATAGGAAGGGGTTTTTTAAATCGAGATATGACGTTAACTACATTGGTGGCTTCGTAACCCAATTTTTTAAATTCTTCTTTAATGATATCGACTGGTGTTCCATGGTGAAGATGTTTAACAACAATCCTTGGACATTTGTCCTGTGGAAGTTGGTAAGTATGGAAGTCGGCACCTTTATTTCGCAGGCTAGAATTTAATTTTCGATAAACGTCAGGATTTTCTGGGTACACAGTGACACCTTTCAATGTAGACTTCGTTTTAAACATATTAGGACCCGTTTCGTTTTCTAGAAATGAGATTAATGCATGGTAATTCTCAACACCGTTTATAAAAATTGGTGGAGTTTTATCGTTTTGAGGCGTTCTTCTAACTTCTTCTGTTTGTAAATTAGTTATGTTGGTTAGAACCTGAAAACTGTTCGAGATTGGGATAGATTCTGTCGGTCGTTTTTGAGCTCTTGGCTCGCTCGAATCTATCATAGGTCTTTTACGACCAATAACCAGTTCCCAGGAGCCGTCTTCATTGTTTATATCACTGTTTTTAAAGTTCATGTTACTTACCTCAGTTTGAGATGATTCCACCATTGTTGGCGGTGAAATCCGCTCAATTTTTGTTTGGTGTTTTGTCCTTAGCAATCTTGTCTTGATAAAACACTTTTATTACACAAAAATTAAGTATGTACACTTAATTAACACATTTTTTGGAAGACAAAACTAAATTAACCTTTCACCTTATTTAACATCAACAGCTCAGTAGTGTTATTTAATTTATGTTGTTTTACATTTGCTTGTATCTTGTATTTGTATTTTGCTTGTGCTTGGTCATGCATACATTATAATATTTTGTATTAATTTCAGGAACATGATATAGATATTATGCTGAATACTAAATTGGTTAAACTGGATGCTGAGAAAAAAACACTTGAGCTAGATAATGGACAGTCTCTCAGTTATAATTTAGTCTTTCTTGCTACAGGTTCTAAGTAATTATCCTTGTATTGGTAAATTATCAAAACTTATTTTTCAAACGAGATGGATCATAAATAACTATATAGTTTCAAAGATTTATGGGGTGTTCATTGTTTTGTTTAATCAATTTTTGTTAATTTTTAAAATGAAGCTTTTAAATAAACACTTGCTAATTGACATTCTCTAAGAGTTTCCAGCTACTAGTGATGATTGATATACTATTTATCAATTTGATCTACCAAAGTAATGTAATCTTGTCATATTAATGATAACAATGTTTTTACTGAAACCAAAATAAGCCTGTTTACTTAATTTATCTCAGCTGACTAAGATCTTGTTGAAAATACTTTCATTTCTTGAAGTAAATAAAATCAGTGACTGTTGCCTATATAAAGCTAGTGTTAAGTGCTAATACTGTTTTTTTTTTTTTGACATTACAATGTTTAATGATATTTAAACCTCAGTTGACAGCAGTCAACTTCTGCTCTTGATGAAGAAAATTCCACTTTTATTTAACAAGTTTAAAATTAGTTATTCATTGCTATCAAATATAAAACAAGTCAAAATAGTAATGGTGCAAGCAACTAATTGTCACATGTATGAAAAACGATGATAATACATGGAATAGAAATTATATGAAGAAAAGGGTGTTTTAAAAAATATTAAAATTAAAGGGAATATATGATAATACCTTAAATAAACAGCAGTTTTTGAGATAATATCAATCATTGAGTTCAAGTATATTTAAAAAAAAAAATTGTCTTTTCTGTTTTGGCTTATACCATTTTAGATCTATTAAAATTAGTATTAGTGTGATTGGAACAATAACTTTTGTTCATACAAAGAAATATGTTTAAATTTTTTTTTTATTAGTTTAAAAGAAGGTCCTTTTTAAATGCTTCCTATTTTAGTTGAATTCTTCTTCTCATAATGCCTGAATAAAGAAGTTCAAGAGTGAAAATAGTTATATATATTTAAAATTTAATACTGTTATCTTAATTGTGGGTGAAAATACTTTTTAATGAGTTCAAATATATATTTATGTACATTATTTTTTATTTCATTTTTTTTATTCAGGCCGAGAAAGGTGGATTTACCTGGTGTCAACCTCAATAATGTCTTTACTTTAAGAAGTTTAAGTGATGCCAGCAATATTAATTCTTCATTATCGCCGGAATCTAATGTTGTTATTTATGGATCATCTTTCATTGGTAATTTCATTTATCAATTCAATATTATGTCTGTATATATATATATATATATATAAAGCAGTGGTCAACCGCAAGCAGTCGCGGTCGACTGCATTTTCATTTATATATATATATATATATATATATATATATATATATATATATAAAGTTTTAAATATAGTTGTAAATGCAATCTTTTCTCTCATTTTCATTTGGCTGCATTTGTGCAATGATCAATACTTTCTTTGTTGCCATTTTTAATTGCAGCCAAATAACAATACAAAATTTGGATTAAGCATTATTAATTATACTTGCAGAACCTTCCCATATTAGATTGAAAATATTTTTTAAACTCCTGCTTTTCAGATCAAAAATTTTAGTATTTTAAAATATTCTTAAGACAACACAGACTGTTATACAAAATACACGAATAAATTGATCCAATAGTTTTCTACTGCTTAGTAGAATAGTTTCAATAGTTACTGTTGAAAAACAAATTGTTGTTTTATATAATAGTTTGATGAAAGTATTTAACATGTGGTTTGTTTATTTATTTTTGATATTTGTATAAAAACATCTTTATTAAAAAGATATTATTTGTTTTACAAGATCACTTTTGAATCCAAGAAACAAATTAACAGATTATCTTGATCCTTAATTTTATTGTTTTCGTTATTTGATTTGTTTCTGATGTTAATTTTTATTTTACGTTTATAGGTATGGAAACAGCTGCATATTGTGTTAGTCATTGTAAGAGTGTAACGGTTGTTGGAAGAAGTGAAACGCCCTTCCAAGAATCTCTTGGTTCTCAGCTAGGCAATAGAATTGCTAAATTATTTACTGACAAGGGTGTACATTTGAAAATGTCGAAATCCATTACTGAAATCAAAGGAGAAACCAAGGTAATAATTGTTTATAAAAAAATGTCAATATCATTATTTTATACATTGAGAAAGATGGTGAGCTTAATTTTAATGCAGTTCTTAAAACAAAAAAAATGTTTTCTTTTTATAGAGTTGAGATGACTAGTAGGATTGGTGATAGTTCAATCGATGAAAACACATCACACTTTTTTCCCAAAAGTCTAATTTGTTAACAATAGTAATTTATCAATTATGGATAGGTCTGATGTGTGGCAGTGTTTTTTTTTTCAAACAAAAAAAGTGAAATTCAAAATGTAAGCACCTGTGATTTAAAAAATCCTCTAAAGGTACTATTTCGCTGGCGCGGTCCACGACCGCGACTGCTTGCGGTTGACCACTGCTTTACTAGAATAGAAAGGAACCTATTTCGCTGGCGCTGCTCAGCAGTCTAGGTATGACGTCATATCTAAGCTGCTCCTATCTGACCGCTCTTGAAGCAGTGGAGCTGTTGGCGGTTCGGCGGTTGTAGGTTATGTTATCATTTCAGAGCATTGTTTCGATGATAACAGTAACATTGATACGTTTTATTTCCTATGTTTTTTTCAAGTCAGGCAAAATTATAAGAAATATTGTTTTAAACTTAAACAATGCAATAGTAAAATTTTTTTTTAAGGTTGGCGTAACAGGATTATTTGTTTATTTATTTCACAAACAATATTTTACAGCGAAATTCAAATATACCTAAATCCAAACGATTTTAAATAGATTAAAGAATCCAACAAATTTTAACGTCAGGTAAATTCTAAAATCCACTCATTGAAAAATCGATTTGTATTTTTTAAATTAAAGTGGGGATTTACTGATTACTATTGATAAAACGATAAAACATTGCTTGCTGTAATTTAATTACAAATATATGATATTTATTACTAATCAATTATGTAATAATTACTATTACTTTTCAAACTAATAATATCTAATATCAGATGGACTATTGTTGTCAGTACGGTGTTGCCCGCCTTTTTGTTTGGCTGTTCCTCAATTTTTTATTGTTCATCTAGACAATAGGCAGGTTATAACAACCCCAGTGAGCAGTTTCAGCGAAATAGCTATGCCAACAGCGGTTGGCAGCGTGGAATAGTGGTTGCTGTCATGGGCCGCGCCAGCGAAATATTACCTTAACATATCTGCCCATTCCCTCCCGGGGATAAATGATACCATGTCCATTTTTCATTAAATAATTTAGTTACGAAGAAACAAATTTTAATAGCTCAAAATTATAGAAAATTGGCCTCTTGAACAAATACAAAAAATTGACATAGTGTCCTTTACCTTAGGGGTGCAGATTTTGTAACAAAGAAACATTTTAATAGCTTAAAGTTATGGAACATTAGCTCCCTTGAAGAAATACAAAAATAGACGTGGTCTTGTTTACCTTCGGGATACAGATATTTAACTTATAGGATAACTTGATAAATAATCATAAAAATGTTAATCCATAGTATTGATAATGTCAATAGCCGCTCATCAACATTATCAAAACCATTGATAGTTATAACTATAGATAATTTATAAGTAATTTCAGTCTCTTATTGATCCGGTTGGATACCTTAACCCAGGAGTCCCTTAAGTTCTATCTGTTAACAATTACTAAATAACTATTAATTCCATTAATCTAATTCAATGAAGTTGGTAATAATCTAATATAAACGAAATATAGATTTTTTAAATTGGAAATTTGCTGTTTTGCAAAAATTCAACGTAGAAATATATAGATATACATAGCTACTTATAACTTCTTATGATTAATATATTCTTTCTAACAAATGAAAACATGTATTGATATTTCAATAAATAGAATAGCTGCAATTTATTGCATATATACATACTACAAGTATTATTTACCTCTTTTAGAAATAAAATGTATTCCTGAAGATGAGGATAAGAATCCTTGAAATGATGAAAAATATTTAAATATAAAAGTATATAAGGCAAGAATAAAATGTAATTTTATTTAATAATAAAATAAATTATTATGGTAGAGAATAGTTCACAAAATATCTTGAATAAAAAATACCAAATTAAATGGTATGTCCATAAATAAATGGCCTGTTACACATTCCAATAACTAAAAATTTAACTTGATAACAAGTTATTGATTTTTGTAATAAATACAATTCTGTTAAGGACTGTTAATCAAATTTCATAAACAAGAGTTTTTAAAGGAGAGCTGTTTCAATGTTTAATAACAAACTGTAAAATTATCATTGCTCTACATACAATTTAAAGATAGTGAAAGACCATTAAACCTTCTAAAGGAATCAGTGGAAATTTCAATTTATAGTCAACTATTTAATTTCAAAACATCATAGTAAACCATTCAATTGACGCTCATTTGAAACATAGTTTTGACATTTAAACTTTTTACTTATTTTGACAGAATTAATTAGTATCCAGCTTAACAGAACAATTTATATTATCTCCTTATATTCTGTTGTCATCACATGCTGCCTGTGGGTTGATATTAAACTACTTTATAATATTTATATTCTTATTGTTAATAAAATTATTTGTTCAGGTGGAAAGTGTTGTGCTTTCTGATGGTGAAACTATACCTGCTGATGTGGTAATTCTTGGACTTGGTTCGACATTTGCTACTGAATACTTGGAAGGCTCGGGGGTTGACAGAAGTCCATCAGGCTCAGTTCTCGTCAACCAGGTAATATATATTACTTTATATGTCATTGTAGAAATTGATTGAATTGACTTATACCAAATGATTATGGTGGAATGAAATATTTTAAAAATAGAAAATAGTAATTATAGCCCAGTAAATTTATTATTTGAGATCAAGAAAATTCATAATTGGCTGTAAATGTGGGGATCAGTTCCTCATCGAATGCAGAGCAAACCATGAAAAGTTCTCTCAAATCCCATATCCATTTCTATCCAAAATGGAGGGTCAAAGATGGCCCACTAGGACTTTCTGTCTTATGTTATATTTTTCCTCATATCTCCGTCAAAAACCATCATTCTTGAATTCTGCAAGTACTAATATAACCAGCAAGGATGCTCGTTTTGGATTCCATCGAAGTTCACCATTTTATATTGCAGATAAACCTCATCTGAACACTCAACTTTGGTCAGTCAATTAAAAGCCATTGCTCTCTATATGAAAATATAAATTAAAGTGGCGACGTTTGACATTTCATTTAACGTTAAAACTGACAGCTGAAATTTTGATATGATGTAAAGAATATGTCTCTAAAAGAGAATTCACCTTGACTGATGATGTACTCGGTTGCATTTTGAAAAGTGATGCCGTCAAATATATCAAATTATTCCAGTAGAATGTGGAAAAAAAGCAAATAGTCTCTCTTCGGTTTAATCTATAATCGGTATATCGAAATTATCATTCTAAACAAAACTAAAGAACATAAAATCTATATATTTTTAGATTAGCTTTTTAATGTATGACCAATAGGTGAGGAGTTAAAGCAAATTAACTGTTTTCTTATTTCACATGAAATTGCTGTTTTCATTGCTCTTTTCTCCGAAACTCAAAATCTATGCATCTCTTGAAGAAATTTAATATGGTCATTTTGAAAGATCTTTAAATTTTCTATATTTCTCATGTAGATACATTAATATGTGAATAGGTAAATGGCCGTTAAAGAGCGCGGAATTGAAGTTGTAGTATTTGCCATACTCTTTCAATTAGATTCAAGCTTATGTAAAGTTGTAGTGAATGAAAAACTGAAAAGCCATTAGATTGTCAGACTTCATATCGGAGCGCATTTGAGTGCGAAGAGATGCATAGATTTTATGGAAAAAAATCAATGGAAACAGTTAACTTGCTGTAACTCCTCACCTGTTGGTCTTAAATTAAAAAGCTAATTTAAAAATATATAGAAGATTTCATGTTCCTTAACTTTGTTTAGAGTGATAATTTCGATAAAATATATAATTTCGGAGACATGGCCAAAAAACTAAAGTGCGGAAATCTCGCTGTTTTTTTTCATATATCTCAGAGTGCAATAGAAAATTTTGTTTTAAAACTTCAGATTCAACACCCTAAAAAAAATATTAAACGGAAGACTATTTCCTTTTTTTCCACATTGTACTGGACTAACTTGATATATTTGACGGTACCACTTTTCAAAACGCAACCGATTACAAATTCTTTACATCATATCAAATGTCAGCTGTCAGCTTTACTGTTAAATGAAACGTCGTAGAGAGCAACAGCTTTCAACCGACTGACCGAAGTTGTGTGTTCAGGTGAGGTTTCTTTGCTATTTAAAATGGTTACTAACTGTAAGTCCTTCAGTTAAATGAAATTATCGGTAGCTCCTAGTCCATAACTACCTACCGTTCTGAATAGTCTGAGATGGAATTCAGCTTTGAGGTCGCGACATTTTTATTTAAAAACAACATATCTCCACCATTTTTCAGCAAATATTAAAAAAACAATTTTTTGAACATTCCTCTTGCTTAGGACTACAAAAAACATACGGAACATTATTTTCTTATGTCAATAGTTTCAAAGTTATGAGGAGTGTCAGAATTAGAATAAAGAAAATTTCGTTTTTTTTTATCCCAAAAACATCAATTTACAGCTCGTTTATCATTATTTTATCAGATGAACTTCGATGGAATTCAAAACATGCATCCTTGCTGATCATTAGTATTTACAAAATTCAAGAGTGGTGGTTTTTGACGGAGATGTGAGGAAAAACATAACATTAGGCAGAAAGTTCTGGGTGTCCATCTTTGACCCTCCATTTTGGATAGAAGCGGACATGGGATTTGAGGGAACTTTTCATGATTTGTTCTGCATTCGATGAGGAACTAAAACCCACATTTACAGCCAATTATGAATTTTCTTGATATCGGCCCTGTTTTCTGCCTATATACTGGGCTTTTATAGTTTTAAAAAATAAAACCATCAATATAAATTTTAATTCTTGATTGTAATATAACTTAGGGTTGAGAAAGTCTTATAAATTAAACTCAGTAAAAAGCATTTTAAATGAATAAATAAAAAAACTGCCATGTACATATTTTTAAAAAGATATATGATAAGAAAAGTAACACTGCATGCTTGATTAACTAATAAAATATTTATTAAAAGAATATCAGTTATGTGTAACTTTAAAAGAAAATTTTCCCATTCGTGGTTAGTGTAAATACTCTGACTAACAATGATCTTATCAAATTTTAATACCGACAAAAAATATTCTAAACTTCTTATTAAAACAAAAAACTAACTATTTCTTAAAACTATAATAATTTTAAATGTCCTATGATTATATCCACCAAGTAGTCTCTAAAAAAGGTAAATATAACTTGTTCATAGTTTTGTAGACATTGCATGGAAGGAAACGTCTAACGAAAAATAAAATACTTAATAATCTATATTTGGTAGAGTCTGTTTAGAAACTAAAATCAAGAAGATTAAAACTGAAATCAAGAATATTTTGGGAAAAACGTATTACCAAAACAATTAAGAATTATTATATAACATTACTGTAAATTAAAAATTTTATTTGACTATAATTATTTACATCATTAGTTGATAAAATCAGTCTTTTTTGAGCAAACGTTGAAAAAGTATAAACTGTTGATCAGGTAGAGATATTTGGTTGAATGAGAATAAAGAAATACTAAGCTCTTAAGATTTTGATCGGTTTTTAAAAACAAGATTAAAGAAGGTATAAGAAACCCTCTTCCCTTCCTCTGTTAGTCGTGAATCATTCATAAATGATAAAAATAATTAATTATGGGTGTTATAAAAAAAAATTGTTTTATTCATCTATTCAGATAAGTAGTTTAACTAAAAATATATCTACTTTTCTAACAGTTATTTATTGTTTAACAACATATAATATTTGTATTTTAATTCTATAATGTAAATGCTCATAGTTTTTAGAAACCAACTGTGCCGGAGTATTTGCTGGAGGTGACATAGCTGAAGCTCCTGTGTTAGCATATGACAATAATAAACGCGCTGCTATTGGCCATTGGGGTCTAGCACATTATCATGGGCGCATAGCTGCTCTCAACATGGTATCTAAGGCAACTCCTCTTAAAACTGTTCCATTCTTTTGGACTATGCTGTTTGGCACTTCTTTCAGATATGCAGGTAATTTAAACCACATGAACCTTTCTATATATTTTTTTTTTCATTGTTTATTAATGAAGTCATTGAAACAAAATTAAAGGTTATGGAAAGGCTTTCGATGACATTGTCGGAGGAGGAGACCTAGAAAACTTGAAGTATGCTTGCTATTATTGTAAAGGAGATAAAGTAATTGCTGTTACTACAGTTGGAGTTGACCCTATTGCTGCGGCTTTTGCAGAACGACTAAGTTCTGGACAAGAGGTTTTGAAATCCACAGTAGTTTCTAACCCACTCTCATGGCACAAAGATTAGCACAAGCCCTTTGTTACATTTATGTAACAGATACACACCAATAGAGCCTGCTGGATATTGGTTGATTCAATACCTGAACATATGCTTAATATTAGTTTTGTTTAAAAAATAAAGTTAACTAACCAAGCAGATATACCTATGGTAATAAATGAAACAATGGAATATTTATCTACTTTAGTGTATGTATTAAGTGTAACTTGTTTTGTTTTTTTTTAAATAAGAAAATCAATACTTTATTTATTGTCACATCTATATTGATCAAAAGTGAGGTGATGATTTATTTATTCTATTGTGAATAATGTAAACATCTACATTATTTTTTCCCCTTTCATGTTATTGTCTTCTTTTTTTAAATGGTACAATAATATATTTTAATTTACCTCCTTTATAATATATTAATACTCTACCTCCTTTATTAGCCATTTAGATAATTATATCTATTATCATAGGCACAAACAGTATTATTTGTTTTTAGCACTCTTATCAGATATTATTAGGTGTTCATTCCCACACACATGTTCTCTTTTCCCTTAGAGTATTGAATGTTTTATTTTTTTAATCAAATATATTTTTATAGTAGACATTAGTCTATTTCCTTGTCAAAAGTCATGAATTAAAAAAGTTTATATTGTAACTGATAATTAAGCAAAAAATTGTAATTATTTTATCAATTTCAGTTTATTGAATAAAGCAAATGTACAACCAATCTACTCTTTATAATTTACTTTGATTTAATTTTTATTGTTAAGAAACTTTTTATTTTAAATAGCTAAACTACCATCGAATATTTATGAGCTTTCATTTTTATAATTTTAAGTAATGTAAAAGTAATTTCGAAATCAAAAGTTACCATGTTGTATTTAAAATGCAATTTCTTTTAATATTTTGTATTGCTTTTAAATTATTAAAATATTGTTTAAGAATGTGTTTGATCTATTAGACCAAATCTCTTTTTCAAATTTGGGGATAAATTATAGTTCGCATAACCATTAAGGTTATGTTGGATGATAAATAGTATTTTTATTATGGATGCCAAAACTTCGACCCAAGCTTATGGTTTATCATCAGAAATAAAATTAAACCTTTTTTTTTTAATTTTATTATTTAGATATCACCTCTGCCGTTGGATATTAGACCATTTGGCTCCTGTCAGTCCAATACAATTCCACCATGATTCCATTGCTTGTGTTTGTGCCGATCCCATCAGAATTATAGCGGATATCTGACAGAGTGGGGCATACTGGGAGTTGCAGGTCGTACATCTCGTCCTCTTGGCAAAGAGAGCGTACATGGCTTTCCACCACTCCAATCCTATGTAAATGGGCAACTTTGTTAAGAACATTATACACGTGTCCTCTGGCTATAACTAAATGAGCAATATTGTGGCCAAGAAGACAGTTCAACAACTAAAATTAAACCAGGTATATGTGTAGTATTAAGAAAAAAGTGAATAAATAAGAGAAAAAGAGAGATGATAAAAATAAATTACTTTATAGTAGTAATAAGATATACAACTAATAAAGAGTAAATGAGGCAAATCTTAGGTTTATAAAACCACATTCGAAATTATGGATGACAACTGTTTCAACTCAGTTGTGAGTCACCATGAGTGATAACTGTTTCAACCTAGTTGTGAATTAATAGGGAAAAAGTTAAATCAGAAACATAAGAGGTCACAATTGTATATAGTACATAGACAGAAGGAAATAAATATTTGAAATTAATAAAATTTATTCAGTTTGTGGCATAATAGCTGTATAAGAAAAAAAAATCAAAGGCGAGTCTCTTTTCATTACTACGTTTAAGGTGCTACAAGTTTAGATTTAGGTTGATACTCATGCTTTATTTAACTACTTTCCTTCCTTCTTAAGTAAAGTATTGAAGGAAAAAAAGTGTAGAAAAATCATTATAAGTTTAGTTTGACATCTGTACAAAATGACCAGAGTTAAAGACATTTTACCAAAATGTGTCAGTCAAAAAGTAAATTCAAAAAGGCCTCAGAAAAATTGTGAGCCTTAAAAAAATTTAACAATTGTTTGAAATCATTAATTCAAGTTGAAAGATTTCAAATGAAACGATTTCTATTCTTAAATCAATTTTATTTTTACACTGTTTATGAATTATTAAATCTCCATATTAGTCTTGAAAGCTCTGTATCTGCCATTCTCATCGAGTGACATGCAGAGCTCATTCTTCCTAGGCTGATTTTTCCATGTTAAGACAAGGAAGATCCTAATGATGTCAACTTTATCAAAAAGTTCACATTTTAGTAAGAATCGTAATATACATTTTTTAGAAGCATAAAATGTTATTGAAACAAATAAAATAATATGATGAAATGTATGAAAAACTGGGCAAAAATTTGAGACATATAAAACAATTATATTTGTTGGAACTGATAACACTACTCTTTGCAACAATTTATTTTTGAATGCGAATATTTCAGCACTTTATGTAGATTAACTTATGTTAACTTTCAAATAACTTAAATTACAGAACCAGCAGTAAACTCCCACTGTTCTTTTGTTTTTAAATGAGACAGTTCATTTTTTAATGTCCTGTGCTTAGCAAATTTCTCATTTCTCTGGTTCCTATATTTCTGTAACCTAGTTTCATATTTTTGCAGGTACCTAGCATGCCCTGCTGATTGTTCCTGAAAACAAATAAACAAGTCAGTAGAATTTATGATAATTTAATAAATTTGAGAGGTAAATTAAATATTTACTCTAGTAAGGAAAGGATGGCGAAGATAAAACATGTTTTCTTCCTCTAATGCTAGGTCTTTTTTCAATAGTTCAACAGCTTTTTTGGTTACAGGTTTAACTATTCTGTCTTTTCTAAAACAAAATATTTAATATATTTATATATGATTATATATTTATTTGATGTTCATCAAAAACATTTATGATGATGTAGAGTTGGTTGACCGTTGATATGATATGAGAAGGAATTAGTCGAGGGTGCGGTCAAAAATAAAAAAAATTAAAATATATAAATAATTTTAATTACAGGATATCTATACAAATTAAAAACATTTATGCTGGCCTAGATCCAACAGTTTTCACAACCTTTTTATAAATTGATACAGCAAACACCATTTCTGTGTAGTTAACTATGGATATCATCTCTTATCCTATTGACAGCTTTGTTCTCATTGATTGATTCAAAGAGAATACTTGGAATTTTCCAGTTATCCACAGGCACTTTTTCATTAATATAAAATAAAAAAGTTTTAATTTTATTGAGTACTTGTTTAATAGGGGGTAGCATCAAAACCTCCCTTATTATCTAATCTTATTTCACATAACCTCCTTTATCTCCTCTAACTTAAGTTATTCCCTTGTTTATTTTTGTTCCTTGTGTAAGCTGTTAGTTAGTCTTCTTTAGTTATGGATGTTGTCACATTGTGGAATTCACATCTTCAGAAGAAGAGGCTATCAAATATTTTCAAGACGCCAGGATATTAGCAAAGATGAAATATTGTGATAAAGGTCATCAAATAAAGTTCGACGGGAAGATTAAATGGAGATGCTTTCGTAGTTGTAACAAAGCCGTTTCTATAAGGAAGGAACGTGGTTAGAGAAGTCGAGGATTTCTTTTTAAATGGCTTTAAAATTCATTAATGGGTGGTCTCACGATTTAACAACAAAACAGTGGGGAAAAGAGCAGCTCGAACTATACCAGGCAACTATCGTAACGTGGAACAAATTTTTAAGATAGGTTTGTGCCCATAACATGTTATACAGGTCAAATAAAAAAATTGGAGACCTGGAAAAGTTGCATATTGGCAATTTTTATTATTTCATTTATTTTTATATATATGTTGCAATGTTTTTTAATTATATGTTTAATGTTTTGGTCTATTTAATATATATCTTTTAAAATAAAAGTTTTTTTTTTATTATAACAATTGTGTTTGTTTTTGTTCACAATTTCAATAATATCAATACAATACAATAAATATGAATACGAAGATATTTACAATAAATATGAATACGAAGATATTATCAGTGGCTTATCAGAGTTAAGGTTATAAACATTGGCAGATAGCAATCGGACGCTACCCACTATTAAACAAGTACCTTTTATTGTTTTTACAAAAAAATAAATTTGTACCAAATAACTCAAAAATAAGGTTACACAGTGATGATACATTCTGGACCATGCCTGGCCAACAAGATGCTGCATATGATGCAACTTTACATTTCTATTGAAACTAGAGAATCGGAAAAATTTGATGAATGAAAGGATAAACTAAGTAAATATATAATATATAATTAATGATATTGATAAATAGACTCTGGAGATAATGGTATTGATAATTATAGACTTAAGAATTAATTACATTGAATGACAGCATAACAATAAAATTGTATTACTTTTTTTTATTATATTTAATTTTTTCAAAATATGCTAATCTAAAATTTATCTCAAAGGGACTCACAAAGCTATTTTGGTTGGTAAGGCTTGCCGTAGATAACTCATTAAAATATAGTAAGTGTCAGAAGAATGTTAGTCAAGCAAATTTAGAGGATATCTATACAATAATGCTATGTAATAAAAAGTAATGACACCAGTAAAGAAACACTGATGACTGCTAAACAATAAAGATGCTAAGTTTGTTTCAATATTTATTTCGAAACAACAATGAGTACATCACTTATAGTTAAAACAAAAATATACTGAGCTCTGGGAAAGAATATAAATAAATTTTGCAAACTAGACTTACTAAAACGAAATATGAAAAAATATTTAGTAGATTTTTTAATTTGATCCTAATTTATAAATACTTCTAGATCACACAAGAAAAAATGAATGATAAATTCAATTTAAATCAGTTATAAATGTTTTTGATGTACTCACAACTTATAAGAATGAAAACATTAATGAGAAGCACTGAACGTTTTCATTCTGGTTCATTTAAATAATAAATAAGTGAAGCAACCTATTTGAAAGAAATATATATTTTAATAAACAATCGATAATTACATTATCCTTAATATTTATGATTAAAATAAAATATTAACTTATCCTCGAAATACATGGTCATAAGGCAATTTAAAAAGAACAAAAGAAATGTTAACTGCGTCTTATCTTATATTTCAGTAAGTCCACCAAATTTACTTAAATTTGTTTATATTAATGAGTAGAGTTCTACATTTTATAACCTTCTGAATCTCCAGTGTTAACATTATCAATGGAGGTTTATTAAAGGTTTCATTCCAGACAAAATTTTTATTCTTCTGTGAACTAAGTTGCTGTTAGCCTGATAGTAAACTATGTTTTGTAACTTCAAGTTTTGAATATCTTATTTTAACTACTGGTCAGTATTTTTTTAAACATTTTAATATGATTGTACTAAGATAGACTCAGTTTTATTTCAATACCCAGTTTTGTTAATTTCAAGGTCAACCTGTTACTACTCAATAGGTTTTATTTTTAAAATAGAAATTGAAATTATAATCCTTATTTTTAATAATAAATAAATATAGAGTTAATAAATTCACTTTAATTCAATGTCTGTTTTATAGATGGCAGATACTTTTGATAGAAGTGTACTTTTTATCTGCCTTGGAAACACTTGTCGTTCACCCATTGCTGAAGCAGTATTTCGAAAACTAATAAAAAAAAAGGGTATTTTTGACAAGTGGCTAGTTGATAGTGCCGCTATTGAATCTTGGCATGTTGGCTCTAAGCCCAATTCTCGAGCCATTTCTGTTCTGCAACGTAACAATATTGAAATAAAGCACAGGGCAAGACAGATAGAGGAATCTGATTTTCATAAATTTGAATTCATTCTTGGTATGGACGAATATAACATGTCTGATTTGAAACGCCTTGCACCACCAAATTCAAAAGCGAAATTGCAACTTTTGGGCTCGTATGATCCATCTGGTGAGCTTATAATCAAAGACCCATATTGTACAAAAGGAGAACAGGCTTTCCATAAAACATTAGAACAATGCACGAGTGCTTGTGAAGGTTTCTTAAATGCTGTAATAAATGAAAAATGATAATTCTTGGAGTATAAAATTTTGTATTTTTATAAAAAATACCACTGTTTAATTCTTAGTAATTTTATACAAAAATCAACTATATATCTGTATTTCAGAAATATACAATCTGTTACATACTTTTAAATATTTCTTGCGCTATACCTCTTACTTTTGACTTTTAATTTGTACAAAATATAAGTTAAAGAAGTATAAATTTTAAATGAACATGTTTTCATTTATTCTTAACAAAATCTCATCCTATTATTTTATTAATGACAATGTAAATTCCTTAAAATTTTATATTTCAATATTTTTGTACATCATTATCATTATCTCACTAAGCCGCCCCTTGGTATTTTAACTCTAGGGCAAAAATGTTTCTCCTACTCCATAATCTTACCTTTTCCTCCAATCCTTAACCAAATAAAATTAATCTGACTATTGACTGTCATCTTTAAATAGTTAATATTGTTAGCTTAAATATTCTATAGTTAATTTTATTGAATGATAGCATAACAATAAAGTTGTATTCCTTTTTTACTTCATTTATCGATACATGTAATATATAGCAAGGAAAAGAATTTTTTTTTAATCTGAATTTTCAATGGATATACACATCTTGAGGTCCCCTGAGTCCAAATAGCCAAGTCCCACAAAATGGTCTGTGTGTGTATGTGAACAGTCTAGCTCCAAAAGGAAAGTCTTATGAAACTAGTATTATATATTTAGGGTATATAAACAATTTTGATTACATTCATTATTTAAGAATAAAATTAAGTGATTTTTAAAATAATGTAGGTCTTATTCTGATTAATGTTCTCTAACGGGGCTTAAATGCTTAATTTTTTTTTAATTTGAAGTAATTAACCATTTTAGATTGAAACATGGTTAAATATAAAATGTGAAAGAATGTGATAATTAACTAAACCAAAAATAAACATACGAAAAAACATACAGTAATTTAATGATTGAAATAATATTTTTTACCACTTTCACTATCCATGGTCTGAAAATAGTTATTTCTGCTAAAATAAGAATGATAAGTGAAAGTTGTGTGCACCGCACTAGATTTTTTATATTTCATTGTTTCAAAATATGCTAACCTAAAATGCTTCATGAAACTATTTCAGTTGACGAAGCTTGCTGTAGATGAATCATTAAAGTATAGCAAGTGGTAGAAAAATTCTGGTCAAGCAATTCCTCAGCAGTAAGTTTTAGAGGACAAGACACAGCAGTGCTGTAGTAAAAAGTAAGGATACCAGCAAAGAAACACTGATGAAAAGTAACAGATCCAGGAATTAATTTGGAGGGACTTTAGCCAGAAATCTTTATATTTATATATATATATATATATATATATATATATATATATATACATATATATATATACACACACACATAATGATAATTACTTTGGGAGAAGAAATAAAAACTTACTACCTACATGAAATGGTGTTTAATTAATTCTTGAGGTCCAATTAAATGTTATCAGACGAACAATAATACTTGTTTTAAATATTTTTTTCACAAGGCGAAGTAATATTTTTCCATTTTGGGAGAGCTTCAGCCCGAAAGCACCCTCCCCTCTCCCCGTAGGTCCGCCCGTACTGAGGACTGCTTCAATTTAAAGATGCTAAGTGTGTTTTAATTTTTATTTTGAAACAATACATTTTCTAAAATCAAAGTGATCATAGCACATCACTTATAGCTAAAACAAAAATATATTTAGCAATGGGAAAGAATATCAATAACTGTTGCATACCAGGGATATTTATTAAAACAAATTATGATAAAGGTATTTTCTCTTACTTAATAAATACTTCTGGATAACAGGGGAAATAAGTAAATAGTATATTTAATTTAAATTAGTTATAACTGTTTTTAATGCACTCACAACTTATAAGAATGTAAAAATTAATGTGAAGCATTCTTTATTTCATAGCAGCTAATCAATTTAACTTTATTTTAACAACAACAAAAAATAAATAAGTGAAGCAACCTATTTGAAAGAAACATATTTTAAAAACAGTGAATAATTATATTATTCTTAATATTTATGATTAAAATATAATATACTCTATACTCACCCTCTGAATATATGACCATTAGGCAATTTAAAAAGAAATAAAGGAAATGTTAGCCTCATCTTGTCTTATGTTTGTGTTAAGATCACCAATTTCACCCAAATGTGATTGTGTTCCTACACTTCTTCATTATAACCTCCTAAATCTCCAGTGTTATCATTGGAGGTTTATTCAAGGTTTCTCCCCTGATTAGATTTGTATTATTCAGTGAACCATCTTTGGTTTGCTTAATTAAATTCCTACTATACTGGGTTTTATAAGCTCCAGTTTTAAATATATTATTAATAACTACTGGTCAGTATTATTTTTTTCATTTTATAATGATTGTTCTTAGATTGTATTAGTTTTTTTTTCAATACAAAGTTTGGTTCATTTTAAGGTATCATTATTCTGTTACTATTCAGTAGGTTTTATTCTCCAAATTAAAATTATTTTAATTAAATAAATAAATGTAGTGCTGGTAAATTAACTTTAATTTAGTGTTTATTTTATAGATGGCAGCTAATTTTGATAGAAGTGTACTTTTTATCTGTCTTGGAAACATTTGTCGTTCACCAGTTGCTGAAGCAGTATTTCGAAAACTGCTCAAAGAAAAGGGTATTTTTGACAAGTGGCTAGTTGATAGTGCAGCTATTGGATCTTGGCATATTGGCTCTAAGCCTGATTCTCGAGCCATTTCTGTTCTGGAACGTAACAATATTGAAATAAATCACAGAGCAAGACAGATAGAGGAATCTGATTTTCATAAATTTGAATTCATTCTTGGTATGGATGAAGAAAACATGTCAGATTTGAAACGCCTTGCACCACCAAATTCAAAAGCAAAACTGCATCTTTTGGGCTCATTTGATCCATCTGGTGAGCTTATAATCAAGGATCCATATTATACAAAAGGAGAAAAGGCTTTCCATAAAACATTAGAACATTGCACAAGTGCTTGTGAAGGTTTCTTAAATGCTGTAATCAATAAATAAAAAATGATAATTTTTGGAGTATCACATTTTGTATTCTTATAAAAATTCCAGTTTTTAATTTTTAATAATTTTAGAGGAAACTTAACTTATATATTTTAGAAATATACACTATGTTATAAACTTGTAAATATTACATTGTCCTTACTTCTGACTTGTAATTTGTACAAAGTATAAGTTAAGGAAGTATCTTTTAAATGAACACATTTTCATTTATTTTTAACAAAATCTCTTCCTGTTATTTTATTAATGACAATGTAAATTCCTTAAAATTTTATATTTCAATATTTTTGTACATCATCTCACTAAGCCCCCTAGGTTTTTAACTCTAGGGCAAAAATGTTTCTCCTGTTCCATATTCTTACCTTCTCCTCCAATCTTTAACCAAATAAAATTAATCTGATTATTGACTGCCATATTTAAATATTAAAAATAAAAATCTTTGCAATGTAAAAAAAAAAATTAAATTCAGGAGCCTTACTTAGACATTGCTTGTCTGGAATAAATTTTGGTTTCGTTCACACATTTAAATTTTTCATTTGATAGCAATTATTCTGAAAAAAAAGTATCTTCCCAGGGACAATTCTTTCAAATAATAATCTATAAAAATACTTTTATTAAATAATTTAATGCAAACTATGTTAATATAAATAAACCAAATTAAAGAACTGGATAAAATCAATTTGGAGTTCAGCAATAAAGGAAATAACAATATATGAGTGTCTTCCAACGCAATCGTATTACATAAGGTGTAACAGTTCACTAGTACGTGTCTACATGTGCTAGTTAATTTGAAAATTTTGTTGCAGCAATTGTGATAGGTACTGTAAACTATTACACAAGAACTGATTGTCCAACATTCTACCGGTAGATAATGTCACACCGTTAACACATTAGAAGTTTCTGCCATGATTTCAAATGTTGCTGTAATGTTATGGTGTCTCTGGGATTTCAAAATTTTTTTTAACTCTCCAAAACTTACAAATTTAAAGCACTTTTATACTTACCTGATATGTAGGACCTAAAACTTCAAAACTTTGGAATGAAACTATTGCTATCTTTTGTGATAAACTTGAAGACACTACTCTACTGCCAGTTTATGTCAGACACTACAAGAAAGCTTAAAACAAAAGGATGCAAGTTCTTTATATTCTATAATAAGTCACCTGTGGTTAATAGAAAAGGAGGAATACTAGGGAAGTACAAACACACAACCAACATGTAATAGGTTTATGTAAAGCTTTGCTGATGGAATTGAATTATCTCAAATTAATTCATAGACTAAAAGAAAATCAGACTGGCATAGGCTATACCGACAGAGGGAACAAAAGGAAATGTTTTCATGCAAGAAATTAAAATAGGAAATTGTCATGAAAAACAAATTTCTATTAACAAAATCAATACACTGTTAACTATACTATAATATTAGTGTATCTTGTTCGTTCTGTCAATTAAGTAAAATTAGAGTGCTACCATTGGGTAGTTACACAACAAATGTTTTCATGTCATTATATCCATATGTTCAAATTTACTAAATGTATTTCTTTAATACAGTTGTAAATAATAATAAAAAAAGTAATTTAGTTTCCACAATTTCTTATTAATGACCAGCATCTCTTTCTTTTATTTTCAATTACGATTCTGACTCTTCAATCAAATTTAGCAACTGAACTATTTAAATTTAAATGAATCCAATTCTATTTCTAAATCCATAATTTTTGCTATGCATCCACAAATCTGAATTTCTCAGGTTACATAACAATTTTTAAAAACTTTATAAATATAAAATATTAAACTGGTTTTCTTAAAACGTAAACTTTTACAAATATAATACTAGTTTTACTCTTAACTAGCCTTGGCTGTTAACATCAAATCAAACTGGCCTTGGTAATTAATCCTCTAACATACACCTTGTTCTTACATACCATGTAATTTATAGAAATAACATATCAGATTACACCAAAACCAGTGCTGAAACCAACATTCTTAAAATGGGAAGTACATGTATTAACTCTTTAAATATTCAACCAATAAAAAGTATGGACAAAGTTTCACCTATAATTAGCTCGAGTTTGTGGGTTGGCGCTGAATAATCTTCAATAATAATAAACTTCAATTGGAAGCTTTTTGAAATTAAATATAATAATAAATGTTAAATTGGTGCTTCCATAGAACATAAAACTTTTCTTGAAACTGATAGAACAAATGAAGTTATGCTGCTAAAAATATTAATTGAGCTACTCATGTGGTACTAAGAAACCCACATTTTGTTCTTCCCGTATTACAAAATATTCACATATGTATATTTATATTGAATATCGTTATCATCTAAATACAGTACAAGTAAATATTTTGTTAATAATCTCGAGGATTGAGCAAAAAAATATGTTAGTTTTATTTAAGTACAGCATGAATTTTCCCTTAGGATGTCAACTAAACATGGTAGAACTACAATTTTATTGATAAGAGCTATTAACTAACAAAACAAATGATAATCCAGAGGATTGTTTTCATTACTTTATTAAAAATCTGGATTATATTAAAAAAACTTCAACATAAATCTGGTTAGCTCAGAAAAAAGGGAACGATCTGAGTTAGGTTTTAGGAGAAGGTTCATGATCAGTAAGTTAAAAAAATAAACGAATATCAGACAAAGTGGTAAATTTCACTTATAATAAATTTGTAATATACACAAATATAAATGTGTGTACATAAATGAAATAGATGAATATACATTGTTATTTTAATAAAATAATTGAATTTAAAACAACAAATAAAACTGATTTATGTTTCCACTTCTAATTTTCAGAAAACACAAATAAAATAATAGTTTTATCAACATATTCATTAATCATTATTTTAAACACAATTTGATGGTAAGAAGAGTAACAAATTCTTCACAATTTATAAATATTTAAAAAAAAGAAAGAAAAAAAATCAATGAAATTTTAGTCTTAGGAAGGAGATTTCGAAGATCTTCTGCGTGGTGGTGAGGATGGAGACCGGCTTCTCCATTTTGGACTCCTACTTCGTTTCCTACGAGGTGTCCTACTCCTTTTTCTTCTAGGTGACCGACTTTTTCTAGGAGATCTTGTTCTACGCCTAATAGGAGTCCTACTTTTTCTACGGCTTCTCGATCGTGATCTCCTTCGAGGGGATCTTGTCCTTCGCCTAGGTGACCTACTCTTTCTTCTAGATGGAGATCTACTCTTTCTACGGGATAGAGAACGACTCTTCTTTCTTGATGGAGATCTGCTTTTCTTTCTAGAAGGCGAACGACTCTTTTTCCTAGAAACTGAACGACTTTTCTTTCTAGAAGGTGAACGACTCTTTTTCCTTGATGGTGACCTACTTTTTTTCCTTGAAACTGATCGACTCTTTCTTCTTGAAGGAGATCTACTCTTTTTTCGTGAAGGAGAACGACTTTTCTTTCTGGAAGGTGAACGACTTCCTTTGTGAGATGGAGAATGGCTCTTTTTCCGAGAAACAGACCTACTTTTGTCACGGCTAGGACTTCTAATTCTGGGACTTTTTTCAGGAGATCTGATAATTTCTTTATCATTAGATTCTTTATGTTTGTCAGAATTAGATACGTCTTTCTCTCTTGGTGTCGATTCTTTGCTTCTTTCCTTATCTTTTTTCTCTTCTCTATGCCTGCTTGATTTAGTCTTTTCACTTTTCTTAGATTTAGACCTTGATCTAGATTTTCTAGATCTCCCTCTACTTTTAGATCTAGATCTTGACTTTGTTCTCCTTCTTTCTCTGGATCTCTTCCTTCTATCACGTGAGCGTGAACGTCTCCGTGAACGAGATCTTGATCTTTTCCTTGACCTTGACCTGCGACGTCTCCCTCTTGATCTAGATCTTGATCTTCTTCTTCTACCCCGAGATCTAGACCTAGATCTTCTTCTTGAACGTGAACGACTTCTTCCCCTTTTCTTTTCCTTTGAAAGAATTCCAATTACTGGATCAATTGCAGCAGATATCAAATTCTGAGCTTCTTTAACTCTTGTCATGGCTTCTTCTATCTCCCTTTGAGCAGCTTCATTACTTTTAGCCTGTGGTTTATCAATGTTGATAGTAGAATGAGATATATGCACCGGTCGGCCTAACAGTTCAGCACCATTAATTTTTAAAGCATTAATAATACTGCTCTGTTCAGAGAACTCAATAAGAGCATACTTATTTAGATCACTGTCCCTTGTGCAAAACCGAACATATTTAACATCTCCAGCTGTGCCAAAAAAGTCAATTAGCTGTTGTGCTGAAATAGATGGGTCTAAATTAGAGGCTACAAGGGTCCTACGGATTTCTTCAATTCTAACGGAATCATAATTAATAGGAAGTGGTGGATAAGGAGGAAGTCCATTAGAAATAAGAACTGGATCATGAGTAGTAATAACCTGATTGGGTTGAACTCCTTCAATTTGATTTGTAACATGAGGAGGCAATTTAGAATTGTTGCCATAAAGACCTGGAACTATATTAGCTTGGGCAGCTATTTCAAGTGCTCTATATTCATCAGGAATTTCATTTGTAGATGATACATAAGGAGTGACTATAAGAGCTCTGTCAATGAAAACAGTATTTGTCATGTGCTGAGCAACACCAACACAAGATGTATCAAAAAACTTAACATAGCAAATTCTTGACTGGACAGGTACAGAGACATCCCGTATAGTAGGATACAATCTAATATCTTCTATTTTACCCAGAAATCCAAATAATGTTTGCATTTGATCCTTGGTTGCTTGTGGTGCAATGTTTGTTATTTGTACCACTTTGGTCGCAGGGACCGGCGGTATATCTGTCTGCGCTGTCATTTTCACAATATCAATTCATCACAACAACTCAAAACAATTCACAAGTAAACATACACTCAAACATTAATATATGATCACTAAATGCACTAGCATATCATAACTGAAGAAAATAGAGTTACACAAAACTATATCCCGAACGCCAATACAACAACATGGCTACCTTCTACTAATGGAAGAAGGCTACCTTCCATTGAATTAAAGTCCACTGGAATTAAAGTCGATTTTACGTTTTTAAAATAATAATTATGGTGTGTTAAATTTTAATAATTAAAATTTACATAAATTATTATATTTTTACAATTAACTTTGAAAATAACTGTATCACTTTATTATGAGATATTGATAAATGGGCCTTTAAACCTTATCATTCGTATGCTACCCCTTTGTACCAATAGCAAACAATTAAAAGTAATGGTTTATAATGCCTGATGTAAACAATAATAAAGATTAATGACTGTTTATGGATATCATTTTAACTTTATTTCCAATTATGCTTGTTGACAGTATTTAATCCCAAATATCGAAATGTCAGAAACTTATGGTAGGATACTGTTGGATATCGTTTATTGTTTGCGATATTTATTAATTTTTAACACTATTTCCCATTGATTATCATTCTTTTTGTTCCATTTTAGATTTCCTTTTCAAATTTCTTGTTATTGGAAGTGCTGGTTCAGGCAAGTCCTGTATGTTACATCAGTTTATTGAAAAAAAGTGTATGTTATTTTTACCTTTTATAAAAATTTATTTATGCATCTGATCAACATGTACCATTAGAATTATTATCCTTTATTAATTGTAGTCAAGGGTGACAGCAGTCATACAATTGGTGTGGAATTTGGTTCCAAAATAGTTACTGTTGCTGGAAAAACTGTTAAATTACAGATATGGGATACTGCTGGTCAGGAAAGATTCAGGTATAGTGATAATTACATTTTTTTCATGCAGGAGTATAAATAAAAGGGAAATAAGTTACTGTTACTGTTGGTCTGAAGAAACCAAATACAGGCTGTTATATTTTGTAAAACTTGAAAAATATTGCATTTGACCATTTGCCACTTAACATTAATAAATATGATTTATTTCTATTCTTATTAAGTTTTACTCTAAAATTTATGCCCTATGAACTATTATTTTGGATATTGTTATCCTCATTATGACTTTATTTTCAAATTTTAAAAATTGTTTTTAAGTATTTGTCATGATTTATATGTTATTATGAACTTATTAGCCTTGTATATGAATATTTTAAAAATTATTTATGCTTAAATTTCAAAATTCAATACTGATAATTTTAAGGATTTTTAATATCTTGATTAGTTTATTCAGTTTTACAATAAATTAGTCAGCTTTTACATTCTATATTTTTGAGTACTTCACATTGTTCAGTTTAAAAATTCTGTTACTTATTACTTAATTTATTGGGTTTATGCTCTGTTTAGTTTTAGATATGTAGACCATTTTAAAGTATTGGCAATTGTTTTGTTTTTTATTTTCCAATAGCAAGATTTAAGTTCTTGTTGATCCATATTGAAATCAAATTAACTATAAAGGCATTTTTTAATTGTCAAATATTATGAATGCTGGAAAAAACATTTTTAATTTATATGTTTTATTTTTCTATTAAATTTATTATGATTAATTTTAAAAAGTTATCTGTTTGAGAAAATATAACATCAAAGAGTTGGGAAGAAATGAATCTCAATTTATATATATGTTGCAGTATTAAAATACTTTAAAAAGAAACTTTAGTCCAGTACTAAAGTTATTAACTTAATATCTCCAAATTTATTTTATACTCTGCTTAATTAAAAATATAAATATTGTAATTTTTAAAATTGAGTATAATTTAATGTATTGATTAATCTTAAGCAATCTCTCTTATTTTTAAAATCACAAATGCATTGCTTATACCAGAAAATGTTTTTTGTTTTTTTTTAACCTTGACAGGAAATTAACTGCTGGTCTGTTATCTTTACTCACTTCCACTATCAAGTCGACAATTAGGTCTTTTACACTCTTAAATAAGTTAAATCATTTTTTATCAAAAATAATGCATATTGTCTGTAATCCTACAGTATAACATTTTCTTGGTATGGGTAAACATGGGCGCACATTTAGGTATATGTATTGGTTTTTTAAGTTAAAAAGTGATGAGCAGATTACAGGAGATCAATTATAAACGCTGAAAACGAGAACAAATTGTTAAAACTTTTTGGAAACTTACATAATTCAAAAGCACTTTTCAATTTCACTCCACAGATTATATTGCTCTTATGATTAAAAACCTACAAAAAGGAATAAAAATAATAATTTTTTCTGGACATGAACAGTCAAATAGTAAGAACATATTTAATGGTTTCATGTTTTGTTATGAATATGCTCATAAATTTTGTGTAAGTTTACATAGCTTGAAGTTATTCTTTTATAATTAATAAAAAAAAAAAAATTAAACTGTGACGTCATCACAACTAAGAAAATGTTTTATATTCTTCTGTGTAATATTTATGTTCTAGAGAGGAAGATAACCTGGTGAGTGAAAATTAATTGCGGTATTAAATAGAATTATGTAATTTTGCTATTGGTGTTAACAATTTGTTTTAGTTTTTCAACATTTTTTATGGATCCCTCTACTCTGCTCATCACTTTTTAGCTTCAAAACCCAATATGCTCTAGTTGCTTTAGTTGTTTCAATTTAGGACATTAAAATGGCCACGTTTAAATTTCTTACAATATAAGAAAAAATAATGAATTGATATTAAATTTCATAAAATAGAAAAAATAGTTTCCGTAAGATAATATAATATTTTAATATTATAATTCATTCTTTGAAATGATAAACTTGTTTTGATACCTGTATTTTTTTATTGTTTAATAAACATTTGTATACCCCTTTCAGTGGGCAATGTACTGCGCTGAACAAATTCACAGGACATTTATTATTGAAAGGTTTCACTGTATAATTAAAATTGAATTTTAAAAATTCAAATCATCACTTTTTAAAGTTTATTTCAGATTGCACTTCTTTCCAAAATTTACTTATTCCATTTTCAAAACCCAATGTTCAAGCTTATGGTTGTGAATAATATTTGTATGTTATCAGTTTATTATTGAAAGGTTTTGGAATAATGAATATTTATTAATGTATTTTAGGTCTGTGACACGAAGTTACTATAGAGGTGCTGCTGGTGCACTTCTTGTTTATGACATAGCTAACAGAGAAAGTTACAATGCGCTTGGCGAATGGCTAACAGATGCTAGAACTCTTGCAAGTCCTAACATTGTCATCCTTTTAGCTGGGAATAAAAAAGATCTAGATGATGATAGACAAGTTACTTTCTTAGAAGCAAGCAAATTTGCCCAAGAGAATGGTAAATTTCTTTGGACTTTTATAACTGAGCTATTTTTTACATAACTGGTTGTTTAATTTAATAAGTCTCAGATAGTATTCAGTATTTTTTTTATTTAAGGGAGGATAAGTTCATATGTATTAGCCATGTTCATTTGTTTTTATCCCTCTTTTTCATATCAAGGGCCAATGCCAGGTTTTAAATATGGTCAATCTCAGTAATTCGAACTTCAGTAGTCTAAGCACTCCAATAATCCGAATAGAGTTAAAAAAGTAACAAAGGGAGACTAGAAAGTTTTGTTCAGGAAAGGAAATTTAATCCAGTGAGCCAGAGATTAATTTCTAACAAAAGATGCTCTTATATTCTAGCACTATCCTTTGAACTAGTATGCTTATGTATAAAACAGATTGTGAAAATCAAATTAAACAATTATAATTCAGTGCTAAGAAATTGATAATCAAATTAACAATTATAATCAAAATTAGTTTATCATTTTTTGTCTACATATCTGATTACAATAGACTTGTAAAAGCTGCTAGTACCAGGTGTGTATATATGAAACCGAAATTTTCGTCTCAAAAATACATGTCTATTACATAATAATGTTAAAAAATATTTTATTCGAAAAATTGTCCATCACTAACCATACGCTTTTCTCATTTCTCTGGGAATTTATAAACATCAGATAAACTGTTGTTCTTTTGTGGTGAACCAGTCATGAAGCTGCCATTTTCAAAAGATGTGAAGCGCTGCTGAGCAAGTAAATAGTAGTCGGGTAGAACCAAGTCTAGTGAGCATGAGATAACATTTCTCGACTGAAGGCTCAGTCATTTCCTTTACTGGTATTTCTGTATGATGGTTCATTATCAGGTAGAAAATAACTTTACCTTGCTTTTTTTTTTTTATATTGTGGCCATTTTTCATGCAATAATCATATTCAAATCTTATCATTTTTTGTTGATAGCTTTCAGTATTAACAGTTTCGCCGGTTTTTGTATCTCATAATTGATCCTACCAAATAAAAGAGCATTGTCTTCTTTCTATAGAAACTCATTTTTCCATCTTCTGGATCTTTCCATGGCTTTTATATGTGGAGACAGCTTCTCATATTATATTCAATTGATCCGCTAGATGTTGAATTTAATAATCATCCTCATCCAACAATGCTTGCGATTTGCAGTTTTAAAACTTTTTCTGTGGTGTTAAATGATTTTCATTTCTCAATTTCAAAATCGTTAATTTTAATTTTTTTATACTATTCAAAGCACTGGGATTTGCTGAGAGTATGCTCATCATTTGTTGAGCATTTAATGCAATTCTGCTGCAGTATTCTATAAATGGTAACAGAAAACTAATGCTGTCTGCAAATCATGGTTTGTAGTAGTATGCACTAAACTCGACATGTTAAACACTTGTATTGTTATGAGTTGAAAATTTTTGCCAACTTTCATAAAAACAAAATGGTAGTAGTAATGTGGTTTAACAGTAACTTCTTTACCAATCGATATAGACAAATCCCAATTTCATATTTACATACCTGGTATATTATTTTCTTGATTAACGGTTAATAAGAAACCTTGAGTGAAATTAACCTTACCGAGATGAGTCACAATATCTGTTGTTTTTTTTTTTTCAAGTAACTTTTAGGAATATTACTGGTTCTATAATGTACAATAAACTAAAAAACTGAAGAAAAATATTTTTAACAGAGATAAAAATAAATTATGTATTTTGTATTATTTTTTATTTTTCAGAGCTCATGTATCTTGAAACTAGTGCTAAATCTGGAGAAAATGTTGAAGAAGCTTTCTTAAAGTGTTGCAAAACAATCCTTGCAAAAATTCAAAATGGTTAGTAATTAATCAATATCGGATTTTTATTAATTTAATTTATTTTCCACATTTATTTTTAGGTCCACTTTAATATTTTATTAAATGACATCTAGTCTAGGTTTTGATGAAAGATTGTGAATTTTGTTAACTGAAATTTTATTTGAAAATTCACAATTTACTATAAATTTTTTCTGTTAGTTCTTTAATAATCTACCAATATACTCTGTTGAAAACTGTTTTTTTTTTTCATTTACCTGTAGAATATTTATATTGAACAGAAAACTGGTTACATTTGTCTGTGTCACAATTTGAAAATAAAATGAATCTAGTATTCACATATAATCACAGAATTTTCACAATACAATTTCATACAATTATCATTTTATGTTTACAGGTGAATTGGATCCTGAACGCATAGGATCTGGCATTCAGTTTGGAGACTCTAAGGCTAGGTTATTAAGACAAGATAAAACAAGAAAACAAGGAGATTGCTTTTGTTCTGTTTAACAGTTTTTATTAGAATATGCTCCAGTTCTACCTAATTCTGTGATGCTTAGCCTCTTCAGTATATGATTTATTATATCGAAATTTTGGATGCCCTTCAAACGTCTTTCGTAGTGAATTTAGTTACATATTTAGCTATATTATAATTCATAATGTCTATTAGTCAAAATTATTTAAGTAACTCAATTCATAAAATTATTTTAAATATTGAGAGCCAAAGGAAAATTAATATAAATTATGTTTTTAATTACTTAATTTTAACTTGGCTCAACATTAAATTAAAAATCCTGCCATTAGCATCTTATTATTTCTAATAATCAAGTTCAAGTTTGGCTATGTTCTATTTTATTATTATTACGTTTGTTGATTTTTCTACAAATGCTATAGAACTAATGTTGATTTATTCTTATTATATTTTTAATCATCAATCACTATAAGTGATCATGTAGATCTGATGTATAGAAATGATATATTATTTACACATAATTGACGCAAAATTTTATTTTCTGAGGTATTTTTCGTAACAGATGTTAATATAATTGATACAAACAATTTTTCTTGTTTTTAAATTAAATTCTAGGCTGTTTTGAAACATTTATTTGTTAAAATACTTTATGGTGCTAAATTTATTGTAGTTACCTCCTGATTATTAAATTAATTTTAGATATCTTAAATTATAGATTTCTTTTATGAATTACTAAAATGTTATCAATCCTATCCAGTTGCTCTTTGCTTATTAAACATTTAAAACTGGAGAGAGCATATGTTTTTTTCTGAACATGGGTTGACATTTCCCATTTGCTTTACAGAATAATGGATTTAAGCAGTTTTTAACATTGCTATTAAAAATGTGTAATTAGTTACATCATTTTACAAAGATTATTGTCATAAATTCAAGAGCTCCCTCTAAAAAGGTTCTGATTGACAAAATTAAACAAATAGATTTATTAGTATAAACAAGTTCTTTTTGGACTAACCTGGTGCAGCATTCTGTAGGTCCATTTAGTTCAGATCAACTTATAGTATTAGTCATATTAGGTCATAAAGTCCTTTTTATGCTGAATAATCTATTTATTTATTTATGAGATATTTATATTGAAACTGCATTGCTATGTATTTATTTTCATACATATATTTTATTAAATTTCTATTCAAAAATATTTATTGTGCAATATACTTAAGATTTTCTATTTATGATATATTACATTATGTTATTCAATTTTTAATCTAGAGCAGGGGTCTCTATACTACGGCCCGTGGGCTGGATCTGGCCTGCTATCACTAGCAACCCGGCCCGCATAAGTTTCTTTGATTTTATGGTAAAATTTTAAAAATATGAATTTAAGCAAATTACTTATACAAGAGGTTACTACAACATTTATTGAATGTTTTTTTTCTCTTAGAAAGCTCATTTCGAGACTGAAGTGTCATTTATAGCACAAAATTTTTTTTTTCATCAAAAGCTTTGGTTCGCAGGTCTTTGGTGGAGGTCTCAATGTTCAGGTCTCAATCAAAGGTTTCCAAAAATTTTGGAAACCTTTGATCTAGAGCATTGACCATTGATCAATAAATGCATGTCAGAATAAATATGATTAAAGTTTATTATAAAATATTTTGTAACTTAAAAAAAAAAAAATATTATGGTTGTAGCACATGGATCTTAGCTTCCTCAAGTATCTGCCACCAAGTAAGTTGTTGCATTCCAATTGCTTTTTCCAACTTATCTGGTGCAATTTGCAACATGATCTTACCTTCGCATTCTTGCTTTACCTGGTGCTCCCTATCTGTCTTTATCATCTTAGTAATCATTTGTGTATTCGTTCTTGTGACACGCCCTATTGATGCATGTTCATTTTTAATTCCTGATCTGATTTCTATACTGTTGAATATGTCATAAAATACATTGGTACTCCTTTGCAACCATTATTGTATTCTGTTATAAGGATCAGATATTCAACAAATAACTTTTCTTTCAAAGATCTAAAGTTGTTATCTTCCATTTTTGAGGTATTCCTCCTTTATAAACAATAGGTAAGCATAAAGTTACTGTTTTAAGACTAAAGGTTTTGTATGAAGTTACATGTGTTCATATAATTTACCTTCAAATTGATTGGTAATAATAATTCCATTATTATTTTCACCCTTGCTTGCTTTGTTGTTTTTCCCTTATAAAGCAGGCATTGCCTTTATTCCAAAATAAGTTGGTTTACTACAACTTCCAAAGCTGTAATTATTGGAGAGCAGAATTAAAATAGCACCTGATTATAGTTACATCATCTGTGAAGGCCAGGTGTTGGACTGTATGGAGTAAGATGGTACTGGGACAGTCAGGATGACCAAGTCTCTTACTGAATCCTCCAGAGAATAGTTAACAAATACTTTGCATTTGCATCTCTCTGCCTAAGTCCTCTCTTTAAAGAGAAATTTATATATCTTCATGGATTTATACCATACACTCGATGGCTGTCATTTTAATTCAAACCATTTTAGGGAGTATTTTTTAGAAGTATATTGTTATATAGATCTGCTTTCTATCAATCAAATCACTTGCTGATTCAAATTTTATCAAGAGAAAATGTTAATATCAAACTAGCATTGATTTAGAAGAGGAAAACCTAAAGATAAATATAGGGCTAAGAACAATTTGAATGACTTAATTAAGCAACAATGTAACTGTCAAAGTTCATCATTGCGTATTTCTTCAAATTCATTTCAAGATCTGGAATGGAAAGTAATTATTCACTATGACAAGACTAGATAATTTTTTTTTTTTTGTTTACTATTATTTTTTTTAGATTTAGTCTTTTTTTAAACTATTATATGTTCTTGCATTGTTAATTCATTATTAAAAATGGAGGTATATATTATAGCATTAGTATAGAAAATAAAGTAAGATTAACTTGCTTAAAATAAATCTTATGGAAGAATTTAAGTCAGATTTTGTTTTAGAAAATTCATTATGTGATTGGATTCACTGATTTTCATTTGTTTATCTGTCACTTAATTAACTAAGAATTTTTCTACTGTGATGGACAATTAAGACTAGGTTATCTCACCAGTTTTTAACTTATCTTAAGCTTGTATTTATATCCTCTTTTGCTTTGTTTCTCCTAGAATTGTATGTAGGATGAAACTATGTATTTTGCAATTTTTTAATGTGGATGTAACTTTTTTTTACCATTGTGGTCTTTAAGGCTTGACATTTTAATAATACGTTATATATATATATATATATATATATATATATATATATATATATATATATATATATATATATATTATTTTTTAGTTAGCTTGATTTATATTAAATGTGGGTGCACTTACGTCCATTTCAGTTACTCAAGAATGTTTGATGAACCTCGAAGTTTTAACAACCTGTAGTTTGCCTGATAAAGTTGCGGGCACTTCTATTCTCTTTCCCTTAAATATCTGTGATACTTTGTTGATATATGATGTATAATCAACTGCATTACAAATCCTACATTCTTGAGTGATTGATGAACTTCTGAATAAACAAGAAATTATTTAGTGAGGTCAATTCTTAGGCAGGCTGATAACACCTCATTTTTATTTGTTTTACCTTGTAAAATTAATATGTGCCTCTGAGTTAGTTTGTTTGTCATAATCTCAATTTTTAAACATGTGATTTAGGAAGTAAAATATGTAATATATATTAAGATGAATTTACAAATATCAGTTTCTTTTAAGAATTGTTTGCTATTTTTATTATTATTATTGTTATTTGATGGTTTGACCATATCCATGGAGGATGATTAACTTTTAAGAGATTGAAGACTTTATTCTCATTGATTCTTTAGTATTTTTTAATAGTTACTTATCATTCCCAGTACTTTTTAGTGATTATTTTAAAGTATTAATTAATTATATACTATATGAACAATGCATGAAAAATAATTAAAGTTATTTTTTTTACTTATATTATATGCAAGCATCTGTGAATACACTTACCAGTCGCTCGATAGTTGTTAATATAAAGTGTTATTTTATTATTTTGTTCTTTATCCTGTTTTGATTTTATTAGTAGGCATGATCTTCCCTTTTTTTTGAAAAAAGAAATTGTTTTTTACTTCCTTTATTTAAAATACATTTTTAAGAAATTACCACACAATATGTAGAATTTTATCCAGTAATATATTTGTTTCATTAATTTATTTTGATTATTTATTATTTATTTTTGTATGAAACTTAATGGACATATACTAAGGTTGTTTTTCTGTTAATGTTAGTTATTTCAAATTGTGTTTGTTATTAAATCATGTAGTTGTTGCTTTAATTTGTAGGGAAAAATTTGAATATATTCACATGAATTAAGTACTTATAATAACTCTGAATTGTTTAATTATTGTTTCTAGGATATATTTCATCTGAATTATGCATAGTTATTTTAAAGCTTATTTTTATTTAAAAATTTTCTGCCTTATATATAATCATATTCTTGAATCATTTTTTATTGTCAGATGATAATACCTTTACAGGTAATTATTTTGTGAAAATATTTATATTGAATCCCAAATATTAAGGATTCTTAAAATGCTGTGAGCACATATGTAAGCTTCAAATAAAGAATATATATATTTTTTATTGTAATTATTTAAAATGGTGTTTTTAAATATAATTATTCTAAATCAATCCGTTATTTGATAATGAAGTTCAGTTATTATAAAATAAAGTTCTTTGAGATTTTAGAAATTTAATTTATCTTGGAAACTATTGTTATTTTAAACATGATAAATTTTATTAATATTATAAAATTTATATCGTTTTTATGAATCTTATGGGCTTATATTTTTCTTAGAACTATATTTTAAAAATATAACAATAAAAATATCCTCACTATAGAAGCAACTTGAGATATTTCAATTTTTTCAAATTTCCAAGAAAGTATATTTTTCTCATGTTTACTATTCTTAATATTTCTACAGTATAGTATTCATATATCACCTTGTTAAAAATTGAGATGTTATGTTGCTTCTTTAGGGAAAATATGTAGTTTTTTACACAATAATAATATTGTTATTTCATTTATTCAATTCATATTTCTATTTACTTGATTACTGTTTTATTAGGAGTTATAAATATAGAGGTCTGCGCATAATGCTAAAATAAATTGACACTTTTTTTGTGATTTCAACTTTTTCTGTTGGCATATTTGTATTAAATTTATTTAAATGATATACATTAAAAACCTATCTCATAAATATCTAAACTTATATTTTCTGAAATAAAAAAAAGGTTTTTAGTTGTTATTTTATATCCTATTCCAAACTATGTAAAATTCAACAAATGTCGATAATTGGGTTATAACGATAATGGTCTAAGTTAAGTTTGTTTTATTTAGAGAAAGTATAATAAATAAATACCATTTAAGTATTTATTTAAAAAGCCTTTGCTTTCTTTAAATGAAGCTAATAGACATCATTATTATTTATTCTATGTTGGATCACTCTTGTCCTGGCTATCTAGTTAAGCTCAGTTATAACTGATGTTATAAGGCCTAATCATTTATTCTTCAATAATTATGCCTTTAATTCTTCTGTGTTAACTTGTAAATATCCTTTTTTTTTTTTTTTTTTTTTTAAGCTACTCTGTCGTAGTAATATTTTAGTGTATTACATAAGGTTTTTGTTTGTCTAAATTCTAAAAAAATACTTAATAATGGAAAACTTAGATGAAGTGACTGATCGTTTATTCTTAGTATTTGTTAAAATTGTTTAAATGTTGTTATTTACCTAATAGTTAATTAAAATTTGTTAAAATCTTAATCAACTATTAGGTCTTTTAAGATCTAAGTTGTTTTTGTTTGGCTTTTAATTATTTATTCACTAATCTTGAGCATTTGCTTCTCAAACAATTTGTTGTGGGGCCAATTCATTTTCACATTTAGAAATCTATATATTTACAATTCCTTTAGTTATTTTGTTATTGTAAATGTATTAATTAATTTGTTCGTATTTATTTAAAAGTATTATGTAAAAATATTTTATTTTTAAATATATGTTCAAGTTTTAAATTTATAGTTTAAGTTTTTAAATTATATATTTTTAATAAATCTGTAATGCTTCTTTACTAAATGAACTATTGGAGATAGCCCTATTTTGTTTCTGTGATTGTTTTATTTAATATATTGTAAATAATTAATAAACGTTAGCACCAATATAAAAAATTAATTTTGAATTGATTCTATTCCCCAAATTAAAATTTCAGTAATTTTTTTGTAACGTTTATTGTTTAGTTCACTGTCCGATTTCTGTTAATATCAATTATGATCAAGTATCACGTTACAATACCCTAAAGAAATTTAACATTTTCAATTTTAACAATGAATTCAATACCTAGTACTAAACTATTTCAAACATGATGAGGGGAATTGGGAGTAGGTGATAATGGAACACTGATTTTTTTTTTTTTTTTTTTTGAGTATTTGATCAAACTAATTATTAATAAATTATAACATTAAGCAAGAAAATGCAAGTCAAATAGTATTTTAGAAATCTGAGCAATGTAATCGTATTAAAAAAACATCGTACTTTGCCCTACAATTTTTCCACGTAGCGTCGTGTGCTGACACAGTGTATCCTTTCATTAAAATTATGTTTTACAATTACTTATGTATGAAGAAATAATAATATTTATATCAATTATATTTATTTTAAATAAATAAAAAATATATATTGATTATTATTTTAGAGCTTAAACTGAAAAACAATGACGTCACTTGGTATAGGAGAATTGAGCGCAAGGAAAGATGCATAGTGAACTCTACTATTGGACGCCATCTCAAAACTTTAAGCCCATGGAGACCGTGGCATAATGGCGGAAATGTTATTTGTTGTGTGGGACATTTTAATATAACATATTTCTTTATTTTGAGTTGTTGTTTTGTTATTTTTAGTGATTGAAGAAATTATAATTACATTTATTAAAAGTGTAGCTGTATTTATTGTGTTTGTATTGGATCCCAAAAGGAAAAACAACTAGATTGAGCGACTGATCTTGCAAGGTTTGTTTTTAGAAGTATTTCTCGCTTTATATTTCTATAACTGCATAGGGTGTAGGTTACCTATTATTAACATGGTGTCTATTGATAAATTCATTCAATGAGACAATTTTCTTCATTATATTTACGGAGATAATCAGTTAGTGAATGTGGTACTGTTTACACTTTTTTCTTGCTTATTATTTGTAAATATTACTTCTCAACTATTTAGTTTGTTGTGTATTTTCATTAGTTTATACAATTTTTGTGGAATTGTGTTGTTTTTTTTGTTAATTTATTATACTTCATTACAGCATTCTATTGAAGTTCAAACAATTTACTTTATATTTTATTGGGTTCATCTTAATTTATTTGGGCAACTTATAGGTGTAGATTACTTCAGTTAACTTCTCCAAACCAGAACTTTTTGTTTATATAATGAATATCATTCTGCATGATGTGGTTGTTTCCCCATATTGGGCTTAACATAATTATTAATGTGATGAATGAAGTTACTAAGTTTATCAACGTCTTAGTTTATTTATATGAGTTTGTTGGTCCATAGCCATTGTTAGACATTATTTATTAATGATATATTAAGCTTAGATTTAAACTAAAACCTAATGTACTTTGAGGAGTTCATGAATTCTTATGTATGACATTTTTGTTAAAAGTGTGATGAGCGCAATGAGTGCTTCATCTGGGCTCATGCCTCTAAGTTTGATATCTGAACATAAGGCTGCACAAGGAGGACCACCGCCGGTACAACCTTTGGCTCGTACTCCTGAAAAGCACTCGCTGGTTCAGGCTCCTAAACCTACGCCTAATGGAATGGAACCATCGCCTCCCCTGATTCCATCTCTTCCACCTTCTCAGCCTGAACCTCAACCAAGCCTTCCCTGTAAGTATTTATCGCAGAGGAACAGATTTCATGGTTGTATTTATTTTGTTATTGTGTAAGTTATATGAGTTAAAAATTTTTTAGAATTATTTATTATTCACATTATATAATTGTTCCTATCTTTTCATGTATTTTAAGTTTTCTGTTTCGGGTGGTACATAGTTTTAGGCAGCATGACATATGATGACAGTATAATTTGAAATGATTTTATAGTTATCCTTTCAGACAATGCCATGCAACATTGAATTTAATTTTTAATTATCTGAGGTATTTCTTATTTGTGATACTTGCATAAAGGAAAGAGATGGTAACTTTTTAATGAGACACTTTATATAATTTATATTTCTCCTTAAACACTCCTATTTGATTAACCAACGATTTATAATCATTCCAGGTCAAATGGCAACATCAGTCATATTTTTCATTTCATAAGTTTGTTTTAGTTCTTGTGCAAAGTAATAGATTTTGTTAAGCAATTCAGAATTGTTTTAGTATAGTTTTAATGCTGAATTTCAGTTATATTTTATTTGGTATCCTAATGAAAATAATACCATTGTATTTGAACTTCTTTTCCTGATAATGTGGTTACATTTTGATCTTGATGAGTTAAAATTTTAAGATTCTGGATAGATCCCAAGTAAAAAAAAACATGTAACATACTATTATATTCGACTTGAAGTTACCAGTAAATTTAAATAAACATTTTTTTATTATCTTGTTTTACATGATGCTTCAAATATAAATATTCGTTCAATTAACCTTCTCTCTGAAATGTATTAAAATAAATTTACTTAAACAATTAAATTCAAATTGTAAAAAATTAATTATTCTCTTTCAAAGTGTTCTAATGTTATTATTTTATTTTTTAAATTGTTTTTCAACAATTACTTATAATTATAAAATCTGTTATAATTATTTTCAGAAATAAAACTAGAATATTGAGGAAATAGGTTTTGATGTAATGCTAGTTTATAAAAATATTGGCATAACTCAAAATTATAACATTCTAATATCTTGTCAGTTATGATGACGTAAAAGTGAAAACTCGAATGATTTTTTTTTTTGTTATTGTTTAAAGTAGCAATTTCTATTATATTATTATAAATAGAATAGAATAGAATGTATATGCATATGACCGGCTTCATATCAAAGACGGACATCTGTTATTTTCAGAAAGTTCAATTTTTGTTTTATAGATTCAACTCGAAACAGTTTCTGATGTTTTTATTCAAGAATGTTCAAGTTGAATTATGAAAAACAATCATAATTGGTCTTAATTGAAGCTATATTACAAAAATAGGCTTCTTTTTTTTCACCTTGTCAGATGTCTGCCTTTGATATGGGAGCCATTCATATAACCTGTTAAAAGTTAGTTTTTAGTTAAGCCAATTTTTTTCCTAGTTAGTGATAAATTTTAAGAAAAACAGGTGGAAAAATTAGTCATTTAATTTATCGCTCATGTATATATGTGTATGCCTCTGGTATGGAATTCTGGATCGAGTTGAATGAAAATAGCTAAACTTTTCTCACACTTCTCTTTAACAGATTAATTAAACTCTTGAGACTTTTGTAGGTTTTTTATCACTACTTGACAGTGTTACTAATGGATGAGCACAAGATCATATGATCACACTGTAGATAGAATTCTGAAAATCACCGAGTGTGTCCAAAAATAGATGGAGGTGACTGAACTCCCTAGTAAGGCTCTGACCTCGACTGAAAAGGACCAGTCAGGATTTTGTGAAAGTCCTTAATCACAACCTAAATAAAGGGAGGTTATATTGCTGAACAAGTCAATAATTCACCATTCTCAGAATTTCATTTATAGTTTGATCATGAGATCTTGTGCCCCCTTGTCAAAGTGCTGCAACACTTGTAAAGTAGTAGCCTTTTTTTCTCTACCTAGGAGTTTAAACTGGCACTACCAGATTCGAGGTTTCTAAGGCGATACTGTAACATGAGCCATCACAGCCTCTATCAACAACTAAATATAGACCTTTGTGCTTGCGTTAATACTTGATTATGGAAAGAGTGTCACCCTTATATATAATTTAAATGCAAGAATACCAGGCATTTTTTTAGAAGTAGTTTCCCTGTAAAAAAATTAAGTGGTTTTAATTCTATAGTTTATGTAGTGATATTAAATCTGCACTCCAGTTAATGCTTCTAAGATGCTTGACATATTTTTTGAAATTGAATATTCCATAAAAAAAGTTTAATTAAATTTTCAATATATATTATTCATTCCTTCCGACTTCCCCTTCCTTCCATTTTTCTTTTAGAATTATTCTTTCCATTTTAATTTGAACTAGGTGTCTGAGTAAATATGACTGTTAAAGTATTAATAATAATAAAAACTGCAAGATTAAACTATCATTTTTACTGTTATAACTTAGTCCCTTTAGTATATTATTATTAGATTCAATGATAAGTTTTAGTAATAGTGTAGTTTATTTACCTAATTTTTCATTATATAATTAATTCTTTTTTTTTTTAAACATTTATTTGTTATAATTAGAATTTAGCTCTTCCGGGATGCAATCCAATTTTCAGAATCATATGTGGTTCATTTTTAGTAATGTCACTCAGTCTACATCTTACATTTATACTGTATTACATTACTTACATTTATGATGTTCAAATATTTTTAAACAAAATGTTTACCTTCTTATTGTAGTGCTCCTAATGTCATTTGATATACCTATAAATTATTTTTTCCATTTAAAATAATAAATTGCTGATAACATACTTCATCATTGGGTCCACTTGTCTAGAACTCTAATCAGTTTATAGAAATGTTCTGTTTAGACTTTGTCCCCTTAAGAATGTTCTCTTGTTATTAGTTTTGTTTGTGTATTTTAATCGTACCATACACACTTTTTTTAAATCTATTTTAATAAATTTTAGCTATTATTTTTAATTTCTTATTATTATTTAATTCTTTTAAATTAAATGTACTCTTATATGGTTTATAATGTTGGGAAAGTGTTAACTAAGACTTGTGTGGGTTATGTCATATTAATTTTTATTATTTTCTGTGATATAAATACCTTCTAATGGAAGACGAAGATTTTATAAATGATTTTATTTTGTATCATTTAGGTATAAAAAACAGATATTTCATGTTTTTCAATTTAAAATAATAATTAGCTTCTTTGTTAATTTTATTTCATACAATACTATATAAAGTGTGATATATAGAGTATATGATTGGATGTCATAGAGAGTTGTGTCTTCAGTTTTTTTTCTGTACTGATAATGCCTGAATAGGTGAAATGCTAGTGGGTTAGCACAAGGCTGTGTTGTTAGATTTAACCAATTATAACATAAATACCATATAAAATTTGTGCTTTAAAATGTTTCTTTGGTGTATCTAAAATTATAAACATTTAATGCCATTATAACGACCATTTCTGATAAATAATTATGAGTTTGTAATCTAATTATTGTTTAGATGGTGGAAAGAGTGAAACTATTTGTGAAGAAGACCGAAGTGGAGGAAGTGTTCCTGAAATTCTGGTTCCTGCTGCTGAACCGGCACCTCCATCAATAGGAACCGTCCCAGAACAGCTATCAGCTGTAGAAGCTGCCGAACTGCCCATTGTTCCTGAAATCCCTGTTGCATTAAATCAAGCACCGTCCTCGCCTACACCTGCTCCAACACTTCCTTCACAAGCACCAGTACCCACTCTTCCATCAAATGTTACAGTTCAACCAACTGAGGCCACAGAAGCCCGAATAGAGGTAGAACAAGAATCTTTGCCTCAGCCCGAGGCTGTTCCATCTCCAGAACCTGCCCAAGTTCCAATACCTGATGTTAGTCCAAAGACCGAAGGTGCAGCAGAAGAAAATCAGGAGTCCAAACCACCGCAAGAACCACAACCATCTTCCACAACTGCTAGTGCCTCTTTGGATCCTGCAGACGTCCCTGCAACATCTCCAACACCAGCTCCAACTACTAGACAGCCTAAACGAACTAAGGTATGTATCTTTTATGTACGTTTTTAATTTAAGACTTTACTAATGTTTAAGTTTAAGCATTTATGACCAGTTATTAAATGCTGTCCTCACTCTTCATCTGTTTTCCGGGCTTCAGTAACTAACCTTGGCATATTGGAGGTTTAACAAAAAAATTATTTTTTTTATCTCCCCTTGTTGGAGAAGGAAGCAGCAATTCCATTTAAATACTGATATATATATATATATACTTATATTTACTATAATATTTATATGTTAAATTTGTTTATTTACAAACAATGTGTTATAGTGGTTTCTGAAATGTTTTATTTTAGCAAAATGCCAATGTTGGGAATAGTGATAAAAAAGTTCCTGCTGCAATAGAAGAAGAAGAAACATCTGGTGATGATAAAAAATCAACAAAAAGAAAGAGGCTTCCAACACAACCATACCAGAGTCCAATTCCTGAATTAAATTTAATAGCCAAAATTAGTAAAATAGACAAAACAACTGTGCCTGGAGATGATAAACTGATTGTGTTTTACAGGTAAGAGAGCTTGCCATAGTTAGCCATTTAACAGATGTTTGATGGATCATTCTCTAATAGTTTTATTGAGTAGTATTGAAATTGATTGAAGTAAATATTAAAAATTCATTAACTACAGTATACCTTTGAGATATCCTATTTAATTATTAAAAATAATGTCAGTTATTTTTTAAAAATAATTAATTAAAATGCTGACAAACCAAAATGATAGTATTCATCACTAGGGAAAGCTCAGATGTATTTAGAGGTAACGTCACATATAAAATACTTCTGTCTTGAATTATTTTAAGTAAGGATACTACTTAATTATCGGAGACTACCAAGCCGGATTTAGACGGAACCGTTTGACTATTGATCAAATATTTTCTTTACGGCAAATGTTGAAGAAAAAATTAGAGTACAACGGTGTAGTTAACCAGCTGTATATCGATTTCAATAAAGTTTACAATTCTATTGACGGCCAGAAACTGCGTAATATTCTAATCAAGCAGAGAATCCCTAAACAATTAGTAAGTCTAGTCAGGATGTACTTGACGGAAACATTTAATAAAGCTAGAATCGGTAACAATTTATCTGAAAAGTTTAAAATTTGTTCGGGTTTTAAAATTAGGTAATTCCCTTTCGTCTGTCTTGTTCAATTTTGCATTAGAACATGCTATTAGGGAAGTAATTCGTTCCGAAAAAGAGTTGGATCTGAGTAGGATAACACCCATGCTTGGCTATGCGGATGATCTGGTCCTGTTAAGCGAAAACACAGAAACTATCAAACTAAATACGATAAAACAATCGAAAGTCAGTAAAGAACTAGGGCTCAAAATAAACATGGATAAGAGAAAATTTATGGTTAGCTGCAAATAAGGGCCATATTGCCGGTGATATCTATATCGAAGGTAATATGTTTGAACACTTTGAGAAGTGTATCTAGGGTCTAAGATAACTAGAAAAAATGATATTGAAGAGGAGATTAAGGTTAGAATGAAAGCGAAAAATGCTTGTTATTTTTCTGTGAAAAAACTACTTAGCTCTCACCTCCTGTCTTGGAACTTAAAAATTAGAATGTATAAAACCATTATCCTACCTATAGTTCTCTATGGATGTAAAAGATGGCCGCTTTGATTAAGAGATGAGCAGCATCTTAAGGTTTTTTAAAATAAAGTATTGCATAGAATATTCGAACTGAAGGAGGATGAGTTACCCGGAGAGTTCAGACGTTTACACAACGCTAAGTTGCGTGAACTGTATCTGGTTAATATATTTGAGTAGATTGCATCGCGGCGAATCAAATGGATTTGTAAAATTTTTGGGCTTGGTCACGAAAGAATTCCTAAAAGGTTTATATTTGTTCTACCGTTTGCTAAAGGTCCGAGGGTAGACCGAAGCAAAGGTGGGAAGATTGTGTTAAAGCTGATCTGAAGGTACTGGGTTTAGCCAATGAACAGTGGAAGAAGGTATATGATAAGCGATTAGTGGTGTCGTCATCGAACCTTTGAGTTCACTAAGCTTTTTATTATTATTATTAAGAATATTATTGTCCCCATGACAGAATATTATGTCTAAATAAATAAATTTAAAAAAAAAAAAATTAAGAATATTATTTAGTTTTCTGTTCAACAGTGTCATTAACGAATTATGCTGAACCCTCTATTTCTGAGTTTTCAAACAGAATCATTGTTGGTAGCAAACAGAGAAGAAAACTAGTCTTAATAGATTGCACAAACATTATTTCTATGAATGTTTTGTTCCCATGATTCTCTAACACTTATGTTAAGTTAAAGCAGAAAAGAAATAGTCTTACTTAACAAGATTAAGAATTAACTTGACATTAATTAAAGTTGAAAAAAAAAAGATAAATGTTCGACATGTAACTCCATCGAGGACCCATTGCACATTATTTTAAAATTTAAGAGATATGATTAATACCCCATTGTGCAAATTTATTGAAGAATTCAAAATAGATTTTTTAAAATAAATAATAATAATGTTCATCTATATCTCCATTATATTTTAATACAACAATAGGGGCAGTATAGGACTTCAGTGGGAGTCTTAGGCCGATTAAAAAAAAAAAAAAAAATTATTATTTGGTATTTAACAATTTAATTTATGATTTGTATATTACATTTTGTTAGATATCAATCACATAAAGTTCTAATTTTTCCTGAGCTTTATTCTCCTCACTATCATATGTCTTGTAAGATATTTCCTTTGGTGTTCTAAATATCATGTATATAAGAATTAATTAATGTAAATTCATTTTCTAGAAACGAGTTTCTGGCTGTACGTAATGCTGAAGGAGGGTTTTATGTCTGCCAAGCCCTGCAAAATGTGTATAAAACTTCTAGTAAAATACGGATAAGATGGCTTTCACAGGTCGCTAATACTGATCATTATTCACCAGATTTCTATGATAATACAGGTAAATTACATTATGTTATTTTATTGCTTTAGAAGTTATAAATCAATTATTCTTGTGTTTATTTTAAGCCAAAAAAAAAAAGTTGAAATTTTTGGCGATTTGTAATACTCATATTGATAATGAGCCACTTATATCTTCATTTATTCATTCATTTTAGCACATTTATTTATTTTTAAAAATTTTAAGTGTTTGAAAATTTTCCTTGTTTTTATGTTTGATAGAATTTGATTGCATATTAACAAATTTAAACCTCGAGAGAATTGATAAGAACAAATTCCACCTGCCTGATGTCGAAGCCCAACGAACTCAAAGTATTTTGAAACGTGCCATTGATGTAGAAAAAGGAATCGCTCCTCCTGAAGAAACCAGCATAACTGAGGAGCATCCAGATGGACGTAAGTTTTTTTTTTTTTTTTTTTTCAATTGAATCAAATTTATTTTACATCAAAACATGTTATTAACTCTGGAACGACACACTTAAATATTTCAACTCATTCTGACACTGAGGTGTGGTACGCTCCAAACTTCAAATTATCATAAAATTTAATTGTCATGCTCTGGAAAGCTCAAATACTTCTCAGAAATAAACTAAATAATCAGGAAACAAAAACATAAATAAATTCAAGGTAACCTTAGAGAATATTTCTTATATACTCACATAAGATAAAAAGTTAACAGCTATATCACTAAAAAATCTAAAAAGGATCAATATTTTTCCATTGAAAATACATTAAGTTTATATCAATTAAATATATAATAAAGGAAAAAAAAAAACATTTTTACTTAAAAAGATAATGAAACCTACCTATAGTTGAGGCCATTTAAGTAACCACTCACAATAATCCAAGCAAACTGTCCCTGTGTATTCGTTGCAGATAACTTGCTGTTGCCGCCTATACATGACACGTTTAAATGTTGTACTCATGCCGTCTTTATTTAATATGCTCCTTTTGTCATTCCTTTACCTTCTAACTCCCATAACAATTTATGGATTTTTTCAGAAGAATACATTTATTTTTAAGTTGCCTTACTAAAAAAATAGTTTCTATACTTTAATGTCTGTATTTAAAATACCACTAGTTAACAAATATTACATTAGAAATCAATGCCTGAATTATTTGAAGTTACAAAATAACAAAGAAAACACTGAGATATGAAATTCACAGAACAGTTACATAGACTGCACACAGGAGCAGGGCACCCCAGGCACTCAGGAGAGTCATGTAAATAACACACTGGTGTGTGGGATGCTCCAAATGACTTGATAACTCTTAATAATGGTATAATCCCAACAATTGAGTGTTAAAGATTGTAAATAGCCTGGTCAAGAATGATGTTTATTTGTATGAAAAAACTTGGCCAAAGAGCTACTTATATAAAAATTAATTAATATTTAAAATGTTGTGGGGTGTGTCAGAGTGTGTCATTCTTGGGTTAAAAACGTACAAATGGAAATTATTTAGGTAATGTGCTAAGCAAGCTTTTCCTATATTAATGTGTGTTAAGACATTTACTGTGATATGTTTACTAGAAAATGTCTTAGGCTTACAGACTGTTACCATCCTAATAAAACTTTTATGTAATGAGCCTTATACCTTATTCTTCTCTTTCATTTACCTAGTTCTTGTTAAATATTTTATATTTACAATTGTTATTATTTTATGGACATTGTTATATGTATCTTAACCCCCAAAATGGTCAGGGTTATTCTAGCCTTAAAATTGCATGGAAGGTCGCTACAGATCTGTGAGGCCCACTTCACTAAATAAATTTATTGATCAAAAATACCTACAAACTTCTCATTGTACTGAAAGAAAAAGATGTAGTGACATAATTTTTAAAAAATATTAAGAATCAAAAACGAAAAATACTTTGACAAAATTAGGAACTTGAACATTCAATTCTGCGTAGCATTAAATATGAACACAAAAATCACTGAACACTTGGGACAATTATAATAGGATTAAATTGGATACAAAAATAATTAGTACAGACATCATCACAACATGAATATCAGCTTCTCTAAAGGCCTCCAATTTCTCATTAATAGTCATGTCTGCTGAATAACAACTGATAACTGAATAACAGGTTTCTGACAAACTTCAATTATGTCCTGGACAGGTGCCAGTCTGTCTATTTCTTTACGTTGTCAATATGTTTCTTAGTCATCAAATCTTTATGATCAAAGTGAAAATCGAAACCATGTCACTCATAGTGGGAAGAAATATTTCGATTCCAAACTTGGAATCGATAGTGCCTCTTAAGTCCCACAAATCCTGCAGATTTATTTGCCCAACTTAATGCATTCCTGCAATATATAACAGCCCATTAAAGGTTTTAATTTTAATTATATCATTAACATTGCCATTTCCCGTGAAAAAATTTCAACATAGGCTCTCATTCCTCAAGTATTGTCACAAAAATTGGGCACAACACAGGTTAACCCACTACTGGATTGTAACATTCCAAGAACTTGGAATATACGTGGAGAGAGAGGATCCTCATCTCCCCAGTGGTATAAAAATACATCAAATAGACCGCTCTACATATTTCTCTTATTCATTGTGACCTTCGGAGTGTTAATGTGGCTTCAATAATTACCATTTGAATAAATACATAAATCTAACGTATTTTTTAATTAGAAACTAAAACTCGACAACTTCAAAAACTAAAAAATTGGTTCTAATAATTCTGACTGATATTCTTCAACATTTTAAAAAAATATTCACTGAAAAAAAAAATTAAGAATTAGTTTAAAAGGTTAAGATATAATATAATAGTTTTCAGCTACACAATAATCGACTCCATTTTCGATTAGAAATGTATTACGGATTTTAAACCAATTGTTTTTATTTTATCTTGTGAAGTATTATCTTATAGTTCAGAGATACTGTGTATTTTTTTGTTTCCGGGTCTTTTGGAAAACTGGAGGAAAAAATGGATTGCGTATTTGTTTTTAAAATATTTTTCTGAGTGTGGATATAAGTCACAATTTTAAAGCATGATTTAACGATAAGCAACATTTGGTTATTAATAACTTACCAATGAAAATACTCTTAGACATCTTCTGATTGTTACTACCAAATACACTCCTATTCTTTTTTCAGAACACGATTGACCCTGTTAAAACAATGTTTCATTGCAAACAAACTGATATTAAAGTAATAAGGTAGTTTGAATATTTAATGGTGATTAAAAATGACGAAAACACCTTGGGCGGAAGTATCAGATAAATGTGTACATCCTTTTTCTCACCATGCCCACTTTAGTTTATTCTATACTTATCGTTGGGACAAGCTAGTAACTTATTAAGTAAATTGTTATGGCAGGGCGGGGTGGCTGAGCGAGCTAACAAGTATACACAGCTCCATATGTTGCCTGGCAATCTGATTATAGATAATTAATGATAAAATAATTAGGAGTTTGCATTCTGGTTCAATGCAAAAAAAGAGTAGTTTTTAACTCTACATTCACCCTCTGGCCCAGGAGAACCGTGTATAGCCTAAAAGGTTAGGCAGGGGATGAAAAAAAAAAAAGTAAATTGTTAAGGGGTGGGTTGCCGAGTGGGCTGATGCATGTGCACAGCACATTGCCTGGCAACCTGATGGAATGTAATATTAGAAAATAATTACTAGTTTGCATCCCAGTACCCGGGGGAAGGGGAGGGGGGAGGGGGAAGGGGAGCTATTAACTGTAGTATTAATCTTTGGCCAGAGTAAATTGTTGCTTTCACATTCGTAAAGTATGAAGATTCATTAGTTGTGTGTATTATAGGGGGAGCGGGGTGGTAGCCGAATGGGCTAACGCGTGTGCACATCACGAGTTGTCCGCAACCAGATAACCGAAGTTATGAGATTAAAAAAAGTACGAGTTTGCTTCCCGTTGCTGGAGAGGATTTTAAATTCTCCGCACTGGAAAAATTCCTTATAGCCTAAAAGGCGAGGTAGGAAAGAACAAGAGAAAAAAAAAAGGAAGTTGTATGTGTTATGAATAGGCTATCATGATAATGTAATATCATATGTAGGAACAAACATATCGCATATATAAACATATGTCGAATGCATTAGAATAGTTATCTAACATGAGAGTTATGGGAGGAGGTATATTAGTACCTAACATTAAAACTATTGTCATTTAATAACATAACAGGTTTTGAAAACTTTCTTTCTAAATTGTTTTAAGCAAGTATTTGTATTGATCAACTTCTTACTGTAACTAAATTATTCATCTCTTCAATACTGTTCTTTTCCAGTGGATAGAAATATAATGTTGGGAAACCAGGTATTGAAAATTCCTGAAGTTCCGTTATGAGGTTTAATTCAATTTTTCCTCAACTGTCGATACACGACAATTTTTTTCCTCTTTTTATCCTTTTTAGGATTAATTAGAATAGAGAAACATTCTCTCTTTTCATATTTGTTATTACGCTTTTAAATGGTTTCTCTGTTTTCTTTCAAAAGCTTTTAATTAATCCTAAAATACCATCCTAACATTATTCCTAGACAGCTAACTGAGAAGCATTTCTTTCTGGCCCTAATGTAACACATAAACCTAATATGTACCTATTTTAAATAAGTGTTAGCCTAAATCTTTAATCATGAAATTTCTGTTTCTAGTGTTGGTTGCTAAAACAATGTATATTTATGGTTCCATTTTCAGTTTCCCTCAGACTCTCTCTCACTCTTGTTAAAAGTCTAAGTGAGAGTGATAGTGTCCATTTAAACATGTTATTTTTCTGTGCCTTTGTTATACCTAAATTGTATTTCCAGTCTTCTCCTCATGTCTATTTTACAGTGTTGAGATTTTGCAATTTACCTAATTAATACCTATTCTCCCGTCAAATCTACAGAACCTGATTCCTGACCATAACAACTATGATGTCCCAGAAACCTTGCTAAGGACTCCCTCTATATTCTCTGCCACAAACAGTGTGATGTTAGTGGATTCCACTACTTATAGACAAGGTGCTAAAATTTTCCTCAGCCTTAAAAGTGTGCCTTAGAAGGTGTGCATGCTTGTGTTAATATAATTCACTTAAGTGCATAACTTTATACTTGAAGTTTTTTAATGATAATGTGAAATCTTTTATTTAATAAGAAAAAAAGGGTTTTTTTATTTTTCATCCCTATTGTTATAAAAATGTTTGCTTTCATTAACGTTTTTTTTTTTTGTCTTTTTCAATTTTACAGTAGATCTGTCTCTTTATCGCAATGAAGATCAACTGAAAAAAAGAAAACGAAGCAACAAAAACAAAGGAACAAAAAAGAAAGAAAAAAAAGGGAACAGTGATAGTGCCCTTAAAAGAAGTAGGACCTCCAGCAGGAAGGTAGTAAAGGCTGATAGTGATTCGAAAAAAACAAGTGCTGTGACAGTGCAACAGAGGAGGTTAGGAAGGCCTGCGAAAGTAGAAAAACCAGTTGTACAACGTATCGTAGCTGCTAAGAAAGTGGGTAGAAGAAAATTAGCTGGAGCTGCTTCAGCATCTGTGAAACCAGTCAAGAAAGAAACAAAACCAGCCGTATCAGTAAAGAGGAAGAGTGAATCTCAGCCTGTGCCAGTTCCGGAGAAGAAACTAAAAGCAGCATCAAAAACAAGAAGTGAGTAAATATCACTTTCATTTGTTTGTGTGGATGTATAATATATACTGGCTGAGATATGCACACACACACACACACAATCGCAAACACTCGTACTTGTGCAATTAAAACTATATGATTATTTATATAACTCTAAACAGTTATGTATTTGTTTAAATATGATCTATAAGATTAATCTGTTTTTAAATTATGTAAAATATCACAATTAAATCATTTTTATTATGTCCCTATAAGTTACCTCAATATTGCTTTTAGTAATAACAAATAAATTTGAAAAAAACAACATTATTTTGTTGCTTTATTTATTAATTTTATTCTTTGCCATTTTTATTTTAATCAGTGTTTTACCATCTGGGAGGTGGGAGGTGTGGATTTTTACCAGGGAAAGTACCAAAATTTTAAGTTGATGTTTAATCACTAATTTAATATAAAAATTAAATATATATGTTTAAATTATTATAGCATAAATGTAAGTGCTTAAAAAAAAAATAAAAAATCAGGGGGGACCATAGTTGTTTAAAGGTTTAAAATTGTTGCTTTAAGTTGTTACATATTAATGAAATTTAGTTTCATATATATGTATGTATATATATATATATATATATATATATATATAATTACACTTTTTTTTATCCTCCATGTTGGTGTTTCGTTAGCTAGTTGATTTCTGTAGATTCTTTTAATTTAAATAGAGAAAATTACCAGGTTCCTTTTTTTTTTTTTTTTTTTTTTTTTTTTTTTTTTTTTTCATTAATGGTATTTGGGATTGAATGGCATGTTGGAGAAGTAAAGAAAGAGCATGGGCTACTTTTTGTTTTGGTCAATTGTGTTGTATTAAATGTAAGTTTTGTATTTTGTTGCTTTTTTTTTAAACCTTAAATTCTGAATATACCTTTAAATAAAAACCTTTTCCTAATTTTTGTTATAAACGAAGAGTATATGTAACTGTGTAAGTTAAATTTTAAATTTTAATTACTGATTAAACTATTTATGGAAGGAGGGATGTTGAAGATAATTTTCTCTAAATGAAATGCTTTTTTTTTTTTTTTTTTTTTAATTCCCAATTGGTAATTTCCCCACAATTCTCTACTTTTGATTCATTATCAGTATTTGTCAGTCGAAAAGGACAGGTGGATTATCTTGTGGCTAGGTGATCGACACAGATTCTGTGTTGATCTGCTGCCATTGTTTCCTTATTCATAAACTTCAAATGTACCCCTGGTTAGACAAACGTTTGGACCCTCTTCTACTTAATAAAAAAAAAAATAATTAAGCAATTCTTAACTATTTATAGGACAAAATTCCCATGATTTCTTTTTTAATTATTTTTTTTGTCAGTATATTATGCTATTTGGAGCATAATAAATGGGACCTTTAAAGACTTTTTCTGATTGTTGGTTATTTATTATTGCTATATTGAAGTGGTTGGTATATCAACCAGTGTGTTTCGGAACATTTACAGGGAATAATTTTTTTCTTTAGAATATGCTATTCATTTTATAGATTTTTCACAACATTTAAAGATATTTGGTGATTTTTTATTGTGTATTATTACTACAGTGACATTGTTGTGCATTTTAAATGACCACCTTATATACTTCTTCATTCTAAGTGCACTCTGGCTGGAATAACAATCCCTTGCTATGGTTAAACAAAATGTGATCATAAATACAAAATAAGATAGAAGAAAATATCAACAAAGAAAAAATTATTTTTCAGCAATAATTAACTTTAGTAAATTAAACCAGCTAAACGTATTCACAAATAGTTGCAAAATATCTATACATTTTAAGAAGTATATATTTATATACTATTTTACATCACTACTCATTATATCACAATAGCTATACCAAAAAAAAAAAATTAATCACGATATCCAATCTTGTGGAATCTAATATAATAATGAGTAATAAATTACATAATTTATTTTGTTATTAAATAAATATTTATTCAGTATATCTACAAAACTGCATTTACAATTTTAGCATTACAATAGGAAAAAATAAACCGATAAAACGGAGCATACAACTAACTAGAAAAAATTAGTTGATAAATAAGAGACTCAATGCACCCAGATTAAAATATCGAAAAATTTTAGTGTAAAATCTATCTGGTGGAACCTTCCTCACCTTGAGGGACATTTCCCCTCAGGGAGTAGCCTTAAATATTAAATAAGGTCAACACTGTTTTTCTTTTAAACCAAGTTAGGGCAGATACATGGTCATGGTTGATAAATCCACCTATGTCCTATAAAGAGTTAATAGTATGATATAAATAAGACAGTAATTCTCTCTCTCGTTTAAACTGAACTCATTGCATAATCATATATTTTAATTGAATATATAACATAGTATAGCTAAGCTTCATTGTCATTGCCCTAATTTTATCTTTTTTATCAGAGAATGCTTTCAAAATATGTATGTTATAATTTATTTCTTGAGTCATGCAAGTTTTTATTGTTATAAATTGAATGTTATTGTTAAAAGTAAAGTTTATGGCATTTGTAAATCTAATGATTCCCGTAATATTTTGAAAATTTGTATTTTTAATGCCATGTGCAGATTTCGTGTTTTGTGTTCGCTTTGAGTAATGTGCTGGAATTAACTGACTTGTGTAAAGTTTTGTCTGCTGTGTATAGGTGGGGTAGCGGGGGGGCCTAGCGGACCCCAGCAGCGGGCGCGCCGCTCAACCACCAGGACCAAGTAGCAACAGCACCAACGGCCTCACCTAGTCGGTCGCTTCAAAAATAGGATTGTTAAAGTCTTTAAAGGGATTTATATTTGAATGATATGTTGATCGAATATATCATTTTAGGTAATAATGAAAAAAAAAAAAAAAAAAAAAAATGAAAGTACGATAATTGACATTTAAATAACAGTTTCATATTGTCTCTTTTAAGTAAGTTTTTCTAACATATTTGGTGTATGTACATAATATTATGATATATTTTGATAAATTTATTCCCTGCACCTAATGCACCTTTTCCCTGTAAATGATTAGTGTGTCGTTGAGAGGGGAGTTAAAATGTGTACCTTCTCTATTCGGCAAATTATTTTATTTTGTGTATTTAATTATGCTTTTTTGTTTTATTTAAGTTGAAATTTAGTTTTAATGTGTGATTTTGCATAAGTATGAAAGAGAAAATATATAATAAAACAAAGAAATTATTTAGAAACTATTATTAAAATAATATATTAGTTGTAGTGTTTAATGAGAGTTTTTTTATTTCTAGACAAAATTTTCTATATTATGTTTTCTTATATACTATTGTACCTTATTGTATGTTTCATTTATTAAGAAAATAATGCTGGAGTTATTTAGGTATTGTATGATATATTAATTACATGTTTGTTGTCTGTGGTGAGATATTCTTCCTTAACATAAGGAAGTACCTCACCGGGTTCCAGCTTTCTTGGCCATAGGGAAAAAACAATCTAGAATGTACAGATAGATCTACATTTAATTATTACTATTTTATGTTATTACCCTAAGTATTATAGTGTCTCTTGATTTGATTCATATATGTTATTGACCTTTTTACAACTGGCATTGTGTGAATGAAATCGAAATAAATTAAATACTGCTAACCTTTTTATATTCTGACTTAAAATTTATATGATCGTTTTGTTTTAATTATTTATTTGGGAGTCCTTGTAAAATTATATTGATATAAGATTTATATTGTATAAGAGTATGTGGGATATGAAGTTTTTAATTCTACTGATTTCATTATGTTTTGTATGTATATTACATTGAATCGTTATAGGAACTTTGCAATGGGATTTAAATACTGAATATTATCATGTTACTCTTTCAATGGGAAAAATGTACTAATAATTATTTTTAAAAATTAGATTCTTTGTAATTTATACATACATATATTAATAAAGCATTAAATCACTACATGTTTATATGTATGTACTATACATATTATATATAAATTACATATAGATTTATCAGAAGTACAAAATATATACATGTGAATATATATAGTGAAACAGTGGAAATGTTTTCAGGCTCATAATTTAGTTTTATATGTTTGGAAAATTTTATCATTACTTTATCAATGTACAGTTATAATTAAAGTCTACGAAGAAAAAGAATTGTTAGCCCAAAACAGTATCTTTTGTTCCCATCTCATCACTGTAAAAGAATATAATTTGTTGTAATAATTTATCTTTTATTTGATCCTGGAATCTAAAATAATGAAAGAATACATATAATAAATCTACTACAAAAACAATTAATTTTTTACTATGTGTTAAACATATCTCTAATGAAAGACGTAAATCTCTCTCTCTCTTTCTCTTTAGCCCTTTTTGAAATAATGAAAGAATACATATAATAAATCTACTACAAAAACAATTAATTTTTTACTATGTGTTAAACATATCTCTAATGAAAGACGTAAATCTCTCTCTCTTTCTCTTTAGCCCTTTTTGGTAAAGAGAGGTGAATCTAAATGATGTAATATTAATGAGAGTTTTGTCCTGACTCATTCTCTAATTTTCTGAATATATTCTTGATAAGAGATCATTAGACGAGCTAACATACATATTTATATCAGTTTTCTTCATTAATATTTAATTTAGGCATTAGACATTTAACTGACACGTCTATCCAGTATCAACCGGCTCTTGTTGGCATGGAACAAATGTTGGGAGATTTGTCCACTTATCTGAATCAGTATTAAAATTATCAATAACGAGGATTTTTTTAGTCTCAAAAAATGCTAAAAGCACCATTTACGCATTTCACAAACTACAGGAAATACAAATGTGTAAGTAAGGTGTTTTGGGGCTTGTATTTGCGACTGATTCACCTGGTATCTGTTTTTCAAGATAAATCGATATCAGGTCAGGGTGTTAGTGCTTTGTCGCTTATACACATTTGTTTACCGTGGACATTGTTACTTGAGAGAGAAGTTGTATTTAATGTTCTTTTTTCCTTTCATTTCTTTTTAAATTGATAAGTTTGAGCAAATCGGATTCTTAATAGACATTATTTATGTTTGTTTCTCTGAAAATACTGAAACATGTGTAAACCCGGTCCATTTAATATTGATATACTCTTTTGAAATTAATATTAATTATTAAATAGGAACTTCATTGTTGTAATCTTCAGAAATTTAACTGATGATAACATATCAATTATTGCATTTTATCAAATTTCATATGCCCTTTATGCCATAAAAATTTAGTTAATAAAATAGGATGAATTTTTCATTCAATTTATCTACTATAAGGCCTCTTAACACATTGTGGTACACAAAGAAAAAAATTTTTTATCACAAACAGTTGAATGTTTGTCATATAGTTCTAAACTACAAAAATAAAAAAGGAGCAGAGTGGCCAAGTGCGCTAATGTGTGTGCAAAACATGTGTTGCCTGGCAACCTGAAGATTAGGAGTATGACTGGCACTAACCCCCGACCCATTCATCTGAATGTCATGCCCAGTGGACATTTTTTTTTTAGTGTTGGCTCACCTATTACCCAGACATCTTCCTGTCCATGTAAATATGTGGAACTAGTTGTAAAAGAATTAGCTGCATGATCATCTCATTGCTGCACAATTTTTCTAGGTAAGGAGGTAACTATTTCTAGAATCTACAATGTATGTGACATCCAGATGGTACAAACAGGTCCGTCTTCTTACATTTTTGAATTGAAATTTATAAAATATTATACCATCGAGTCAGTGAATACTCTTAATTTTTTTTAAAGTTATGTTTATAAATTGTAACATAAATGAAAGATTTTTTTATGTTTTTGTAGTTTTAATAGCAAAATAGAACCACAACAATTTGGCCCTAGCCAACCTTACAAAAATTCAATTGTATTCACTCACTTATTATCTGATATCGATGAAGAGGAATTTCAATTGGACAATGAGGGCTAACGTATGTTGACTTTACCAAAAACTGATTGAAATTCTATATGGAGATGGATCTACAGTTGACTTAAATTTGTAAGAATGTGCAGTCAAAAAATTATATTTATTGAGTTTGTCGATGTTTCTACCCGAACATGTGGGTCATCATTAGGGCTAAAAATTATTAAATATATTACATTTACAATACATAAATAAATATAATACATTTACAAAATATTTTGTAATTTTTAACCGTGATGGTGACCCACATGTATGGGTCAAAAACTCGGCAAACAATTTTTGGACTATATTCTGACCATTTTTCATCCTTTGACATATATTTAGGTTTTTAGATGGTGGCATCACATTGTTATCTAAAAATGTGAAGAATAAAATAGTCTTCAATTTCATCTTTTCTTTTCATGCTTAGGAAAAAAAAATTATGGGAGGGTTGGGAATAATAGAACTTACATATTCTTATCCTCCTTTTGTTTTATCATAGATTGATAAAACCATAGGAGGGATAAAGGATCACAATGTTTAGAATTTCAAATCTGTTTTTATACCTTAAAAATGTGGCCATCATGAGGTAAGTGTCTACAGTTGGTTAACTGGAAACATTTAAGGCTAAAATAACTGTTTTGAGGCTAGTTTGCTGGAGACAAGATACCGTTTTGTGTACAAGCTCGCATTACAACAGTTACCCCACACCTACAGGCAAGACTTTTTATTTTTAAACCACTCAGTAAAAAAACTGAAAATCTTTTGAAAGCTCTGGCATTCAGCAGAGCATCTGTTTAGCTCGACGAGCAAAATTCGGAACTACACATAAATAAGTCTGTTTAGAATGTTAAAAATAAATATCCCTGACTTCTAACTAAATCAGAAATACTGTTTTTTTTTTGGTTTTTTTTAAAGACTAAAAAGTTATTACTATCAACATAAAATGTGATAATTTTGATATAAATTAATTTTTTCTAGTAGAATTTTTAAAATTTGATTTGATTAATTAAAAAGGAAAATATACTTTTTAATTTAGGAATAATAATCATAATAGTAAAAAAAAGAGGTATATTTTCAATGTTTGGGTGAAACAAGTTATAACAAAATCGGTGTCACTTAATAGATTAAAATAATTCTATAACAATTTATTTATATTTTTAATACCTTAAAAACCTATAAATTAATTCTCAAAGAAAATTTCCAATGTTTAATATTTAATTCATCTAACTACTACCTACTAGATCTACATAAAAAACGTTAGTACATCTTATATTTGATCTAATATAAAATAGTTTGGGAACCGCAGCATCAGGCAAAATTTTGCTCGATATGTATTAATCTAGCTTTAGAATCAATTAATATTTAATTGTATAGGTAAAGAAAATTTGATAATTAATAGAATTGAGGTGAATACTTGCATGTGGGTGTGTATTCAGTGACAAATAAAAATAGGAACAGTATAATATAAAAAATTGTTACCTCCATTAGCACTCCACTAACCTTACTGCATCCTCTAATGATAAAAGAGTTCCCCACTATCTAATGTGGTATTCATTTTTCATAACAATTATATTGCCCAAAATGAAAATTACTTGAAGTTTTGTAAAGGAATTCCTATTTTTATAAAAATAAAAAGGAATGATGAAAAAAATAAACCATCATATTTTATATTATATTATCAGATCTATAACAACATTAAACAAGAAGTGTACTAAAATCAGTCATGAACATAATAAAACATTACAAAAATATAATACACTAATTCTTGTATTGTATATACAATATCTACAAAGTATTAACACATGACTATGTCGAATGTTGAAAGCAAGTACAAAAACCAATAACAGGTTCCTCTTCTAAAACAAAAACACGTTCTGCAGCAGACAAAAACCTATAAGAAAAATATATTCAATATAAATACTTGAAATGTAAATCAGGCAAAGGATGGGCATTTCGTAATTTTGATATTTTAATATATTAGTTTCTAAGCTAACTATATAAATTATTTTATTATAACTACTTTCTTGAACATAAAAAGCAACATGACACTCAAGAAATCTATTGCGCCAATGTAAAGCTTAACCACAGGGATCAATAACTGACCTTTAAACTTTGAGAAATAATGTTAAAGCTAATTGTTGCTAAACAAACTTAAGGAATTGCTTCCTTATTAGTAATGGAGTGTTGACTCACAGGGATACCTACCAATAGTCTTAACATCTGGAGGAAAAAACCCTGTGATAAAGTTAAATAGACATCCATTTTTTAATTTTTTGTGTGTGTAGATTACAAGTAAAATAATTCAGAAATTGAAATGGGTAAATTTACAGTCATGCCTCTATATATTGAACATAGAGATGATGGTCGTGTATGCTCATCTCAGAGTGCCCACTTCTGATTGTTTGAGATTCTTCTGAGCATTTTTTGAATACAATAAATTTTTATTATGCGTTGTATTTCTTCCTTTTTCTTCGACAACAGATGAAAAATGTTAAATTACAGTAGGGAAGAAATGTTAAAGAAAAACAACGCTGTTTATACTTTCACACTATAAATTTTACAAACTTATTGAATGGATAATAAATTCAAATTTACAATTGTTTTAATATTTTATTTTAATTTCTACTAACAATTTAATATCTATTGTATTAATTAAATATTGTAAATCTTTAGAATAGTTCTTCATAGTAGACTATTTAACATTTATTAACTATTATGTTAATTAAATATTAAAAATAACAATTCATTATATATATTTGTAATGTTTATTTTTTTTTTTTGGAAATAGTCAAGCATTCAAACTTTTTTAGAAGTAGGTAAAATTGAGAATTTTCAATCATGAACTCAAATAAATCTGAATATTTTAAACTTAAAAGTTATTGGATGTCATTTCCTTAAAACTTGCTTAAAGAAACGGAATCTTTTTTTGTGCACAACTCAAAAAGTATACAATTTATGGTTGATTACATCTTAATAATTAGAAATATTTCCAAATCTCCTACAAAAAGGAAAAATAATCAGAATTGGACCATTTTTAGCATAGATATCGTCATAGTCCGTGGTACAGACCTCATTTTATCAAATTATTAACAGCCGGCTGAAACTTCATATATAGCTTCATCTAATCGTAACCTACAAATATTTTATTTATGAAAATTCTCGGAATTGGGGCGTTTTCAATCTGGAGGTCGGCAAACTTTGTCTATTTAATTAGTTACTAAAAACTCGTAAATATCCATTTGCTCTCCACTTGAATCGTAAGATAACTTGAGTACAAAGTAGAAAAAAGGTGGCCTTCAAAAATATTGAGCCGTTTGAGGTGACCTACACTCCTAAATTGTCAAAATAACGAGGTAAAATAGGCCAAACAGCCCAATATTTTTTTAGGCCACCTTTTTTATCAATTTTTTGATGAAATTATCTTACAACCCAAGTGGAAAGCAAATGGGTATTAACGAGTTATTTGTACTTAATTAAATAGACAAACTTTGGTGACCTCCACATTGTATATGTCCCAATTCCAAGAATTTTCGTATATAAAATATTTATAGATTACGATGAGATGAAGCTATTTACGAAGTTTCAGCAGGATGTTAATAATTTGATAAAAAAGTTTCTGTACCACGGACGCTCAATACAATAACAAACTATTGAATCTGAAAATCACCACTCAATATTAACTCAAACTTTTTTAAAATCAAAAAGCTCAATAAAAAAAAATCCTGAATATGTTGAGGGGTTAGTTTAAAATGAACAAATATAAAACATAACATATATAGTACATACATACATCAGAGTAATAATGATATTTGAAACGAATCCTATAAACCATCAGTTAGCTTTCCAACTTAATTTAAAGTAATTTTATGAAATGACTATAAATGGAAAAAAGGGCATTTATTTAATTGTTATTTTCAGTGATTTTTTTCATGTCCCCTTGGACTATAAGTTCAAATAACTGTCAGAGTTTTGCCAATTACAAACAAAATTCAAGAAATCACTTTTTCTAAAGACTTGCCTCCCAGGAGAGAGAGGCTTATAGTTCAATAAAAAATGGAAGAAATGTTTTTATTATTACTGTATTTACCTATCTAATGGTGCAAATTTATTTGGCCGTGAAGGAAAAACAGGAATACCACAGGAACAATAACCTGCATTTTCCAGATAACAAACAAGTGTTCTTGGGATCAGTTCTTCTGAGAATTCAATCCTGAAAAAAATTGCATAAGTTAATTTAGCTTTCTTTTTTGTTTAATAAATTTTTACATGTATATTTAACCTAAAATATAACAGAAATGGCCTATTGTGATTCTTTCTGCATACTTCATATATAGGCCAGTCTAATAGCCTTTGCGAACCAATACTTACTTAACAGTTTGCTTGTTTAGGGTTCACTGTCCATGCTGCAATTTTAATAAAAAATCATGAACCATTTCCACACTAAAGCATATAATGTAGGCAATTTCATCTTCTACCCTGCTTTAACTACAGTTGGCTGATTTGATTAAATTCAGTTGAGGGAGCTAGATATGTAGTACGCATAGTTATATTAGACATCTTAGGATAGCTCTCCAGGTAGGCCAGAAGTCATCGGGAACACAAGGGAAACTATCTACAGAACAAATAAAACTATAGAACTTCAACTTTCAAAAAAAAGGGAGATGATTGGGCCAGGATCGCACTAAACTGGCAGCTATTTCTCCATAAATACTTAATTAATTAAGAGAGGTGTACTGCACCAGAAAGGTTATCCAGGAGTGGCTACACCACCCCACGGTTGATCCATGGGCAACTAAACAGAACAAGTAATTATCTGCCTCAGTCGGACTAGAACCTGGGTCCTTGAGAATATGAGTTCAGTGCCTTAATCACTGAGCTGCAAACCCTCAATTATATAAGTTAATCTATAGAAAGTCCATTGTAATCATCTATTCCACTGACATTGATCTCAACATATCTCACTAAACATTATTAATTTAAATCTTGTGTCCATTAGAACTACGAAGTTTTGACAAGTAAGATTAACTTATAAATAAAATAATACATCTAAATTGTCTAATATGCTTTTTTTTTTGTTGGCTACTTTTAACAAAAAAATTAACCTGATTTATTTAGAACTGTAAAAGGGTTTTAAGCTACATTAAACTGTCATTTGAAATTCAGATATAAAATGACATCCAAATTCATAATATAATATTAGCGATGAGTATATAAGATAATATAAGTCCATAGCTCCTAATCTGAATCAAATCTTCCATTCATTACAGTCCGTTCGCCAAGAGAATGCCTCTGAGTAGTGGGGAATATTCAATGTTTCTAGATATCTTACACACTCACTAATTCGTATCATGTTAATAAAGACTGAATAGCAATCAAGAATGAAAGGGCAAAGGGAGTAAAATGGAAACAGACGGGTAAATGTGTGGAAGGAACCAGATTAGATTGGTCGCAGGAACATTTCAGCAAACTGACAATAACAGACAAGTATATATATTTTTGAGATGTAAGCTTCTCCATAATAAAACACATATTTATTTCATTGGATGAGAATGTTTTAAGAAATCATTACAATTCACAGTTCTAATATTTTAAATAAATACACGGACAAAGTAAATTTAAATGTTTAAAAAACCTGTGCTTGAGAACAGCAACGGCAGATATATCAACAAGATTAAAGACTGCCCTAAGTCGATTTCCTCTTGAGCAGTGGTCTTTCCAATTGTTCTTACTAACATCCACAGTATTTAGTCTAAGGAATTGACAGCTTCCTGGCATCCACTCTAACAGGTTATGGCTGACAGACAGTTTTCTGTTAAATGAAAATCATACTATAAGACTCTATTTCTGCAGAAAAAAACTACAAACATTATATCATACACCAAATTGATATTTCATGAGAAAATCTTACTAATAATAACTATATAAGACAATAATTTTTGTAATAATGGTGCAGTACATTATATAACTTCCACTTACTACCCAACACCAAACTTTTGGGAGAAATTAATTTAAAATAAATGAATATACCTTGAGAATATTACTTTAACTAAAAATATAAAAGTACAGTAAATATAAAGAGGATAACAATTCAGTGCAAAGTATATTTTTGGCTCAACAAGATCAAAATAAATTTTAAAAGTTTCTATTTAGTTTCCATGGCATAGCTCAACAATATACCATCTGACTCAAGATCAGAAGGTTGCATGTTCAATCATATTGGGGTCATCATATTTAGTGAGTAAGACACTGTGCTCCAATGCTTGAGTCCTGGATCGACCCTGAGATTGGGAGATTATTCGAGGCACTCTCTTAATTAAATAACTAATTAAGGAGAAAACGCAGAGGTTGAGCATGATCTTGGTCAAACATTGACTTAGTTATAATCAGCAGTGATTTCTTACAAATTACTGAACACAAGACCCTCTATGAGTCTTAATGGTAAGTTGTTTTTTTCCTGCATAGTTTCCATGGAAACATTTTTTTTTTTCATTCAATAATGTAATAAAATTCTTGAATTTTTAAAATATCAATTTTTTGACAATATATAGCTTATCAGTAGTATATTTTACATCAATATTACTACTCTTATTCCTGGAAATGTTTTCAATCTGAAAAAAAATTCTCTTTTATTCAATAGTCAAATCTTTTCATAGTCAATAAAATATGCATTATACACACATATTTTTTACTAATATTAAATTTAATTTATGTTATTTTTTTTGTTCTTCCCTACCTTGTCTTATATGCTATACGGGATTTTTCCAGGCAGGAGGGTGGGGGCGGCCCCTTCTGCACCAGGATGCGAACTCGTACTTCTTTTTAATCTCATAACTTCGGTTACCTGGTTGCCAGGCAACTCGCAGTGCTGTGCACACGCATTAACCAATTCGGCCACCCCGCCCTACTAATATTAACTATGAAAGATATTTAATTATTTAAAATAAACAAAATTAAAGGGACTTAATAGACGATCATTGAAAAATTGTCATTTAAGCTCTCCTAGAATATTTCAACATGGATAATACTTATAAATGCAATCTAAATGTGCACTGAGATAAAACAAGTTTAGTAAAAATTGAAAGAGCAAAAAAAAAAAAAAATGTGTAAAATCAATGATATAAAATGGACCTTTCGGCAAGTCAATATTTGAAAGATACAATATACCTCTGTTTGCACTTGTTACAAGCTAATCCAGTGGCCATTTATTCAGGTTTTTGTGGAGTCAAGGTATTGCCTTTGAAAACTCATACTAAAAGTTTTACATGATTCCAATACTTACTCTAGATAGTTAATTAAAAGTAAAAACAAAATAAAAATTGTAATTTAAGTACATGGTTTTAATTTTGTTGACATTATTAGCAGTAATGACGAATCTGCACCATTTTTTCTCAAATAATGCATCCATTAGAAACAAAATAAAAGTTAAAGTTAACACATCATTATACAATTAAAGAGTAGGAAGAAAGGTTGCATTTTTTATAATTGTAGAAATTGAATTGTTTGAACACTTTAAAATTTGTAATAAATAAATTTGTATATTCGGGTAATAACTCAAATTACTTAAGGGTGAGATAAAACCGAATAACAGTGACAGAAAAGAAAATACCACTTTAAATACCTTCCATGGTTCAATAACTAACATCCTTTATCCAATATCAAATATCCAGCATGAAGGAAAGTATAACACAATTACTCACTTAAGCTTTGAAAGGAGACCAAGTCCATTGGGTAAATGCTGTAGACGATTTTTGTCTAACAAAAGATTCTTCAGATTTTTAAGTCTACATATTTCTTGGGGTATAAATGATATCTAAAAAAAAAGAAGAAAAAACAGATTAAACTATCAACAATCACTGAAATTCATACTAAAATATAGCTGAGCGCCCATTGGTAGCAAAACTGAATGGATTGGAATAAAATTGATTTTGTAACTAATACAATATTAAACAGCTCAGTTTGGCTTACATCATTTTATTCAACTAAACTTGCCTTTGTAATCTGTCACTCTATGTCAACTCCACTCAACCAATTGGTCTTAATAGATATCTATCTAAGTATCTAAAAAAAATGATAATCAGTAGACGTGAGATCCGGAGAGTAGGGCGGATGTGGCAGAGTTTCATATCGAAGCTCCAACAGTTTTTGTGACATCACACATGAGACTTGTGGCCAGGCGTTGTCATGCAACAAAATGGACCCCTTCCGATTGACCAAAGATGGCTTCAATATTGCCAATTTGCGATGCATTGCAATAATTTGGCATTGATCATTTATCCAGAATTTAAGAAGCTGTGGTGTATCAAACCAAATGAAGCCCACCAAACAGTAACCATCATCTTTTTTGATGAGTTGGGGGCTTTAGAAAATGTTTTGCTGGTTCTTTGTCCAGCCACTGTCCAGAACGTCTACTGTTATCGTAAAGTATCCATTTTTCATCACAAGTAACAATTCTGGACAAAAAAAGGGTCATATTTGTTTCGACAAAGAAGTCACAAAAAATAGCACAAAATTCATGATGCTGATTTTTTTGACAGTCGTTTAATGTTTGTGGAACCCAACTTTCCAAATTTTTTACCTTTCCAATCATCTTGAGGTGGTCATCGACAGTCAATTTTCCCTTTCGATTTTCCTCCAAGTTCTTAAACAGTTGTTCTACGGTTGTCTTCCACTAAAGCCTGCAGAACATTGTCATCAAAAGAAGAAGTCCTTCCACGACCTTTTTTGTCTTCAAGGCAATAGTCTCCTAGCCAAAATTGTTTGAACTACTGTTGAACAGTGGACTCATTAATGCTGCTCTCGCTCCAAACTTGACTGATGTTTCTAGCCGTCTGGGCCCCATTCCGGCCAAGTTTAAACTCGTAAAACAAAATTATTCGAAATCCACGTGTTGAGATCTTAGTAAAGACTCAATTATTTCTAAGCAGAGAAATGCTATAGAGGCAAACAAACATTATCGTTTGGAGGGGATTAATAAGTGTTGACATTCATACAAATGAATAGTCCAGTAAACGTAAACAGTTTGCTATACTGAGGGATATTTTAAAGAAAACTCAAAATCCTGCATTATTTTCTGGACAACCCAATACCATTATAATAAATAATTCCATACATAAACAATTATCAATGGTCCAAGAAATATATTTAACACAACAGAATACAATTTTGTCTGTCCATCTTAATGGCTCTACAACCCTCAGTGGGTCCTGGCCTCCTCAATGAGCTTCTGCCAAATTTCTCTATTCTATGCGACCACTTTACAATTTCTGACTTCTAACAGGTCTCTAGCGTCACCTGTCATACCATCTGCACATCTCATTCTCAGCCTGCCAGCTCTCCTCGTATAGTGTAATGGCTCCTCAAGCACTCTTATCGAGATTTCAGACCCCTCCATCTGAGCTATGTGTCCTGCTCAACTCAACCTTCCTAATTTTATTATTCTGACTACATTAGGTTCATTAAACAATTCGTAGACCTCTATTCTTCTAAATTCTCCAATCCAGTTCCTCCTTTACAAGGCCAAATATTCTACTAAGGACTTTCCATTCAAAGACTAAAAGATCTTTTTCGTCATTACAATTATATCCTATATTCTTAATTGCATATGACTAAGTTTTAAAATCCATTCTCTGTTTTTGGTCAAGATTTTTTTATAAAAACAAAATTAGCCACACCCAGTCTTAAGTTATACATTAATATTATTCTTAAGAGTATGAAATACACAATGACTATTATACCCGAGCGAGAGCACACATTTGATGTATATCTTTCTTCTCCGTTATACATTCAAAGTATAACCAATCTTAGGGAAATATATTTATTTCTATAAATATTTTAATATTATCAAGAAAGCCTATTCGAAGCACATAATTGGTGAACCTATATACTTTATAAATATTGTATCATTTTAATTTACTTTCTAACATTATAAGGAATCCAGAAGATGATTATTATTGAAGGTAAGAAATAAAAATTCTGAATTATTTTTATTCCGACATTTCTAACATGTTAGTCCTTAAAAGTATAAATTAAAAATTGCTACTTTTCTGGGGAGCCTCTAGAAGATATCAATTATTGACCATTCACTTATACTTTAAAATTAAATTGTTCTAACCAATGAAATATAAAACCCTGACCAATTAGAATTCAATCTAAAAAAAATATCATTTTTTTTTCGACTTATACTCATAACACATAATGTTTAATCCTTGGAAGAAATAAAAGTGATGGCAAACAGCTGACGAAAATTTCAATAATTTGGTTTAAGATGTTATTTATGTAACTAGAAATAAGCATGGTGACCACAGCTAACATAAACATTCAATAATTTTCTAAAGAACGATAGGGAATCATTCATCTACACCTACTTTTGGTTAACTCTGCTAGTTTCGGGATTCAATCTATAGTATGCTCAGAGTTAAATAGGGACCAGCCACAATTTTCGAGTAGTGCTTCGGAACTAGTACCCATTATTTACACAAACAACAGTACATCAATAAATAAGCAATAGAAAAACTATCAATTAAAATAAATTTCACCATACACAATTTTCTCTCAAGTCTAGGTGAATTAATGACAGCCTCAAGGTTTGACTGGATAACCATGTGAATTTACTCTTTTCACCAATCTTATTTTTGGCTAAATGCAATTCTTCAAGGGCTGGCAATAAATCAATTTCATTAGGAATGTCTTCTAAGCAATTATCAGCCAAATTCAATATTTTTAACTTCTGAAGCCTAAGTATTTTGCAATCAAACTTTTTCATCATAGCTTCATTAATCTGTAAGAAAGATAAGGTATGAAAAAGATAAAATATAGTATCATTTAAATAAAAAATCAACATATAAACATATCAATAACAAGTTATATACCTGTAGAGTTTCTAGGGCACGTGGGAATATGGGAAATTCTTTTTTCTGCTTCAATACTAATTTTACAGGTTTAGTATCAACTTTGCTTGAAGCTCCTGCCAAATTTGATAACTGTAATAACTTGAGCGGCACCTTTTTGTCCATAAACTGCTTCAAAACTTGCAAAAAATTTGATAAAGGTTTAGGTTCACCTTTAATAATCAAATCAACAGGTGGTTCTTTAAATCTTAGGGTTGCCTTCCCTTCAACAATAAATTTAACAAATATACCTCCTATATTATCATTTACCTACAATATTTATAAAAATAAAAGAACTATTCTTCATTTAAATATATTTAATGCTCATGGAATAAAATATTTTCCAAACCTTGTACTTCACTCCATGTCCATTTCTAATTGTTTGATGTAAAATAAAAACCTTTTCCTTTTGACCTGGTAAGTAGCCAATACTCAAATAGGACTTTTCAGGTCTTCTATTACCCAAATTAAGGGATGGAAGGAGTCTATTAGAAATTTCTACACTCGCAGATATCCTCATTTTATGGATTGCGAACGAACCATGAATGAACAGTCTAATTAACCGAGCAGTCACAGTATGATATTACATCACTTGAAGCTTAAAATGAACTTTATCAAATTCTGATTATTAAACAAAGAATCAACAGATACCTATTCAATAATATATAATAAAATTTTTTAAAACTTGTTATCAAACCTTATCAAAAGGCGCCGAATTAACAATGTGACCAACCTTCCAAATTAGCTTATACGTTAAATAAATGTAATAAATTCGTACATTATATTAAAATAAAGTGTAGAATTATGTTAAAATATTATAACCTATGTTTTTTACATAATTTATTAGGATTTAATCTGAATAAAATGCCAAAAATTTATTTTATGATATATTAATCAGCTGGTTTCAAAACACTGATAAACCTGTTGTGATTGTAGATGTTTATATTTTATGATTTAATTTCTAACAAATTTTGAAAATGTCGACCTACCGCGTAAGTTTTGTTCTAAGTTATTTAGTTATTTCTTGTTTTGATATCTTAATCATTTTTCAGTATTATGTTACATCAATTGAAGTTATTGTATGTCTTTTAATTGTTTCATTATTTTTCCTAGCCCATCGATTCCAAAAGAGAAGAATTTCGGAAGTACTTAGAAAGAGCTGGTGTCATGGATGCTTTAACTAAAGTATTAGTTATGCTTTATGAAGAACCAGATAAACCTGAAGATGCTTTAGAGTAAGCTTTTGTTAAACAATTTTTTCTCAATACTGTTTCATGTTTTGAATAAGATTTCATTGTTAAACATTATAAAAATAATAGTTAATGACAATTTATCTAGATTAGTAATAAATTTACTGATCTGTTAGGCATTTTTCCATTTCACCTTTAGTAGAAATTGCAAAAACAAGTTTAATAATAAAACTAATTTATAGAAAAAGATACTCCTTACTCCATCAAATTATAAGTTACCTACTAAAACTGGCCTCGAATCCTTGTATCAAATTTTATTTTCATAGCCATTGATTTTATATGAATTGTTATCATTAATAAGATGGTCCCTTATTAAATTACTATCAGCAAGTACCTAAACTTAACATGTATCTCCTCAATGGCATTGGCTCCATCTAAAGAGAGCAAAACAAAGGCATTGCTTAGCTTAGGGCTAAGTTTAGGAACTTATGTTATGTTTATTGTCATCCTGAGTGTCTTGAATCAAATCTATAAGTCCTGCCATAGCCCATAATGGGCCTTAAATGCAGACATTCTTGGAGATGTAGGGATAATACGAAATTTCATTCTAATTAAAGTTGGCACTAGTTCCGATTCGCTACTCCAAAGTGGTAGATGGTTTCAGGATCAAATTGTGCACTCTGTGTGTCATATTAGTATAGATGAGGGAGGCACAATATTGCTCTCCCTATCATGCCTGACATCGGAGAAATAATTAAATCGCCCCTCTCCTCCCATCAGAACCTGTCTCCGCTTGGTTGTATCCTATTTAAGTAATTTAATTTTCAACTTGAGCTGAATTTATTTTAAATTATAAATAAAATAACTAATAAGTTTAAGTAACTATAATAGACTAAATGTGAATATGATTTATCTTTAAATTGTGTTTATGGTGCAATTTCTTTTTTGTAACCGAATACTGTAAACTTCATTTTTACCAACATGTGTCTTCAAAGGTGAAAACCAATGTTTGTTTTATTTATATTGTTTTCCTCAATGTAAATTCAAGCATTATATTATTTTTTTTTCCAAAAAGCGTCCTTAAATTATTGAAGTAATATTAAACTTAACTCATTATTGAGTTATATTAATTTTTGTGTTACTTTTTTTTTAACATTGCAGATTTGTCCGAACAAATCTTGGAGATAAGCGTCCTACTCTAGCTGAAGTTGAGGCATTAAAAAATGAACTGGATTCTGCTGTTCAAAAAATAAAGGATCTAGAAGAAGAACTTATAATGTTAAGAGGAGAATCTGCTGAAGATAGGAAGGAAGGAGAAAAATCTGACGATATGGGCACCAAGTTAGAGCATTGATAGAGTGCTTTTGATTTTTCAACCTTTGTGCCTTAATCATGGTGATATATATAAAAAAAAAATCTAGTCCATTGTGTATATTTGAGAACAATATAAGTCAATTAAGAGTTATTTGGAAACAATTATTTTGGCTTATTTCTTTCCATAATCATTGAAGGATTAAAGACCAAAACTTTTTTGGTTAAAGAATAAAAAATTTTTGTTTTTTTGATTTGATAAGTTTTGTTTTATTTTCTCCAAAAGGCAACTTGGAAAAACAAGCTTTATATTGGTTTAAGTTATGTCTTTAAAAGTTTACAAATGATAGCCGCACTTTCCGCCACAACTACAAACTTTTATTTTTGTGAACTCCTTAATTGCAATGGTTATAAATTTTGTTTTTCTCATTGTATTTTTGGACTGAAAAAGGACCCCAAAAATATACTAACCAGCAGTTCATATTTCTGATCATTTGAATTGAGGTGTTTACAAAATTAAAAGTTTTGAATTGTCCCATTAATTATTCATGCGGGAAGATAATATGTTAAACCATTTTCACTTGTAATTGGTTGTAAAACAGTGTAATTACCATTACGTCATTTGAGAGTTATTTGTGTTAGCACATTCCAAGAAAAAATAGTTTAATTTACCAGCTTTATAATATTAAATTGAACCTAATACAGTGGCACTTGTTTATGATAATATGAATGCATATTTACAGCTTCATGATTCTATCAGTATTATATTTGTTTCTTATATTTGCTTTTATTATTAAGTGCTAGGGAGCTCTTTTATTTTTTTGATAAATGCTTTTTCTGGTATATAATAATGTGAATTTTGTATCATTTACAAATAAAGGTCACTAAGTACAGTAATTATAGTTCTTTCCCTTCCTTGGAATCCTTCATCACCGCTCTAGTGATCTTAAGAAACAAGAAAATGATTAAATTTTTAAAAATGTACAAGAGTTTCTGTGTAATCATTTTCTTCTAGAAATACTAGATTGATTAACAAGAATTTTCTATATGACTGCAGAGTGCAGTAGACATTTTAATAGTGGTTGTGGTTGTTACAGGCGTAGGTAGGGACTGCATTAAGAACTTTCTGGGATTCTGGTTAAGAACCACTATTTGGATGGAGTATTGATTCATTGAGACGAACAAGTGTGATAGAAACCAATTCCAAACCTTTCAAGGTTTAGTTAACAAGTAGAAGTAGAAAACTTAAGTGACAATTAAACTGGAAATCACATATTCCTGGCAAGTCCCCTATAAACAGTGATCTTAAGAATTTTACATTAACTTGCTGTGTTGTGACCATAACACATTTGATGGTTGTGAATAGAGTAAACTGTATCAACTGGAAAGTGCTCACCTATTTTTTTTTTATAAAGAACATAGTTGGTCTGTACAAATAATTCATATAGTATATTGACCAGAGAACAAATTACAAAATAATATGGAAGTAAGATATATCATTAAGACAGAATTAATTTGGCATGGGTCAATTATAATAGTTTTATTCAAAATAATAAACCAAACCAAATCCACAAGCTATTATAGGTTATATCTTTGCTTATAATTGTATGATTTTAATTTATTTTTATTTGGTATGGAATTTAGAAATCTTTTAAATAATCATGAGTATACTGTAAAAAAAATTGTAAAACTTTTCATTTATGTGCACATAAAGTTTATTTTTCTCACCTGAAGAAGATGATCTTCAAAATGGCCTATCACATATATTTCATAAAAATTCAAACAAGGCATACTGACCTAAAACACCTTTAAGAAATAATATATAAAGAGAGCTTCATTAAAATAATTTTTAAAAAAATTATGTTTGATGTATTTTAGGCCCTTACTTGATTATGGAATTTGTTTTATTATCATTAAATTAAAACAAGGATGCCACAGAAGAGAATGGAAAATAAAAATAGGTTTCAACAGTCGCTTTAGTATATATGTATAATTTCTTTATCATCTAAATTTAGTAAGAGGTACAAATAAATATCTTCATAAAAAATTATTTTTAATTACTTAATTAAAATTAATTTACAGGCATGACATTTTTTTTTTCTTTATAAGCTGGTTAATAAATAAGCACCTTAGCTAACAAATACATTTTTATTATGTATATAAATATAAAAAATAATGTCAGTTAATGTAAATTAAAAACAAAGCGGGGACTTGATATAAAAACTTTTAATGTGTTTCGAAAAGCATCATGCACATCTTTTTTTAAGTTGATGCTTTAGCTGCTTGCCTTTTTTTTACATTCCAGTTATATACTCTAGCCATATTGACTTCTGTTGTTGTAAACTGGTCCCTGAAAAATAATAGGTATTCAAGTCACATCAATGTAAGAATTGTATTTAATACTTAAAAGTAGGAGAAAATTACATGGATTATAATCTATTTTTTATTTGAAATAACACAAAAATAATTCAATCTCATATATATATATATATATATATATATATATATATATATATATATATATATATATATATATATATATATATATATATCAAAATGTTACTTGGATAGAAACTTGTGAAGAAAAAAAAAAATAAAAATGAGAACTGAAAATGTTACAGAGGTAATAGGTGAAGATGGGATTATTTTATTTTTGTATGTAATAAATATCTCTATCAACTACTTCTTTTTTTTTCAATCATTGAAAAGCAAATTTGTAATCACAAATATTTAATAAGCCAATTTTTATTAACTTCTTAATTCTATATGGGATATAAAACTCTAGAAATCTGGTCAAGCGAATAATGGAACTCAAAACAAATAATTAACCTTGGAGGTCAAAATAATTCCTGAAATCTTCAAGAAAATATTAATATTTATAAAGAGTCGAGTAAATATTAATATAACAAAATGTATTTTGTAAGTAATGTAAGTCTAAAATCTAAGACAGAAGTTTAGAATATTGTTTCATTTGTATTAACTAGAAAGTAAAGACAATGGAGTAAATTAGTGGAATATATCCATTAAATATAATTAATACAATCAATTATAGTATGTTTAACCAGCATTTAGTGGTGCATCAGAAAACAGATTTATATTTATACCATTCTGAGCCTATAGGAAATATCTTCAAGATTAAAAAAAAAAAGTGTTTCAAGACATATGTTATCTCCTTAGTGGTTTCCTGTTATTTAAAAAAAAATGAGATCTGACTTTAAGGTTATTTGAGTTCTACCAATGGGTAATTTCTCTTCATGTTGTAAATGTCATGTTACCAAAGTCACATTTACTTGTTGTATTTTCAATGTAATACAGCTGTAAATTTCATTAAAATAAAAAAAGACTAAGATTTCAAATAGAATCAATATTGGCAAAGCAAGAGTCATAAATATTTATACAGCCCACATTATTCATTAACGAAATTGTAAAACTTATCCAAGTGACATACAATTATAGTTACCCTGTATAGAAATTCTAAAAATTTGTAATTTAGGTATACATAGTCCTATTGGTTGAAACATTTCAAATATAAAATCAAGAATTAATACCTCAAAAAATCAAGGTCGTGTTCGACAAAGCTTAAATTTTTTTTCGCAGTATCAATATTCTTATTGAGCAACTCTAAGGCATCATTCAAAGTATACTCAAGCATAACATTTGCCTGAAATATAAAAAAAAATATATATATACATAAACAGTTATTCTTAAAAATAACAGATAAATATATAAGACTAATGATTAATGATCAGAAAATTAATGCATGAGAAAGTTATTTAAAATTAACGGAAAAAATAAAGTTTTAACAGGGCCAAAGCACAATTACTTTGAATTTTTCAACACAAATAAAGAAACTTACATAAAAACAAAGTTTCTGATTTTTATCATTATCTATATAATTTAGGCTTTAATTAAAAATAATGAAAAGGCCATATCACATACACAATTATCCTGATGAACCTTAATGATGGATGGCTAGAAGTGGATGAAATGTGACAGGTACATGAATAAATGGTGAAGTAATGAAACATAAATTATTTAAATTGATATTTGATATTTTTTGGCAAGTTTTGCAAAAGTTATCTTGAATTCAAAATTATTTATTATGATAGTTGGTGTATTGTTACTTTTGGATAAGTTTCGTTGTTTTATCGTAAATGTTTGATCTATGAACAACCACAATACAAAAACCTGTAAATACAATTAAAGTTGGTAAGTGTTTTCGAGTTTATCAGGTCAATCTTGGTGTTGTGGATAATCAGAAATATAAACCAAATTATTATTTAAGCCATTTACATAGCTGTAGTATTAAGGCTGACATAATAATCAGAAAGAAAATAATTATAATTCATTATTATACAAATAATAGCTCGGCTATGAGCATTCGCGGGTCAATATTCTAAATTTTTTAATAAATCCGAAGTTAAATACTAACCCCAAGCCAAAGACAAACTTTGTTTGTGGGAGCTATAGAGGCTTTCATGAAAACTTGTTCAGATAACAAGAAATGTGTTGTGAATTCCTCAGTGCAATCCTTCTTCTTAGATAACATCTTGATCATATCAACAGACCTTTCCAAATCGGGTATTTGAACTTTTAACCTATGAAATAATGAAAAATAAAAAAAATTAGCATCAACAGAATTATAAGTCAGTATCCATGACATAAATTTTATTTTTTATAAAATAAGACTAATAAATACATCATTTCAATAAAATACCAATACAATAAAAAGAGAAATGAATAAAGTTGAAAAATAATTAGGTGTTTTCATTCACTAGCTTAAAAGCTGTATAATAAATTAAAATTATTAAAGTGAGTAGTTGAAAGGAAAAAAACGTTATTCAACTACAGGACAATTGAAAAGCACACCAAAGTTACCAAGCACTGTAAATTATTACTTAATGGTTCATTATTTCCAAATAGTTATGTATCAAATTATTTATTTTTCTTAGCACTAAGAGGAAAATAAATTAAAGATGTTTGTCAATATTAGCCTGCGTAAGAATTTATTTATTAAAAAAAAAAATTAATTCTTAAGAAATATAGACAATTTCATTGATTCAGTTGATGATCAAAACGAAGTAAATCGGCAAAAGAACATATGGTCAATATTTAGAACGTAATATTTTGGCACCAAATTGTTCGATTTCTTTGATTTTAGGAAATTTCATGAATTGTCAAAAGAGCATATACAAGATTAACAAAATAAGATATAATGCTTGAGTTATTAAGAAATCTAATTTTGGCGTCCTCGGAAACTTTTTTTCTAGCTTCTTTTCGGGGAATTAGGTTAAACAAATAAATTAAATGGGCTAAGGAGAATACTTTTACCAAGTTAAGTTAAAGTCATTACATCCGTTTAGCTACTATAGTCTATAGCACCACATGTTTTTTCCGCTGCCATTTTGAAAGGAAAGGTGGAAAGTAATGTTAAGGTGGGAGGATTATCCTCTCAGATGACCTCAAACTTTGATACCGAATTAAAAAAGTATCAGCCCAGTAGTCTTGGAAAAAAGCCACAGATGGCAGATGGACAAAAAAGATTAACCTTGTGGAAATTTGTGGCAATCTTATTCAAAAATTTTCTTTGGCATAATACTTATACCAGAAAATCCAAACAAAGAAGATGACTAAGTTCGTGAAATTCATTGATATGAAACAATTGTTTTATTATGAATATAAACAAATAATATAGGTGTAGATTTTACCTTCTTCTTTTGGAGAGAAGATGAAATTCCATAAACTTGTATTTGCTGTGCTGTTCATCTAATTTTTTTAGCACTAATTCAACATTTCCACTTATAGTTGGAGCTTCCATATATTTATCAACATCTTCCTGCACATAATTAATATGGATAATTTATATAGTTCACCTGTAATGCTAGATGGTACTACAAAGTTATAATATACATTTTTTTTAAACCCAGAATCATGTCTACTCTTGTAATGATAAAATAATAATAGGAGTTTTAAGATGGACAGCTATTCAGATTTGTTTTTAAAAATTATATAGTACAGATCTGGGCAAACATAACTATAAATCAACCTTACTCAATCAATTATATAGATATACCCATAAAATAAAAGAAAAATTATCAAACATGAACCATACAGCTTCACATGTAAATGGTAATAATAACAAGGAAAAATCATGTAATACTTATTGTATTTGATTTCTAATTTAAAAATCATCCCTGATTTATAAATAAAAATTTAAATAAATTTTGGATGTTTATTGATTTGATTAAAATCAATGGTCACTCAGTGAGTAATACGGTATTACATAAATAATAATGATAAAAAAAATGTTGATCAGAAAATAAAAATCACCTTTCACGCACAAATGAATACATTAATATATATATGTGTTATTAATGTACACATTTTTTAATATTATATTTCTGAAATCACTTTAATTGTGCATGTCAGGTAGGTTGAGAGGGTGTTTTCAGCAGTGAAGTACAACTAGAGCTACTTAAAAGTTTAACTTGTCCGTTCCTAGTTGACACCTGAGAACTTGGAAAAAGTTTTTATTTTAAAACTACTCTTACTACTATATAAATATATATATATATATATATATATATATATATATATATATATATATATATATATATATATATAATTGTTTTTTGTAAGTCAAAATTTCTAATGAATTTTGGAAATAAAGATGTTTTGTTGCTTTTAGTTGACAACAATATTCTCCAACTGCATCCAAAATATATCATAGAGATTATACAAACAATTTGTATTTCTGATTTAAAAAAGTACTACTCAAAAATTATTATTATTGTTAATTGTGAATATTCTGTTGAAAAATAATGACCAGGATATGATTTTTATCACTTATGAAAAAAATATAAATTGCTTTTAATAATAATCATCAAATGATTTTTAAAAATTCCAGATAAAAATTTTCATTTTAATTATAGATTACAAACCGTGATATTTATAAATAATGAAGAAATTCAGTCAAAGGATGACAAACCAAATGATTAGGCTAAAACATTTACTATCCTTAGAGCTTACAATTTTAGGAAAAATATCTGTGTTACAAGATGATGATGATTTGATATTATAAGGGAAGGACACCAAAACTATAAAGTACAAAAAAGTTTATGAAAGCCAGTAAAGGACCGGAGCTCAAAATAAATATGGACAAAACAAAATATAGGAGAAATGGTTATGAGTTCGGTGATGTAGATATATAAGAGAATATGTTTGAAGATATAGAGAAAGTTAAGTATTAGATAGGGTCAATGATAACTAGAAAGAACCATATTAAAGAGGAAATTAAGAATAGGTTGAACGCAGGAAATGGTTGTTATTTTTCAACTGTAAAATTACTTCGATTGTGTCTTCTTTAATAAAATATACAAATTAGAATTTACAAAACTATTTTATATTCCAAAGGAAGGAGATGGTCCGGGGTGGCGATCATAAGTAAGCTAAATAGTGGTAAAACTATTTTATTAAAAGCCAACGTTCCTATTTATGACCTCCACCCCGGACCATCTCCTTCCTTTATAATGCAACGGTCAACAATTAAATATTCAAAAATTATATTCCCTACAGTTCTTTACACATGTGATAGATATTTGCTAGCTTACATCAAAGGACAAACAAACCCTTAGGGTTTTCGAAAATAAAATATTGCGCAAAATAATTGGGCCAAAGGACAATTTATTTGCAAAATTTAGGCAACTACACATCACCGAATAGTGACATATTTTTATATTTGATTACCCCCTATCTCGCCATTTGTGGCATATGGAGGAGGGGGTTGTTCTAGAGATAAAACCAAACTTATTCTAACCAGAATGGGAGGGTTAATATTCATTCCACAAGTCTGCCAAAAAACAAATTTGAACCTGTCTATAGTGGCTGGAATCCAACTAATATTTCTAGGCTCAAGAATGTTATATTTGTGCTTTAACATGCTCGGTAGTATCTCATATAGGGAATAGCAAGAACTGTACCGTATAAATATAATTAAGATAATTTGAATGAGGTTTGCTTATTGATAATTTAAATAAGCATATAAAATTTAAATTAAAAGGCTTTTAAAAATTAAAAGGTTTTGAGAAGAACGAATTCCCCAAAAAATCAATATATATCGAGTCAACTGGCATCCGATAGGTAGACCAAAGTGAAGGAAGTTCTTGCTTTTTTGGGAAGTTTGGACAGTAGTCAGTGGATTGAAGTAGGAAGTAATGGATGTAGACAGCAATCATATCGCCATCAAGCCTTAGGGCTCGCTAAGCCCTAATTATTAATATAAAGCTGGCAATTCATATATTTTGGCATCATTAGTATTCTATGAGATATCATTAAATATGAAAAAACATACTGTTTCTACTACAGTAGTGAGTTATTGAAAAATACTATATATAGATGATAAGTCAGCAAATAGAGATGGCACAAGTCAGGTTTTATAGATTTTGTTACGGAGATAAAGATCCAGTTCAGGATGTTTTAATTGAATGTTGAAGTTCTTGCAAAGCACTTAAAATTACTATTTTCGATATACTACAGAATAAAGCACAAATTACTTCATGGATCAATCTTACTCCTAATTAGGACAGGACAGTAAGGGGCCATGGAATATTTAAAAATCTTTTCCTTGTCTTAACCACTTCTGTAATAACCCAATTATTATAGGTGTAAAAAATCCTTGATTCTTATATATATATATATATATATATATATATATATATAGCATTCATTCTGACATTACTGTACAGGAAAGTGTTGCTGCTTTTATAGTAAATGTAAACGTTTTTTATCTATTGTAAAACACTTGATTTCCTGAAGTACTAATTAAAAATTTTCACGTCTGAATGACAGGAAGATCAATATCAAAGTGATGATACTGTAGATGGAATTACAAAATCAGCTATGTTGACAAACAGTTTCAAAAGTAGTATTATTTCACCGCCATAAGAGATAAATCCTTGAGTTTACCCCCTGAGTACAGTTGAGATTGAAGTCTACTACAGATCAGTTGCCTCCATGTACTTTTGAGCATACAAACTCTTTTGAAATTTCATATACAGTATGATCTTGAAATACCTGTCAATCAGACTTGACACTCAAGAGCTAGTATAAATTTCAACTAATATTATGATTATAGTAAGAATAAAATATTTTTTTGTACAGAGCATAACTTATGAATGGAACTCTGTGCATTCCTACATCCTTAAGGTATATTATAGAAAAAAGTTATTTATATGAACATATTATGGGGATATACAGTTATATAAAACTATGCTCATAAAAAAAACATAATGCTTCAAAACCTATTAATAAACACTAGCACCATGAATTTATCATAATAATATAATAACTTTTAACAGTAGTGTATTCTAAATTTCAAATACTAATTTAAATTAATATAACACTGAAAAAGTCAAACATCATAACCATGCTGTTTAAAGTTTTAATTTGCATGAACTGATAACAAAATGGAGGACACCTATATTTTATTCTTAATTACAACCAAAAATGACATTAATATGAATAAACAAACAAAAGGAAATCAATAAATTATGTCAGCAAATGACCATATAATTAATGGCAATAACCAACAATGAAAAGAGAAGTATACAATAGATTTAAGTAATAGTAATTTAAGACCAACTTTTTTATTTAAAAGAATCATATAAATATACCATAAATTCAGCTTCTGGTATTCCAGCATAGGATTTTTTTTTAGGATCTTCAGCTTTGTCCCCTTCCATGTTTGGTAATACAGAAGAAAGGTTAAAACTACTATAGAAGTCCAGAACCTCCCATATGAAAACTAAAGAAGGTTAGCACATGTTTTTGCTGAACATAATAAGAAAAAACATGTATGCTAAGAAAATAATCAAGAACAAGGTATATTATAATATTTAAATCGCTAAACGTATACTGTATTTTAAAAGACCTTTATCATGAAATTCACTTAATGCTAAAAAAGCATTCTCTTAGCAGGAGTTGCTTTTCATCAAATGGCAATAAAAGTATTATAATAAATATATTATCGAAGCATAACTTTTAACATATTTTATTCCTTTGACTAAACGATAAATAATTAGTAGAGGTGGAAGAATGTTTAACATTCTAATTCCAAACAAGAATTGAGGATCATTTGAACATGTCTATATTAACCAGCATAGACGTAACATTTGAGTGGGAGGAGGGGGCTCACCATTCAACTTGTCATACATACATACACTAAAACGTTAATAGAAGTTTGATTCATGTTGGAAAATTGTATAAAACTTATAATAAAATAAAGGAAGGAGATGGCCCGGTGTGGCGGTCATAAATAGGCTAAATAATGGAAAAACTATTTTATTAAAAGTCAACGTTTCGACCCGACTTTGCGGATCTTCTTCAGGAAGGTGTGTTCAACTAGGAATTTCTCTTAGAAATGACTATTTTCTTTGTAAGAAAACAATAAATGTAGACATAAGCATGTAGTAACTACAGTAAATGCTACGGCCGCGCCTCTAGAAGAGGAAATATTTAGCTTGTAAAATTTTATATCATAAGTAATCTTCACTTAATTAGTCCAGTCAATGAATTATTACGAAAATAGTTTTTGAATTTGGGACTTTGTTTTGCCTAGTAAGGAGGTAAACATACTCAACGTTCCCAGTGGCGATTGCCTCTCCCCACTAGCGGATCCAGGATTTAAGTTTGGGGCTTCAGCCCGAAAGCTTTTTTTTTCATAAAAATGACGATAATTACTTTGGAAAAAAAGAAAGAAACTAACTATCTATATGAAATGGTGTTTAAGTGATTCCTTAAATCCTTTTAAATGTAATTACACGAGCAATAATACTTTAAGAGATAATTTTTTAATATATTTTTCCATAAAACATGGTTATATTTTACCATTTTTTGGAGGGGCTTCAGTTTCCTCCTGGTTTCCTCCTACTCCAATGTCATAATCTCCGGTGATTTTAATCTAAATATGAATGAATGAATGAAAATAATTTTATTATTCTGAGACCAATAACAAGTTACAAATACAGAATATATATTAATATTTTGGTGTTTCCATAAAATACAATTTAATATTTACAGGTTGATTTGAATACAATAACGTTATAAATGATGAAAAGATATAAAAACGTGTAAATATAAAATATACAGAGAAAATAATTAAGTAAACGAAATATCGATGAATCACAAAATAATCAGTCTCTGGGTGTACTTTGAGGTTTTTACAGCTTAGGTTTTTAAGCGCACTTCGCAATCAATCGAATTGGGAATGGAGTAGGTGTTTGAAGAGGAGATTTTTGAAAGAGGATATTGATTTTGCGTGTCGGATATCTGCAGGTATACAGTTCCAGAGGGAGACAAATTATATTAAAAAGGATTTATCAAACGCAGCAGTTCGGTGAGGAGGAGGATAGAGGTCGGACGCATGGGATCTGGTGGGACGGGATTGAAAGGAGTGTTTGAATTGTAGGATCTTTAGAATATAGGGAGGTCGCCGTGTTCTAATGGCTTGGTATAAGAAGGTAGCAAGGAAATATTGACGGTGGTAGGACGGATAAAGCCACTTCAACTTGATGTAGAACTGGGTAATATTCATTCGGATTGAGCAATTCATTAGACGTTTAAGTTTAGCTCGAGTTCTGCCGAGAGTCCACCATACACCATGCAGCCATAGAAGAAGTGGGGGAAAACAAGAGAGGAGGCCAGAAGTTTGCGGGTTTGAACGGAAGAAGATAACGTAGGTGGTTAAACTGTTTCAGGGTGGATATAGTACGGCGGGAAATTTGGGAGATGTGTGGTTTCCAGGAGAGGCTTTGATCGAGGGTAACGCCTAGGTTTTTAACGGTGGTATGGAAAGAAATAGGTGAGTTGTTCAGAAGAAGATTAGGAGGTGCTGAAATGGATTTGAGGAGTGAGGGGGATCCCATCAGAATGATTTTTGTCTTCTCCGTATTGAATGTCAGCTTATTAAGATTTGCCTATGCGCATATTCTATTGATGTCTTGTTGCAGTTTCAGAATAGCATTAGAGGAATCTGTCGGGTTGAAGGAAAGATAAATTTGGACGTCATCGGTGATATTGACAGTGTGTGATAGAGGAAGGGAGATCATTGATGTAGATGGAAAAGAGGGTGGGGAATAATTAGGAACCTTGTTGGACGCCTCTGGACAGAGGTAGAGACATTGATTGAGGGTTATTAGGAACTACAACGTACTGGGAGAGATCGGTGAGAAAGGATTGGAACCACTTCAGGGCACTACATGATAAGGAAATATTTTTAAGTTTGATTAGGAGGATATAATGATCAACTGAGTCGAATGCTGCAGAGAAATCAAGAAGGATCAGGATGGGGAGTTTCTGTTGATCTATGGTTGTGTGGAGATCTTGGGAGATTTTAATGAGGTCGAAATGAGTGGAGTAGTCTGGTCTAAAACCAGAATGGAAGCAGTTCAAATGTTTATTTTGTTTGAGATATTGGGATAGTTGAGATTGTACTATTCGTTCTAAAGGTTTGGAAAGGTTAGATAACAGGGAAATTGGACGGAAGTCATTAAGGGTTGTGGGGTTAGGGATTTTGTTCAGAGGACGAACAAGAGCGGTTTTCCAGGTGCTGGGAAAAGTTTAACTTTGTAGTGAGAAATTATAGATATGATAAAGGACTGGGAAAATGGATGGAAGTGAGGATTTAATTAATTTAACTGTGATATTATCTGGTCCGAAATCTTTGGTTTGGGATTTACAAATGGATTTAAGGAGGTCGTCAGGGGTAATATGCTAAAAGAAAAAATGATTGGGATTATAGGGGAGATGTATGAAGGGTGGAGCTGGTGCTTGGTCAGAGGGATCGGATTAACAAGAGACAAAATGAGTGTTGAGTATGTCAGCTGAAATAGAGGTAGTCTGGGTTTGGGTGGATTTGCCTAAGAATAATTTACGGAGGATTTCCCACATAGCTTTGGAGTTTGGTGTGCTGTATAAGGATTGTTGGTAGTAGTGGGATTTGGCACGGCTTATCATAGATTGCGTATTGTTTCGAAGCAGCTTGAAATCCATGTGGTCTTCGGAGAGTCGAGTGCGGTTAAATCTTCGTCTTGCTGCGTCTCTTTGTTTCTTGCTGCATCTCTTTGTTTGCTCACAGAATCTCCAGAAAAGCTTTTCCTTACTGATCTAATATTTTCCCTTAATCTCTATCTGATTCCTTATTCTCCCACTCAACACACGCAATTTTCCGACACTTGGTTAGACCTCTATATCTCTGACTCTCCCATCAAAATCCTTACCTCTTCTCAACATCCCATTCCATTTCTCTCATCACATGACCTAATCCAAATTACATACGACTTACCCGTGAAATCCTTTACTCCCAAAATAGTCTCATACCGTAATTTAAACCTTCTTTCTTATGAATCCCTTCAACCTGATCTTGACAGTTTCCAATGGAACATGATATCTTCCTATAGTTCCATCGATCCTATGGTATCTATCTTAACCTCAAATCTACAATCCTAATCACCCATGCTCCTCTGAAAACCAGAACCTTATGTCGTCTCACTGCACCTTGGCTGACTCCTGATATAAAGGAAATGATGAACAGAAGGAATGCAGCAAGGCGCCATCGAACCCGTTTGCTTGCCGACTATGTGTTTTTGAAGGAACTTCGCAATGGAACCTAATCCTCAATCCAACTTGCTAAAGCCACCTACTTCCATAATGCCCTTTCCCATGCTCCCTATTTTAAATCCAAATGGATCATACTCCGTAACCAATAAACTACCAATAAACTCAGTTCCATCCCGGTGACTCCAGATAATCTCAATGACCATTTCTTATCCTTCTCTCACAATTCTTCTCCTACTATCGGAATCAAACATCATAATTTCAATCTTCTTAAAACTTCTTTTTCTCCCATGTGTCCTACGATGAATTACTTTCCACTATCCTAAAATCCCACACTAATGATTATGGTCTGGATAATATTCCAGTGAAACTAATTAAATCCAGCCTTCCTGTCCTTATTCCTGTTCTTTACCATATCTTCAACTTTTCATTGCAAAACTCCATATTCCCATCATCCTGAAAAACTACCCTAGTCCGACCTTTGAATAAAATTTCCAACCCTACCTCACTGCACGACTTCCGACCTATTTCTCTCCTTTCCAACCTTTCAAAGCCGTTAGAACGCCTTGTCCAAAATCAACTCTCCACCTTCCTAGAGAAACGTTCCCTTCTCAACCCATTCCAATCTGGCTTTCAACCTGGTTACTCAACGTAATCCGCTCTATTTAAAATAACCTATGACCTCCAAAACTCCATTGAACGCCAAAACCTTACTATCCTCATCCTTCTAGATTTTTCAACAGCGTTTTACACAGTTGACCATAACATCCTCCTCACTAAATTGCACAATCTTCTTCTATCCAACAGTACCCTGCTTTGGTTCCTTTCTTTCAAATTGGTCCCAGTATATAGTTGTCCCAGGTCAACCACCATCTAAAACCCTTCCCCTCTCCTGTGGTGTCTCTCAAGGTTCCTGTCTATCTCCTACTCTGTTTGCTATTTATATTAATGATCTTCCCCTCCTGATCCATCACTTCCGATACCATATCTATGCAGATGATTTCCAAATATATCTGTCCTTTTCGCTTACCGACCTATTATCAGCCACAGAAAAACTTCAAGAAGACTTGGATAGGATTTGTGACTGGGCGAGAGCTAACAAGTAGAATTTGAATGCAGAAAAGACGAAGGCAATCTTAATAGGCCCCAATCACCTCCTTAAAACTGTTCCTAATATTCCAACTCTATTCCTACATGATAATCCCATCAAATTCTATCCCTCCATCAAAAATCTTGGAATGATCTTTGATCAAACGCTCTCCGGGAAAAATCATATATCCAACATCTCCCGCCGTACCATTTCCACCTTAAAACGTCTAAATTATTCCCGTCACCTATTTCCCATTGAAACCCGTAGGCAAATAACTTCCTTAATTTTTCCCCACTTTGACTATTGCTGTATGGTATATGGGGATCTCGAGGCAAAATTAAAACGTTTGATGAAATGCTTTGTACGATTCATCTTCGGGATCCCAAGGGACGCCTCTGTTTCCCGTTTTTATGCAGAGTTGGTCAAGGATTAATTCTAAATTTAAAAGACTGCATCCCCCTCTTCTGGCACTGGGACAGGAACCTGTAATTATTTTATCATCTGTTAATCAGATTGCCTGTTTTGAACATGGGTTCCCTTGGCATGAGGTGCTCCACAGCATGTTACATAAATAAAATTGGCTATTTTTTCACAAAATTTTCCTTTGTATAGAGTTACACTATTGACAAAAGTGCCATTAAATCAGTATACCAAGATCCAAAGGGCATTGTAAGATTTAAGGGTCAGTTTCCACTTTTAGAGGAATAAAGAAGACAGCCTTACTCCCCTGCAATTCAATCTTCTGATGGCTGAGATATGGAAGAATTTCAGATTATTTGGTTGTCAGATCAGTGTGGGACATCATGCAATAATGGAAACTAAATTGTTAAGGACATATCTGTAGAATGGATGACATTAGAAAGGCTAGGCGGTACTCGGATGCCAGACTGGAAGATGTCCTCGTGTCAGATCCAGGCACATGTGCTCCGATTATATTGGAAAACTACGAACAGCAAGAGAGTGAGCTGAGATTGCAACTCCATACGTAATAGCACACAGGAGTTAAGAGATGGGAAAAAACAAAATATTCATCCTTTAACTTGACTGAACCCACTGCAGTTTTGTACCCATATATAAACTCTTAGTAGTATAGGTAGATTCCTTCTATAACCAGCTGAGGAAAATCTTATAGGATATACAGACCGGTTTTCTTCAACATTTTGGCCTTTAGTGATTTATCAGCGCTGTTCATGTGTGCTCTGCAGAACCTGGAATGCCGAAACTAGGGTGTACAAAGAAGGCCTTTCCCAATTCCACTAAAAGTCTCCATATAAATTGAATTTCTTTATTTTCATTATTTTATCTTAGCATTCTCAGCTTTTATAATATAACAAATTGTCATGCAAATTATCAACAATACTCATACAAAGATTTTCATTATAAAATGTACACATTACACATAAGAGCAGATTTTACATCATAGTTAAAATTTAAATGATTTTAGGTTAAAAAATTATTTATATTGTTTTAAATCATGTACAGTCATTTTACAAATATTTATTTTGTTGTATCGTTAAAGCTGAGAACACTTCAAAACACTGAAATAATGTGAAAGAAATTTAATAGGAAGTTATATTTTCACTAATACAAGTAGCATATTATCATTATACTTCTAGTAATTTTAAAATTATGCAATATTAATTTATTTAAAAAACAGCTAAAATTCAGAAACGCTACAAAATACTACAGAACTAACCATTTATCAAAAATGAATAGTTAGGGGCTGGCTAATTCTCTTAATAATTTTTAAAATGTTGTTTATTTATTTATATTCTATTCTAGCAGAAGTGACATGTGATCATGGGTAACACTCTATCCTAAAACCTAAAAGGGAAGGAAGGGTTTAAACTAAAAATTATAGTTCTGATAATAGAAAAACTATCACCTTTTATTGCAGGAATCTGAGGCATACCAAGGAAAGAGCACGGAGGAGGTATTCTGCTCCTGATCCCACTTTTTTTTTTAGGAAATGGCTAAAAAAATAAACCCGTCAGTGGCCTGAAATGATCTAAGTACACAACTTCTGAAAACTATTTTAGGGCTCCTTTCCCAAAAAGCTGGTTGGTTGGACCAAAAACCTTCATAATTAGATGGAAGGTTCATAACTTGATAGATGACTTGTAAAAAAACAAATCACCAGCAATGGTTCAGGTAATATTATCCCTAACAGCTACCATTGAATATCCATCTATGAGATATGTCTCCTTTAAAATAGATCCTTAAGACAGAATATACTTGCAACATCTGTTTTCACTCCTACAAGTCCCTCTCCGCTGCCATATTTTAAATTTCTCTATTGGCCTTCAGATCAGCTAAATGAAGCCTCCAATGCACTATCTAAAATATTTGGACTGGAGTTTGCGGCTGTTTAACAAAAGAAAATTCCGTATGGACAATACATGAAAATTAAGCAAGGTCAAGTATCCAACTTTTTTCCGTGTTTATCATTTTCTTATTTATTTATAACATGGTCGTTAATATTTTCTTTATTTATCGGAGTAGTTAATAAATACACGGGGGAATCAAATACAAACAATAATTATTTTTTAGGTTATGAAACCCTTAAACATCTTGCTTAGCGTCAAGACTTGTCTTCCTCTAACTATTTTTTGTTTGTGTCCTTAAAAGAATTATTTGGAGGAGAGAGATTTGAAAGTGGTGAAGAAGTGCAGTAAAACAACTAAAATTTGCGTCATAAATAATCAATCAGAACTTGATACACTGTAATAATAATTGTTGTATATAATTTATAAATAGCAATAAAAAGAGAATAAAATCAGTTATATTTGATTTACCTTCTAATACAACCTTGAGTTGTATAGTTACGCCTGTAGAATAACCATCCTACTTCTCACCTGCAGGAAAAGGACAGGTAAGGAGAAAAAAAAAACATGAAATAATCAATAGAACAATTTTATTATGTCAATATAACTAGATATAAATATAAAATTTAAATATGATAACAAAAGTAAAACATATAAATTAGTAAAAATAATTAAAATTTACTAAACAATACAAGTAGTAAAAAATAATAAAATAAAAGTACATAAGCTGTTATTATCTTACAATTAATTCAATCTACTTTATACAATACATAATCAGGTAAACCTTTGGGATTCTTCATTAATTTAATAAAACACTAAAATGACAAATACAACAAATGGAAATAAAATGGACCAAGTTTTGAAATTAAAATCCATGATATCACATTAATATTACTAATATGGATAAGCAAATATGAAAATATATGTATATATCTCAGATCCAGTAAAGACTAGAACATTATGTTTCAGTTCCTAAGCACCAGCAGTTGATTATTTCCAAAGTAATCCTTAATCAATAATTTTTAAGATAGAATTATGTATAAATTTGTATGAAAAAAGTTTTGTATATAAACATTTCCTTAAATGTTTTTTATTAAGGGAAATTATTTAAAACTATTTTCCTAAACAGTATTTTATTTCTCCCCAAAATGTTCAGAGATCACATGTTGCTTTTTTCCAAACTATGCCTCAAACCATAGTAGAATGATACATAAATACTTATTTTCTTGTTTGAAATAGGCTCTAATGATTTATTTTATTTTCCGTGCTTTTTATTTCTAAATCATATTAAGTTATTATTTCTTAATAATTGGATCAAACTCCAATCCGTTTAATGATATCGATTCTAATAATATTACAAAATTTAATGTAACTAAATTTTTTTTTTAATCTTAAATATTAGTATTTTAAAGATTTGTATCTGTAATTTTAATTATTTTTGGAGATGTGGCAATATGCTTGCTATGTATTTTAAAAAAATATATTTTATTCTATTAAGATGATAATACCCTTGGATTTTATTATGCCTAGCCTTAAAAATATGACAAGTTTTATTTAAGAAGCATTAATATAAATTTTAAAGTACCGAAGGTACAATTTTTTTTTTCTTCAATATTATTATTTATTTATTTATTTGATTTTTTTTTTTTTGTTGCCTCTACCCTGTAGGGTCATTGGCAACACCTTTGAATTAAACTCTGTTGTAGAATTTTATCATTTTTAAGAACTTTAAAGTTTTTTTAACGGCATTTTCATGGTCTTGTAGATTTTCTTTCAGACTCTGTGCCATGTCTAACTTTCTCCTTATAGGATCAAATGTAGGGCATTCTTGAATAATGTGTTTTACTGTCCTTTGGACATTGCAATTCTCGCAGGTCGGAGGATCAAGTCCTCTTAGTAGGTAGGAGTGCGAGAACTCACAATGTCCAATTCGCAGTCTGCAAAGGGCTGTCTCCTCTTTTCGAGATGGTCGGTGCGAGGTTTCCCATTTTAAACAGTGGGGTTTAATTTCTTTTAATTTCGATTCTCCTTGTTCCCACTTGTTTTGCCACATGTTCCACACATTCTCCTTAATTTTTATAACGTAATCCTCCAGAGGGATTTCATTAATTGATTCAACGGATGTTAAATATTATTATTGTGCTCAAATTATCTTAAAATAGTTTTTAAAAATAAATTAATCAAAAGCATTTTCAGCTGTTTATTTGAATACAAATTAAAAATAAATTTATTTTATTCTACTATTAATATAATAGAAAAATAAGGGGACCCTACATGGTAATTCATGAATGAAGGTCACAAGAAGTTCCAAGATTGCCTGCTATCGCTTTGATCATGAAGACCTTTACAGGTTCAATCATTACTGATCATTACTTATGTGAAGTTTCCACTTTTTTTTCTCTCCAATTTATTGTCTACTTGACTTTTTAAAGAAAAAATAGTTGAAAATGGTTAATAATAACATAGACTTATAGTTAATAATAACAACTATTTACTTTTATGAAATTATTTACTTAATAACGAGACTTAGGTAAACTAACCTATCTAGTAGTAAGATTAGTCTCATAGAAAACCTAACCTAACCTAACCTATCACTTCTTGTGAATGAACCTTTGATTTCCGGATGTTCGGAAATCCGCAGCGCACCACCATCAGTACTTCATTCACTACCTTACAGGACAATTCGGAACCTCATTAGTGCAATTCCGATTGACCGTGTAGGGTCCCCTTTAAAATTGTAATAATATTAATAACTTTGTTTTCTTACCAAAACAAACCCTATAACCATTTTTGTTGCAAAACCGGCTGTAAACTTTAAATGTTGTTTAGCGAATACTAAAATCATCAACAATTTTTTGGAAAATGTTCTATAAATGAAAAATTGTTTAATTTATTTTAAAATCACGATCAGAATGAAAAATGTAGTAGTTCATATTCCTTGAAATTTGTCAATGATGATTAGGATTCACTTTGGAAATAAAAGACTAATTAATTAATTCATTGGGATTTCTTCTTCACCTGCAACAAAATTTAACAGAATCATATTTTCAATCATAATGTTCCTTCCAGTAAAATGCCATTAATCCAGGCTAGATATTGGATTGTGCCTGGATTAAATAGAATTTACTGTAAAATGCAAATAATAAAATATTTTAACCATTCCCCTCCCAATAAAATAAATACATGATCTTTTCCTTTAGTTTATTTTCAATATTATATGTATGCTATATATGTAAACAAGAGTCTAAGTTTTCGATATATGAACTGAGATAGAATTAAAAAAACAAAGCTTCATAGTGATCAAAAATAAAAACTTATTTATTTTATCGTACTTAAATAAAAACCACTGTACTAAAGATATTCACCAAAATGACATACTTCATAAACAAGAAACTAAATTAGAAAAGAAAAATAAGATTAAGATTACAGAATGGATCGGCATCTCATAAATAAAATAATGTATGTTAACTATGAAACGTTCTTGACATGTCTGATATGTATTACAATGAACCGACCTAACTATCTCTTATATATCTCTCGTACCTATTTAGGCTTCTAGCGTTTAGTTCAAACTTCGTCCGATAACCGTTAGAGATGACGCCACCTTCACATCCCTTCTCTCTCCCCCTCCCTTGTAACGACTTTATTCTCCCCTTGACACTTAAGGAGAAAGGTAGTACTTCTTTTATTTCTTTCTTATTTCAGCTTTCTCAATTTCTTCCCTCCTTCCTTTCATTCCTTTTCTCTCTTGTTAACTCTTTATTATATTATACATTGTCTGTACATCTTGATAGACTTTACAATATCTCAATTTTCTATCTAACTACTCCATTCTCAATGTTTTTAATTTTACTATTTATTTTATTTTCATTTCTTATATAACTTTATATTTCTTTTTTATGTTTTTACATTTTATTCTAAGATTCCCAATGTAACACTTTTGTCACCCCTTTTTGATTATGCCTACTTCATCATTCCACACTATGTAACAGTTTTTATTATTTATCTCTTAGTTCTTAGTCATTATTCTAACAATTTCATTTTACTTTATATCTATCTATTTTATTTTTCTAATTTTAATTTAATTTTCTCATTTTTTACCATCATTACTTATGTTTCTCATACCTTGTTATCTGGTTATTTTCTTAGCCCTGATGAAGGCCTGAACTTCAGGTCGAAACGTCGGCATATGTAAAAAATAAATATTATAATTTACTTTTTGCCTTCCTTTTTTGACTGAGCACCCCAACTATTCTTCTCTTCTTTAACTATCTCTTATATTTTTATACAGTATTATCTTTTGATTGATGAGTATGCTGCGTTATTTAGCAACTCAACACAGTTGAGCAGCCATGCAATGCTGTAGTATTTCTCTCTTTTCATGAAAAACTTCTCTTCTTCTCTCCTTCTTCCTACTTCGAACAAACATCCCTGTCTCTTGCCAGTTCCTTCATCTGACCTAGGGTTTTTCCTCTATCCTCGCCTAGTCGCTGGATATGTTTCATGAAAAACAGCTGAATTTATTTAAGGAAAACTATATCTATGTATGCAGAACCATAAGAAGGTTTTAAGCAATATTGGTCTGCCACCTTTTCACCACCATCATTAAAAAAAAATTGGATTTTTTGACCACTTCCCTTGGAAAATAAGCTAGACCAGTTTAGACTAAACTTCATATTGGTATTATTGACAACCATAACATTTTTTAGCAACATTAACCTGCTTTAAACAGTACTGGGTCAAAATGTGGGATGTACTAAAATTTGATTTGATTTTTATTTAATTAATAAAATCATACAGATGTCCAATATTAATGAGGAGTGTGTAATTGGTTGTAAACTTCTTGAGCCTGTTTCATCTGTTTATTAAAATCAAGATGTTGTTGGAGAGCAGAGGTCAAGAGAGACTGCAGGTATTTTTACCCTTTGGTTTTCTCAAAATGAACACCTGTTTATAGTATAAAAAATTAAATTCATCATATGTGTCCGCTATGGAAAAGTTTTACTGTGTGTTGGTGGACATAAAATAAATTCTAATTGCCTTGCTTTCGCTAACAAACATTCTAATAGTTAATGCAGAAGTTATATTTTGACAACTTAAACCAAACAACATTTATCTTTCATAATAAAATATTATTGTCAAACTATTTTTTAAATTCTCTGAGCTAGGTAAGGAAGGAATCTCTTAATAATGAATTATGGATCATAAAACAAAAGGTAATATACATAAATTAATACTGAGTGATTTGTTTGAACTGGTTCTCTTATTTAGATTCTAAAATAATTAATAGTTCCTGTTAAAAAAAAGCAACTTAACTGTACATACCATTAAAATTAAAAATATATACTAACCATTAATGACGTCTAAATAGACAATATATACTATTCCAGAACTACCGACAACAGCGAACTTATCTTCACCATTTGGTTTTGTAACAACGGACCTTGTGTTCAGAACAATTTTAGAAGATAATCCCTCTTTGGTAAATATTGAAAGATGGTTACTCCCACCAATGCAAACACATCCTGAATCAGAAACTGCTAAACATGTGCTATTATCTGGAATTTCCGTACTGAATCCAGGCATTTTTTTCAAACAGTCAAAAATCTGTGAATGTTTACATGTGTCATTATTTAACAAAATTCATTAAAACTTATTAATTAAGAATTAACTTTCATATAGAATAAACTTATAGACTCTATTGCACAAGAAGGGCCAATCTGGTTATTTGTTCAGGAACCATTCTATTTGTATTTTAACAAAAAAAATAAAAGGGCCATCCTATATATTAAACCATTATAACATAAAATAATATTAAAAATTAATGAATTAATAATTAATCATTATAATGGTAAAGATCTCATGAGCACGTGTCAAATGCAGACTGGCCCTTCTATTTCAGAAAGGACTAAATGAATAAATTTCAACATTTTAAGCCCCTATTCAATCATATAATTCAGAAAAAATAAAATCATCGTATGAGATCTTGATAAAAAAGATAAATTTATTAAATATTATATTTGCATCATCTAAAAAAATGTAAATATTAACAATACACACAGTTAAAACTCCTTGCTGGCTAAGCGCAGCAAGAATTTTTCCAGATGGAGAGAAGGCTAGAAGTCCTGACTTCATATTTAGATTTATTTCATTGTGAAATGAATCAACAAGCCATGTTTTTTCTGGAACGGCATATACAAATGTTTTTAAGTCTGGTCTAACACAACAAGCAATCACAGACTGGTGAATGCCAGATAGCCTGCAATCAATCGGTTTTCCAAATAAGTCCCAAATCTAGAAAAAAAAAGGTTTAAATTAATTAACACAGGTTAATGTGATCAGGATAACATAATTGCGTTTAAAATAATGTTTGGTGACCTCTTATCCGTTATTATCCGGTGACCTCTTATTATAGTTCAGATCCTCAAAAATTATATGAAGAGTTGAAATTTTAAATTTTTTACAACACAAAAATTCAAATTTATAATTAGGAAAATTGTATAAATAGATTGAGTTGCTTATAAAGTTTTAAAATAATAATATAATAGAAACTTAACTGACAAATAAATAACTGGTGTGTCCACTCACGCAATTTTCCTTACCATAATTAGAAACATTTTTATGGGTTGTCACAACAATAAAAATTTACTATTTAATAAACATTATATATATATATATATATATATATATATATACATATTGTAATGTACACCTTTATTGGAAGTGAGTAAAAAGGTTTTAATACATTAATGTTGAACAGTTTAAAGGCAAGTTAATCTAGTTCTACTAGTGCAGGGCAAAGAATATGTCTGCTCTGTAGTTTCCCAAGAAAGAAAATCCCAAAGAGGAGAGGAACAAAGGTTTTTGTTTTGGCAAACAGTTGTTGTGTGACTGTAATGAAGAGAGGATAGGAGAAAGAATCCTGGCTCCAGTGAGTGAAACACAGTAATAGTATTACCATTTTGGGATATGTGTTTGGCAGAACTTAGGAAAATGTTTGGAGGTAAATGAATTTAGTGCCACAAAGGAAGGAAGAGTATATAGAAAAAATGTTAGCTTGCCAATCCATATTTGACTTTATTTTAAAATCAGAGTTTAATTTTAGTATAAATAGTGTAAATAATAATAGTTTGTCTGAGTTGATCTGATTGTCAGTAACCCACACCTGAGATAAATAAATATATTAATTCTCTTGTACAAAGCCTACTTGATGAAAATAGACAATGTGAAAACTCTAACAGTACATAAAATAATATTATATTGTAGATACTTACAGTCATTGGAGCATTTGTTATAAGACAAGGGTGGTCCCCTAACCTTAGGTAACTTGCCGAGGAGCAGCCTATAGATCTTTCATCACTTAATTTAACTAATGTTTTTTCTGAAACCTTCCACAACTGAAATAAAGATTTTAACAATTGTGATAAGTTTTATAACAAAGAAATAAAAAAAAAAGTCTTGATTTAGTAGAAGACCGAATATGAAAGAACCAGCCACGAGGGGTAGTCGACAACTTAAGGAGGAGGATTTAATGTTAAAATTATCAATTTTAAAGCTATAATTTATGTAAAAGTTCTTTTTTAAAATTCTATACAAATTTTAAGTCTTTGGCACTGAGAATTTAAAAATCACCTACAGATTATGTAATATAAAGATTTTCTTTCAGTACTAAACAAATATTATAAATGTTATATTCAGCAAACTCTATATTCAAAACTGAAAAGAATGGAAAGGTTTAATCTTGCTCCCTGATTGTTTTCATGTCTGGGATTTTCGAGATTATGAGGTACAATAATATTAGATAGAAAGGAAGAAGAATATTTGGAATTTAAACCGTATTTTTTTTTCTTTTTAAAACATAATAAAATATATTCACTTTTTGCAAACTGAGACAATAAATCAAGTGCACTGGGGATCTCTTTCCTAAGTAAAAAATACGACATTTATTTTTCTTTTGGAACCCTAGAGATTGTATGGTATTGAGAAATAAACACAATATGAACTTTTCTATTACCCTCCATCATAAACATCTGAAGAAACCAACAAAATTCCTTTTGGTCAAATAAATCGAAAATGAACTTAAAATTATGTTTGCTGCATTCTGCACAAAACAACTAAAAAAATATGTCACTAAAATATGTTAAATAATTAAATGAGGTTAATACAATAAAATAATAAGCAAGTGTAGTTGTTTGTACTTACCAAAGCTTCTTTATTTTCATAAAAAGCAACAACGAATTTTTCTATATCACCTTCTATAAAATATAATTTAAAAGGAACTGTATTTTCATCGACTATTGTCTCATCGTATTCCTTGTCTAACTCTCTGTAAGCTATTCTTCCTCCCTCATAAGCCAAAACTATGATTTTACCATCTGCTGAAATATCAGCTAGTTTAATTTTTGTACTTCTTTCAGCAATGATTTTCTTTTTCTTACCAATCACAAGCTAAAACAAAATTTTTAATTATTTTTTTTAAAAATAAGAAATAATTAAAAGAACTACATTATCTGCTGAACAGCTGAAAAGGTCATAGTCCTACTATTTGGTTCTTTGAAATTGAGAATTGTATAATCAATACTAAGCCATCTATGTGAATGAAATAAGTGGAGAAAGATAGCTGTCAGGTAAGGTAGGGTAAGTCCTGAGAGGAGTAGACAGCAGTTACAGACCCTAAATCCAGGCACAACTGAAAAGGCAGAATTACCATAGCATGTTGCTAAAGGAGGGAACCTTCCTAACCATAAGAACCCTTCAAAAAAATGTAATTACTTGCTTCAATAGTTGCTGATAAATCATTATATATGTATTTAATTCAAACTGCTTTTTGTTCTTCTCATGGAATTTTTATGATTTATTAAATATAAAGAGAAGAATTAGCTCAGAAATTGTATCAATCGTTTAAGTCTTGAGAGATTTTTAAAGGCACTGACTAAAGGCTAGTGAAACACCCAATCTACAAGTCAGCCAATTCTCTCTCCTCTCCTGCAAGATACTATTTACAATATTTTTTACTATTTCAGTCCAACTGACCTCCAGCTCAGAGGACGTGATGGACGAATGGAGGTCGTGGTTGGAATGTTGCCCATTGTAGCATTCTCGAGTCTAGCGACACTGGTTCAAATCTGGCCTGGAACCCATCTCGGCATAGAACTCAACCTTCCAACTCTGGAAGTCAGTGCTCACCCACTGAGCTACCCAGCTCCCATGCCTAATGAATCACAATAAATTAAAGATTCCCATTGTCATGTTTACAACCTACTGTACAATCCGGAAGTGTAAATAGTGGATAGAATAGATTGATATGGGATCGCTTATGTACCGATTCAAGCAACCCCAGAAAATTTGATCAACATCAGATTAAAACCAGCAGGTGTTGAGGCCATCATATAGATACAGACAGACACTAGGGAGCGGGGTGGCCAAACAGGCTAATGCAAGTTGCCTGGCAACCAGATAACTGAAGTTATGAAAGATTTAAAAAGTAGGGGTTTACGGTGCAGGAGGGGAATTTAAATTCCCCGCCCTCACCTTCCCTCCCCCCAGCCTGGGAAAACCCCATATAGCCTAATAGGCGAGGTAGGAAAGAACAAAAAAAAAAAAGATGCAGGCAGACTCAGAACCAAATTTGTTTCTTGATGTTCAAAAGAAAAAACACTATTAGAAATTTTTTTCTGCTTACAAAGTTTTTCATACTACGAGGAAAGTATTATGTCTACAGTTTTAGAAATTTGATTACAATGTATGATAAAATATGAATATTTTCTTAGAAATTAATTAATAAATGACAGCTGGTGATTACAAAAAATGACAAATATAATTTTCACAAAATGTAATATGAAATTCTTAGGTAACGCTTTGACACTAAAAACATTTCTCCTGACTAACCTGTGTTTAACAGAGAATCACAAGCACCTTTGAACCTTCATTTAATTTAAGATATTCTCACAGACACTTAAACATCCATCAACTACACTTTATGAAAAAGTGTTATAATATCAAACTGAAACCTTCATTTCTAATTATTAAGAACAGAACAATTTAAAGTTAAAAAAATCTGGTGCGCGCAACACACAACTTTCACTTACCGATCTACTATGAATAGAAATTATTTTCTGGCAAAGCTGGGCTATTATAAATTTTTTTGAAGTGCATTTTAAACGGAGCTAAAGCTTAAACCTTACAGAAAACAAGTCATTAAGACCATTATAATTAAAAAATGTCTATTTAATATATCAATAAAAATCTAGTCACTCCATCTGCTTTTATAAACCACACAACTTTCTTTGCTTTTATAAACCTCAGAATGAATAACTCCAATTTCAACATTTTTGGGTGATGTCATTTCAGTGATATTTTTAGTTGAAAAAGTTATCTATGCAGAATATGAGTAAGTTGATTCCGGAGGGAGGTGGTGATTGCAGTGTTGAAATATAGAATTGAGAATAGAGGTACTTAATTCTTATGAAAAATGTTATTAGGAAAGATACTTTATTAAATATCTGTAGGAAAAAGGTTTTTTTAGTCTCAAAAATTAAAAAAGTATATTTTAAATTTATCCAAATTTTCGCCTCTTCAGGGAAAAAAACTAGAGACCATATCTTTCCTCCTAGTTGTCGGATCTTAACGATTTTTTTTTGGTTTTTTAGGAAATTCTATTTACTTTTAAAAGACAATATATACAAAAAAGTGTATACTTTTTTGAGTTATTCGGAATTTAATTTTACCATCCCTCGTAACTTTTTTTCCAGCTTTTTTTCATTGAAGTATGTTATATAGATAAATTTAAAGGGTGTCGAGAAAATGACTTTAGCGAAGTTTCATTGAAATCGGTACATTCGTTTAGGCGCTACAGTCTACAGTCTACAGTCGCAACGCAGGTTTTTCTGCATTTTTATTTTTTTTCTCGTTTATTAACTCATCAAATTTTTTCAAAAGTTATATTTAGCATTTTTTCGTAACTTTGAATAATGTGAAATGATTAACTTTTTAAAATAAACCATATTAAAGGTAATGAAGAGAAGAATAGTTGGGGTGCTCAGTCAAAAAAGGAAGGCAAAAAATAAATTATAATATTTATTTTTTACATATGCCGACGTTTCGACCTGAAGTTCAGGCCATCATCAGGGCTAAGAAAATAACCAGATAACAAGGTATGAGAAACTTAAGTAATGATGGTAAAAAAGATAATAAAAAATGAGAAAATAAAATAGATTAGATCTAGATAAAATAGATCTAAATAAAAGAAAAATAAAATAGATAGATATAAAGTAAAATAAAATTGTTAGAATAATGACTAAGAACTAAGAGATAAATAATACAGACTGTTACATAGTGTGGAATGATGAAGTAGGCATAATCAAAAAGGGGGTGACAAAAGTGTTACATTGGGAATCTTAGAATAAAATGTAAAAACATAAAAAAGAAATATAAAGTTATATAAGAAATGAATAAATAGTAAAATAAAATAATAGTAGAATAAAATAAATAGTAAAATTAAAACATTGAGAATGGAGTAGTTTGATAGAAAATTGAGATATTGTAAAGTCTATCAAGATGTACAGACAATGTATAATATAATAGAGAATTCTCCACAACCCATTTCAGCCCCTATATACAGATCTCTACCTTATATTCCTAACCTTTCAGACAACATCAACAAAGTTTTACGATCCACTAACCCTAACTTACGACTTGCATTCAAATCTCACAACACTCTCTCGAAATTATACACATCCCTAAAAGATCCTGTTCCTCTCTCACACCGCTCTCATATCGTTTACCGTATTCCATGTTCTACCCCCAATTGTTTTTCATCCTATATTGGTGAAACCAAAAATCTCCTAAAAGACCGCATAACCCAACATAAATATTCTGTATCCTCTCGTAATTTCACCGCTTCCAAATTATCCGAACATTCTCTCTCCCTCAATCATTCATTTGATTTCGACAAAACATCCATCCTTGCCACTGTTCTCAACCATGACAAACGACTCATTTCTGAAACCCTCCACATCCAGCTTCAACCAAAGACAGTGAATCTTAAATCTGACAAAAATAACTTTTCTCTAACCTATACCCAAATTCTGAATTTATTAAAACATCCATAGTTATATTCCTTTCCTTTTTGCTGACAACTCCCTATATATATATATATATATATATATATATATATATATATATATGTATATATATATATAATATATATATATATATTATATAATATAATATATATATAATATAATATATATATAATAATAATATAATATATATATATATATATATATATATATATATTCACTTTCACTTTCTATTAACTTTCGTTCAATATTCCATAATTATTCTACATAATATATCTCTCGTACCTATTTAGGCTTCTAGCATTCTTCTAGTTCAAACTTCGTCCGATAACCGTTACAGATGACGCCACCTCCACATCCCTTCTCTCTCCACCTTCTTTGTAACGACTTCATTCTCACTTTGACACTTAAGGAGAAAGGTACTACTTCTTTTATTTCTTTCTTATTTCAGCTTTCTCAATTTCTTCCCTCCTTCCTTTCATTCCTTTTCTCTGTTGTTAACTCTCTATTATATTATACATTGTCTGTACATCTTGATAGACTTTACAATATCTCAATTTTCTATCAAACTACTCCATTCTCAATGTTTTAATTTTACTATTTATTTTATTCTACTATTATTTTATTTTACTATTTATTCATTTCTTATATAACTTTATATTTCTTTTTTATGTTTTTACATTTTATTCTAAGATTCCCAATGTAACACTTTTGTCACCCCCTTTTTGATTATGCCTACTTCATCATTCCACATTATGTAACAGTCTGTATTATTTATCTCTTAGTTCTTAGTCATTATTCTAACAATTTTATTTTACTTTATATCTATCTATTTTATTTTTCTTTTATTTAGATCTATTTTATCTAGATCTAATCTATTTTATTTTCTCATTTTTTATTATCTTTTTTACCATCATTACTTAAGTTTCTCATACCTTGTTATCTGGTTATTTTCTTAGCCCTGATGATGGCCTGAACTTCAGGTCGAAACGTCGGCATATGTAAAAAATAAATATTATAATTTATTTTTTGCCTTCCTTTTTTGACTGAGCACCCCAACTATTCTTCTCTTCATTATCCACGACAGTCAACCAATTACCAATTACATATTAAAGGTACTTTAGAGGAAGACGTATATGAACATTGGGCATTTAAGCCCTGTAAAGTGACATCAATGGGGATAAGACCTAATTGATATTAAAGACCACTTAATTATACAATGATACACCGAGTTTAATCAAAATCGTTAGAGCCGTTTTTGAGAAAATTGTGAAAATGTGTTTCAGCATTGATATAAAGTGGCACTTCCGGTTAGCCGATTTTAAGGAAAAAGTTGCCGTCACATCTAAGGCATATACCTATCTTAAATACGTAATATCAGTTTCGTAGGACTTTTCGTTTTTGAGCTAGACTGCTAACATACAAACACACAGACCATTTTTCGGGACTTGGTCATTTCAACTCAGTGTACCTCAAATCGTGTATTTCCGTTGAAAACTCAGATTCAAAAATTGTCTCGATTGCAATACTTACCCTTACTATAAATTACATATATACATAAGTGAAAGTAAAAGAAAACTACAAACCTCAATGTTTTCCTGAGAATGTTCCATTTTAATGAGTACAGGTTCATTATCAAGTTTCCACTTTATTGAGGTCAAAGGGGACAGTAAATCATCAAGCGTATTTAAATACAAAGAACCGTTAGAATAACCCAACAGTATTGCTTTATCATTTACACAAACACTGTTAAGTTGGCTAAAAAAAAAATAAAAAAATCAGTCAATGACAAAATAACTGGAAGTATTGTAAATCATTATATATGTAGATAATTATGAAACAAAACAATTTTTTATTTGTAGTATTTTATAAGATTTGTAAAACTGCATCTGAATTAACATTGAAGATTATTTTGAAGAGAAAGCTTGAAGAAACTTAGTTTCTTTTTTTATATAATGAAAAAATTACTGATAACTGGTTAATATACAATAAAGCTTCAATCATTATATCAATCTTCATTAGAAATACCTGCTTATATATTACATATATATATATATATATATATATATATATATATATATATATATATATATATATATATATGTATATATATGTATACTTATTTATTCAAAAGTACCTTGTCATAAGAGGAACATGGTAAACAATCGAACCAGTAAAGAAATGAAAAACAAATAATTCTCCTGACTCTGTAGTGGTAGCAATATTTGTTCCAACACTGTGCAATTGTTTAAAACAATTTGTAGAAAGTGGGGCATTAAGACAATTTTCTTTTGTTGTTTGAGAATACACAGTCAACCTATCTTTTGTCAATATTACTAGTCCTCCTCCAAGTGACTCTGTAATCAAATAATATATAATTATATGAGGTGGACATGCAAAATAAATTCCTTAAATTTAAAATTAACAACCTTCAAACAAATTCTTATATAAGAAAAAAATAAAAAAACAAAAACAATCCTAATAAAGTAAGTTCTGGGTTCTAAGGATTTCTCTCAAATGGCTTAATTGTTCCCAATAAAATTTTTAAAAGTTATTTCACAATATTGAGGAATGGTTAAAAAAAGTAAGACATAACAATCTACCATATTATTCATGTTTATACAAAGTTATGCTGAAAAGTCTTTGGTAAAAATTTATCTGAAGTAAAAAATTTCTTAAAGAAAATGTAATATAAATACTTTTATTGATTTATATTTTAAACTAATTTGAATGAAGCGAACTTTCAGCTCATATAAGATTACACTCCATAAATTATTACAAAATTAATAATCTATATGTTGTTTATGAGAAGGAGTTGGTCGGGAGGTGCAGTCAAATAAATATTAAATTTTTAAAAAATAGATTAAAAAAATACTATTTTTTAAAAGTGTAGTATTTATTTGACCGCACCTCTTGACCAACTCCTTCTCATATTATATCATGGTCAATGATCTCTACATCTATATGTTGTTTAGAATTGAAAACTTGAACTTACCAGGAAGTGAGCGTAAAGAAATAAAATCATTATAGTTTATCTGCTGGTATTGTGCGCCAGAATCTAATAAATATAATACTATTTTGCCAGAACCACCAGCAGCAACATACTGTTCCTCCAAAAAATCAAGACATCTGAATTGAGACGAAGGATCATACTTAATTTCCCATTTTTGTTTATCCAATATCCAAATCTGAAAATAAAATCACAGCATTCAATTGATCTTAGGTTTCGATGATTATTGGATAGTAATAATTATATAAAATTCCATATTTTTCTAGAAAAGAAAAGAGTGGCGCTAGCCAAAAGAAAAAAAAAACAGTACAATATTAAAATAATTATTAATGGAGGAAGTTTTCAATGTATCAACTTTCATGGAGGATATAGTGCATTACAAATGAACCATTGGGGAGTTAAATAACTTTTAATATATCTTATTGATAATGTTTATTTGGGATAATGGAAGTTACAAGAGGAAATCATAAAGCAGAGAAGGTAGGCAGAAGGTAAGGAGAAGAAATAACACCAGCAATCTGACAAAATTTTTTTCTATTGAGTGGTGGGTTAGAACTACAATGTAGTATTGGTAAAATAATTTAAAACAGAGATAGTTGTTAGAGCATACCTAACTGGTAAATGAATGTGAAAAACTTAAATAATACAGTTTGGTTTTTAATTGTTAATTAAAATACTTTAAAAGTAAGTAAAAATGAAGATTACTAATAAATATTGCAGTGGTGCTTTTCTAGATTTGCCATTAAAGATGGTGAATGAGCCAGATCATGTTGATGCCATAATCCCAGATACAATCTCTTGGTTTTAATTTTTTTTTTCAATTTGATCAGTAAAAGAAAATAAAAAACTTCAAAGTTTAAATAAGTGAGGTAGGGGCATCTAAATATTAGTTTCTGTCAGTTTGCCACTTCTTCGAAAACAAAATGAAAAATTATTTTCAAGTCCACAATTTTGATCTAGTTAATTAAAATATAATGGGATCTACCATGCATACGGATCATTAAATCAGAAGAATATTCAAATAAGCCAAGGCTTGGAAAAAATGAACAAATTAAAAAATTAAGGGAATCTTTCAAAATACGGGTGGCACAGGTACATAACTCTAAGTTGTGATGAGTGCATTCATAAGCACCTTCGATTCACTGGAAGTAAGGAAACTCCCAATCTTTAATAGACATTGAGTACAGAAATGAGGATTTGGCAGGAATCACTTCCATCTCCTTCACTGAGAACACCAAATGTGGAATCATATAACAAAAAGATGAATGGAAAAACTATAAAAAAATTTATGAAGAGAAGAATAGTTGGGGTGATCAGTCAAATAAGAAGGCAAAAATAAATGACAATATTTATTTTGACATTTGCCGACGTTTCGACTTGAAGTTCAGGCCTTCATCGGGGCTAAGAAAAGAACCAGATAACAAGGTATGAGAAACAAAAGTAGTGTAGGTAAAAAAAAAAATTAAAGTAAAATGAAGTTGTGAGAATAATGATAATACGAAGAACTAAGAGATAAATAATAATAACCGTTACAAAGTGTGGAATGATGAAGTAAACATGATCAAAAAAGGTGACATAAGTATTAAAATGGGAATCTTAGAATAAAATGCAAAACAGAAAAAAGTAATATGAAGTTATATAAGACATGAAAATAAATAGTAAAATTAAGACATCGCGAATAGAGTAGTTAGATAGAAAATTGAGATATTGTAAAGTCTACAGACAATGTACAATATAATAAAGAGTTAAAACAGAAACGGAATGAAAGGAAGGAGGGAAGAAACTGAGAAAGCTGAAATAAGAAAGAGATAAGAGAAAAGAGTACCTGTCTCAATCAGTGTTGAAAGGAGAAGCAAAAATAGTAGCAAGGGAGGGGGGAGAGAAAAGATGTATTGTGGCGTCATCTCTAACGGTTATCTGACGAAGTTTGAACTAAAGTGCCGGAAGAGTAAATAGGGACGAGAGATATATTACTCATAAATATTATGGAAAATAAAACGAAAGTTAAAAGAAAGAGGATGGAATTTTTTTTTTAACCTACATTACTTATGTTTCTCACACCTTGTTATGTGGTTCCTTTCTTAGCCATGATGAAGGCCTGAACTTCAGGTCGAAACGTCGGCAAATGACAAAATAAATATTATCATTTATTTTTGCCTTCTTATTTGACTGATCACCCCAACTATTCTTCTCTTCATTATTCACGACAGTCAACCATTTTACCCACAATTATATAAAAAATTTATTTCTTATTAAATATAAAATGATTTTATCACTACTTAACTAATTTATCATGCATGACAGGTGATAAATATTTAGGACGCAGTCATTTTTAAGGTTTTTATTGGTGCCGACATTACAACCCAAGCATGTGGATGGGTCGTCATCAGGGCTTGGAATACTGAAGATGTTTAAATACTCAACACCTTTAGTGCTCGAAACACGCCTTGGTGATGGATGACCCAAATGCTTGGATTGAAACGTCGGCACCAATAAAACCCTTTAAAATGACTGCGTCCTAAATATTTATCACCTATGATATATAGAAGAGTCGACTAATTTTCTTCAATAACATCAAGCATGATGAATTAGTAGTGGTCTGTAAAGCTAACATAAAAAAATAAAATCTATTGAATGAAATGTCAGTTTTGATAAATTAATGTCTGTATAGCTTGCCTATTTTATTCAAGAGATAATTTCATGCATGAAATATTAATTTTCTCTCACTTTCTTATCCAACAACTAAAGTATATTTTATTAATAACTCAAGATTAATATCTTTAAACATATGTTTTTTACAATAGAATAATTAAAAATATATAACTGCCTCCTTACACTGATATTAGTGGGCCCCAAACTGGCAATCAATGAAGAATCTCTTTTAGAAAAAACACTCCATAATACAGGATAACAATGTTTAAGTACATATAAAGCATTAGTTATGCCAGCACCATTGTTTGGAAAAGCATTAAATAAATTCATAAAGTCCAATTGTCTTTTTTCTGTTGGAGAAGGGCTTCTGTCACCTTAAACAAATGAATTAATTGAGAATTAAGATGAATATATAAACAAGAAATTCATAAATTTGTGTATAGAGTCACATTTTTGTTTTATCATTTTCAACAAGAAAAAAAATTTAATCCCACTAGCTCAAAATTTGAGGTTTTAAATTACAACATAAATAGAATAAAAAATAGTATTTCTGTACTCTAAGCTGTCAATGACTTTTATCTGTTACTCTGTGAATAAAATATAAACAGGATTTGATTTTATAAACAAATCATTGATTAAAGAACAAAAGACAATTGGTTTTTCCCGCAGCATCATAGAAGGAAACTGGTTGCGTCAGAAGTCAATTGCAAACAAATATCTCCATGCCCTTATCAGCTTCAAATCGTTGCCCTCCTAGAGCTTTTATTCTATTCATGGATCAATTGTCCTCTATTCTTTCAAGGTCTCGAACCGCACAAATGTTTTTGTCTGTAATGCTAGTACGAGGACCACATTGCGTTGTTGATTTTCCATTGTCTGCTAGTCCTTCCTTTAAAAAGTCATCATGCCAGACAAACATATTTGTTTTTGATAATGTTTGGCCACCAAACTATGTAGTCAATCTCTAGAAAATTTCTGTTACTTGAACACCATCATCACAAGCAAAATATTTTATAACTACAGAGAAGTTGGTTGAGGGTGTTCAGTCAAAAAAATAAAAAGTGAAAATAACATCTCATAACATGTTATGGGAATCTTTTGTGGGATCAGCCCTGATGAAGGCCTGAACTTTGGGCTGAGACGTCGGCAAAAATGAAAATAAATATCATTTATTTATTTTTACTTTTTTGACTGAACACCCCAACTAACTTCAATTCAATTTTTATTACAATCAACCATCAATCCACTATACTTTCATAATTATTAGAGAAGTATGTCTATTGCTCCACAATGTTGAACAATGTTACAAATGGAGTGGTAGGAAGTATGGAAAGGCCGGCTCTCCCCTCTCCTAATGGTTCGACCCAAGCATACTAGAATCGTGGGCCAGTTCTACCAACTATAGATTTAATAAATATTATGAAATCATATAATATAAAAAAATTAATATTTGATTCTTAACAATGTAAAATTTGACTATAAATAACAAACTAGAAAATGAGACAACATTTCAAACAGTCATTCAAAATTAAATGAACTGAATAAAATTTAAATGATTATAGTTATTTGGAAAAAAATAGTATTATAAAAAGAAAATATCTCTCTTAAAATACAAAATAGCTTAAATTAATCTTAAAGTAAATGATCCAGAGCAACAGTAAAAATAAATTAGTTAATGAATGCCTTATTAAATATTTGTATACTTTTATTTTTAATTTTGACCTCTACTCCAATCTAACACTTTTAATTTAATTACTAAATTCAACTATTCCAAGAATAATAATTTGCTAGAATAAATTCACAACATTAACATTGAGACAATTAGAGATAATATGACAAAATAACACATAATTCTTCTCCTTTAAAATAAAATATATTAATACAATAATAACTTATTTTTTTTAAGTTGATTAAAAAATTACCTGGAGAAGATTCTCCATTTCCCAAAGACCATATTCGAATGGTATTATCCATTGAGGAAGAGAGAAGTAATGATTTATTATTCGATACATCAAGACTAGTAATTTTATTTGTGTGACCTATGTATTCTTTCAAGACACCTTTAGCCCTAATATTATAAAGCTGAAAAATATAAGAATTAAGTAAATAGTATTTTGGATGAAATCTTAATTTATAATAAAATAAAATGAAAGGTAATCATTGGATAATTAGACTCATAGTCCCATATTAATAAAGATAATACAGAAAACTGAAAAGGATTAATTATAATTATATTATCAAATTGTATTGCAAGATTATATAGATTAATTTAATCATATTTCTTCATATGCTTTCAGCAGTTAGCCTGTGAACTAATAGACAAAGAATCGGAGCTTCGGCAATGGAAATTCAATCAGACGATGAGAAAATGAAACATAGGTAATATAGTTTTAATAAAACAATTGAAGATCAATTAGGGCACCCACCTATATTCGCCATATTTGATTTTTTACTTAAAGGGTAGAACACTAACCATGCCTTCAACAGGTTAGTATTTGAGACATAATTCATTACTTAATCAAATTAATAAGCCGTTTATTGGCAATTTTATTGGTGCTCCCAACTATGTTTGGTAGAAACCAATTTTTAAACTAATGTGCAAATGTATGTTCTATGAGCATAGCTTTAGCATGTTTCTTCGTCATAATTTTTTTTTTTATTAGTAAAGTTTCAGCATTTATAGCATTGCAGGGAAAATTGATTAGGGATTTATAAAAGTATATGTAGATATTTAGAATGTAAATAAATGTTTGAATAACCAATGTACAGGGTGTCAAAAACGAGAGAATGTTATTTAAAACTCAAATAAGTAAAAACAAAACTATCTAAAGAAAATAATTTAATTATTAAATATATGATTGTGGGTTGATGGTTGACTGTCGTGAATAATGAAGAGAAGGATGGTTGGGGTGATCAGTCAGAAATAAGAAGGCAAAAATAAATAATAATATTTATTTTAACATTTGCCGAATCAGAAATAGGGCACAAGGAACTGTGGATTAAACCCTGTGGTGGATGTCCACAGGGAGGTGTGCTCTCTCCGCTACTGTGGTGTTTTGTGGCTAACTCACTATTGGAAGCCTTAAACACTGCAGGCATTTATGCTCAGGGATATGCTGACGATATTGCCATCCTCATAGGAGGGAGGCATCAGAGTGTCCTCTCTGATATCCTCAGTACAGTGTTTAATATTCTTAGGAATTGGTGCAGGATTAAAGGACTAAGCATCAACCCTAGGAAAATCAATGTGTGTATCTTCACTAAGAAGAAGAAGGTGGCTATAAAAATGCCGGAAATCAATGGTATCCAAGTGACACAGAGTAAGGAAGTAAAACACCTTGGAGTCACTTTGGACCATAAACTGACATGAACTAAACACGTTCAAAACATGACAAGTAAAGCCCTCAAATGCCTATGGGCCTGTAAAAGAGCGATAGGAAAGAATTGGGGACTAAAACCAAAAATGGTATACTGGCTGTACACAACGACAGTCAGACCTATCATATTTTACTCAGCTTTGCTATGGTGGCACAAAGCAAAGACTGTGGCCAACTTATCCTTATTAGGAAAGACTCAAAGGCTTGCTTGTATAATGATAACAGGCGCGATGAGCACGACACCGACGGCTGATATGGAGGTGATGCTGGGCATGCCTCCGCTGCAGCTGGAGGTGGAGGCTCGGGTAACAAATACATTGTACAGGATAAGCAAGTCAACTTATTGTTCAACAGTCCCCTATCAGGGAGGACACACAATACTGCTGAACAGGATTGGACGATAAGGAGTACTAGCTATGCACTCTGACACTCTAATCCGAGAATATCAGGACCGAAAATATAAGGTTGAGATAGATAGCAGCAGAAGTCATAAACCAAATAGTGGAATAAATTGCTATACAGATGGCTCTCTAACAGTCTTCGGCTCTGGAGCAGGCATCTATTGCAAAGATATAAAAGAAAAAATGTCTATACCACTTGGCAGGTATGCTTCAGTGTTTCAATCCGAGATACTGGCAATCTGCCACTGTGTACAAAACCTACTGCAAACCAATGTGACTGAGAAAAAGATTACCATCTATACTGACAGTCAGGCAGCAATAGGTGCTCTCGACAACTATTATGTTTATTCAAAAGTCGTTAAGGAATGCAATAGAGCACTTAACGAGCTAACTGAGCACAACAGAGTTGCAATGGAGTGGGTGCCAGGTCACTCTGGCATACCAGGCAACGAGATGGCTGATGAGCTAGCCAGATTGGGCTCAGATACTATTCCTATAACTCCCGAGCCTGTCTGAGGAATCAGCCTCAGCACTGCCAAGGGCAGGATCAGGGAGATCTATGGGAACAAATTTAGGAATTACTGGAGCGACAAGAAACAGAGACATTCGAAGCTGTTCCTTGAAGGCCCATGTAAAAAAAGAAGTAAACAGCTACTGAACATGGACAGAGCAGCTCTTAAAAAACTTACAGCGATCTATACAGGTCACTGTCAGTAAAATAATCATATGTTCAATCTCCGAGTAATGACGAATCCGCTATGCAGATTCTGTCAGGAGGAGAATGAAACAGCTTTTCACATCATATGCAGATGTGACAGGTTTATAAGGCTGAGACTGGTGGTATTTGGGGAGGAACAGATGGATCTCCCCAGAAGATATGAGTCGGTCAATCCAACCAGCCTACTTAGATACGCGGAAGCGACAGGACTAACGTTTTAAACAAAACAACCTACTGAAATTGGCGCACAATGGACCCAGTAGGTGTCGACGTGCTTAGGGCCAACAAATATAAAATAAAAAAAAATAAAAATATTTGCCGACGTTTCGACCTGAAGTTCAGCCATTCATCAGGGCTAAGAAAAGAACCAGATAACAAGGTATGAGAAACATAAACAATGTAGGTAAAAAAATTAAAGTAAAATGAAGTGGGTAGAATAATGACAATAACAAGAACTAAGAAATAAATGATAATAACCGTTACAAAGTGTGGAATAGTGAAGTAAACATAATCAAAATGAGGTGACATAAATAATAAAAAAATTGTTATTCTAGAAGAAAATGTAAAACAGAGAAAAGGAATATGAAGTTATATAAGAAATAAAAATAAATAGTAAAATTAAGATACTGTAAATGGAATAGTTAGATAGAAAATTGAGATATTGAGGGAAAAAAAAAAAAAAAAAAAAATAGAAGACTAAAAAAAAGATAGAAAACCAACCTATTCGAAGAGATCTTTTTTTAGTCTTCTCCTTTTTTTCCTCCCTTCTTCCTTTCATTCTGTTTTTCCATACTTTCATCTCCACTTTGTATATATTGATAAATCTGCTCATTTATTTTTTACTTTATTTAAACTCTTTATTCTATTATACGTTGTCAGTAAATTTTGATAGACTTTACAATATCTCAATTTTCTATGTAACTATTCCATTTACAATATCTTAATTTTACTATTTATTTTTATTTCTTATATAACTTCATATTCCTTTTCTCTGTTTTACATTTTATTCTAAGATTACCATTTTAATACTTATGTCACCTCGTTTTGATTATGTTTACTTCATTATTCCACACTTTGTAACGGTTATTATTATTTATTTCTTAGTTCTTGTTATTGCCATTATTCCACCCACTTCATTTTACTTTATTTTTTTTTACCTACATTGTTTATGTTTCTCATACCTTGTTATATCGTTCTTCATTCTTTTCTTAGCCATGATGAAGGTCTGGACTTCAGGTCGAAACGTCGGCAAATGTTAAAATAAATATTACTATTTATTTTTGCCTTTTTATTTCTGACTGATCAGCCCAACCATCTTTCTCTTCATTATTAAATATATGGATTCAATGGAAAACCATTTATAATAGATAATAATATTAGAGAGTATCCACTACCCTCAAATTATTAGGAAATAGTCACGAGTTCGCGTCCCGGTGCGTCTTTTAAATTTCCGCTCACACCCTCTGGCCCTGGAAAACCACGTTGAGCCTTAACAACAAGGATGAGGAGGATGCAAAAAAAAAAAAAAGCCTCAATTGAAGTTTTTAGTGTATTTTTATTGGCACTATCTTGTTTGAAACAAAGTTCTTAAATTGAAATTACAAAAGGGCTGCAAAAACATGGAGTCAAGAAATTTAAAGAATTGTGACTTAGGGATTTATTACTCGGTCAATTGTTTCATTGAGTCAGCACACAGAAAACATGCATTTTGAAGTTTGATCCTATTAGTTCAAACATTTATATCCACTTCAGAATTATGTTTAAATGGGCTACACTTTGAGTTTGAAAATAAGCTAAATACAAACCCAGAGCCATTATGGTAGTTGCTTTATTTATAAACTTAGACACAGAAAGCACAATGTTGACCAGCAAAAGGGTTAGTATTAATACTAAAACCCTATGAACCAGATTGCCTCGTAATACCCACTCTCCCTCTTGCTCCTCGTAGTGATTTGAAGAACGAATAGCACTCACTCTTCTGGGACATCCTGAACTATGTTGTATAAAAAAAGCTTGTGCTAATAAAAATCACGAACAAATCTTAATGATTAGAATTTTTCAAGAATGTCATTTTCAGTTTCATATATACTTTAGAGATGATTTATAAATGCATAAAACAAAAACAAAGTGATGGCATATCATTTAATGTTATCGAACAAAAACATTAAATATCTCATAATAAACATAATATAGGCTGATAATAGTTTTAAAAAATAAAATACCTTCAAAGTTTTTCCTGTGGGCCCAGAAGCAATAATGACTTCATTGGTCGTTCTTCCAAAACAAACAATTTTTATTTCTTCATTTATTTCTAGAGTATCAGGTAAAATTACTCTGTCAACCTCACTAAGCCTGAAATATGACATATATAATTCCACAATGAGTTCTGATAATGGATGTGTGATGATTACAGGACAGGTGGATCTACTGGGGAAGGTGGAGGGAGCTTTCGAGCTAAACTTCCTTCTCCCAAAATTGTAAAATATAACTATTTTATGGAAAAAAATATTTTTAAATTATCTCTTAAAGTTTTATTGTTCGTGTAATTACATTTAATAGGACTTCAAGAATCACTTAAACACTATTTCATACAGGTGATCAGTTTATTTCTTTTTTTTTTTCCAAAGTAATTATCGTTATACTTTTATATGAAAAAAATAAAAAGCTTTCGGGCTGAAGCCCCCCAAAATTAAATCCTGGATCCGCTAGGGGATTGCAGAAAATGCTGATAAATAATATCTATATATAACCGGATATTTATTTATCTATGATATCTGTACATGTATGTGTATATAAATAAAGAATATCCATGAGTTTTTAGTATCTAATTAAATAAACAAAGTTTGCTGATCTAATGATTAGAAATGCCCTATTTCCAATATTTGTAGGTTACGATGAGATGAAGCTATTTATGAAGTTTCAAGCAAATGTTAATAATTTAATAAAAAAGGGTTTGTACTATGGACTAGTATTATTAAAAATGAAAAAAAAAAAAAAAATGTGAAAGAATAATATTACTTGATCTAATTGAGTACTGATACTTCTCTCCATCACTGAGGGAATTCTGACACTAACGAAAGAGATGCGTCTCTTTATGAGAATAAGACTGTAAATGAATTTAATAATCTAAACAAAAGTAACAAATAAACTTTTGTATATAAGAATAAACTAGAGGTTAATGGTGATATTTTAACTTCTAGGATTGAAGAAAGACTAATATGTTTCAAATCAATAATCTTGCTCTAATCACTGGTATGTCAGATAAATGATGAAGCCAAACACACTGACTGGAATAAGGCATAATGAAGTCCTAAGTAATTGGAAATTTGTCGCATTTTGAGTGTCTGAACGAGCATGAATGAAAAATAAAGTAATTACCACAATTAAATTATTGATCATGATTATAAAATATAAGAATTTTACATATATACTTGTGTAATTTATGTTATAAAAATTCTTGAATGTTTGTGTACTGTTAAAGTGTATTTAGAATGTATTTTTATGCTATAATATCTTCTTAAACCTATAACAGTTATTCAACTAAGTTAATTATGAAATACACACCAAATTAATGAAATAATACTCACGGGGAGGAATGTAAATAAAGTTCTTTGCATTTCTTGCTCTTGGCCAAATGAACAGCTGCCACATGGACACTGGAAGTGGTTGGTTCTTGAAGAGCAGCCTGAATTATGGCTATTCCATTAGCTATTGAAATTCCATGATATTCAATAAAAGTGCAGAATTCTTCAGCCTTTTTTTTCAATTCATCAGTCTGTAATTTTTATTTTTTAAAACTATTTTAAGTCCTTAAGTTATAATGATATATGGTGGAAGTATGAATTATTAATAAAATATTTTTACCTGACTTGTAATTAATGATTTATAATTTTTGTAATCTTGAATTAAATCTGCAGGGCCGCACACTCGAAGTTTAGCTTCTAAAAATGGAAGATCAAAGTAGAGATTGTTGAAATAATGGTGAAAAGCCACACCTGCCTTTTTCAAGTGGTATCCAATATAATAAAAAATGTAATTATCATTTTTAGGTAAATTAGACCATATTCCCTGACACTCGTCCTTGTAGTTTAAAATGAAATGTTTATGTAGTTCCTAAAAAACATTAACAAATACTAATTAATAAATTATTTCATAGAGAAAACAAATGGCAAAAGAAGTAGAGGACACCCTCGGATCAGATGGCTGGAGGATATGGAGTACGATTTAAAGCGGCTGGGTGTTAGAAGATGGAATGTGGTAGCACAGGAACGTGGAGATTGGTTAGATATAGCGGAGGCTCAGGTTCTTTCAGGACCATAGTGCCATTGTAATAATAATTATTGATAAATTACACAGGAAGCAGTTATAGCTAGAAACCTTTTCTCCCAAGTTGAGATGAATTATTTCCTTCTGCAGCTACATATGACTTTATACACAGAATATTTTTAGTGAAATAATTTAAATTTAGAAAAATTTCCAGCAAAAAATATTACAAAATCATTAAGTAATAAGTAGAAATATTGAAATTAAAATACTTTTAGCAATTGTGTTTAACATGGAGATATTTTATGAACATAATTTTTCTGCAATGACATAAATACTGAAAGATTATATTCATTAAGTTTTTATTGTCAACTAACCCCAGAAATTTGTCTAGAATGGTCATTAGTTAAATAGTCATATACAGTTCTTTCATTATGTTTTCTGAAGACATGCATCATTTCAATCTGATAATGCACTTAAAACATTTTTTTTTATTCATTCATTGAAAAAAATGAATATCAATGTAATAAAACGTAAAAAATATTTATTCTGTTTTCCAGTGAAGAGTATCAAATAAAAAACTATATTGATAGATTTGTACAAAATTCCTAGAGCCAAAAATTTAAATATAATGTTATTCAACTACAATGATGTATCTAATCTAGATAGACCAGTAAATTAAAAAAAAATATTGGATTCCATAATAGTATACTTTCATGATTTCGCAAAAGATAAAGGAAGTTTCATACTGTCGAATCATTCTCAAAAATACCCAATGTCTTAGGACTTAATAACTTAGTTTTAGATGGGCAATGTAATAATATATCTTGATGAATTAACCATTTCAATCTTTCTGCTCACAATTCCTGATTGTGCCAAGGTTAAACAGTTAGGCACATGGGAGATGAATCATGAAATAACTTCATCTAACAACACATAAGACTCGTAATTTTCTTGTATCCATTTTTACTTTCCAAACCATGTAATTGATAAGTAAGACCAAAGGTATTTAGAAATTAGAGTAAGGAAGTAATTGTAATCAGATCAGATTTTTGATATGCTATTTTCTTAAATTTTCTGTAGGATAACCAGAACAGCTTCTGGTAATAATTTAGGATACAAATGAAATCAAAACATATAAACCAGTTAGTCATATCTCAGGATGGCTATCAGACAGTTAAAGTAAAATTTCCTGACATTTCTCTATTTAACGATAACTTTTCCCTGTCCAATATGTTTGAGAACACAAATATTAAAAAATAAATAATTTATCATTAAATTTACTTATTATACATGAAAGAAAATTAACTATAAAATGGTCTGAGTAAAAAAAAACAGCCTTTTAATTAACAAATATAATGTTTTAGAGGAAGCAATTTTTAATCTTGATTAGAATTTTTATTTTAGAAAACTAAACTTTTACTAATTTATTTTTAACGCTTTTATTTTATTTTCATAAGCTGAGAGGAGGTAAACGTTGATACTTAACATATAAAGCTATAATATTCTCTATTATAAAATAAAGTGAGCTACAGGGGATTCTAATATTAATGTAGTTTCTCATAAGTAATTTAGTTTCTTTATTATTATAAACAGCATAATAATTACCCATATCACAACACCATATTAAAGCAACGAATGTGCAACGTTAAACAGGCTCACAATTGTTAGTTTAACATGGTGCCGACGATATGAAACCAACTGTGACATTTCAAGTAAATAGATGATCTTTTAAGGAGCACCGCAAATCGAAACAATAAGTGCTTGCCAGCCACATCTTGACCCAGATTTATACAATACAAATAGTAAAGGTATGGTTTTATTTTAAAAAATTGCGGTTTTAATTTCATTTTGCTTAAATGCCATTATTGACAGTCAAAGGTGGATGAATATAGCGACCATGGTCATAGATAACGACAAAGTTTACCTCCTCAAGATGATTATAAACGCTATCCACTGTATATTTATTTGAATAATAAATAAATTTATGTACTAAAAACATTATCTAACTTTAACCATTTTTCCCAGACTTCTTCCTCTTTTGAAAATTCCCTAACTTTATCCAATTTTCCAGGTCAGTCGCCACCCTGTATCTGATTAAATAAAATCGAGGAGTTTAAATTAAATAAGAAATGTACAATGCATCTACACACTAGAGGCAAGCGAAAGCATAAAGGCATACGATATGCAAGACTATTCCACGTTTTACGAGTATTAGTTTACTTGGCTTAAATATAGCTGCTTGATCCTATTCATTTTAGTTACCTTTGTCAACTTAATAAAAAAAAAATACATTGAATAAACTTCAACCAAAAGTTAATTTTATGATAAATATTATTTGTATTTTTAATGACCTGTTCTTCAGACATGGAGAGATGATTTTTCAGAAAATTTGAAACAAGATCATGCACACCATAAACATAACTATTCTGTAACTCGTTCCATTTCATAACAGCAAGAGATTTTTTAACAAAATCAACCATTATTCCCTCTGCATCATATTTGTCCATTTTCCATAATATTCCTAGAACCTACAATAAAATTAATCAGTCATAAAAATAATTATCAAATTGAATCATATATTTAAAAAGCATACTATAATCTTGAGATGTAAATATGTTACCTCAGGCTTGATGTTAACATCTTTGACAAATACTGCTAATTGCTGGAAAAGAATTTTATTCTCTCCTAATGATTCAACTGATTCTTGCATCGCATTGTAAAAGCTCTGTAAATCATTTAAACTTCTTCTCCTATTGAAATAAATAGTTACATTAATCTCAAAACTGATAAACTTAAACAGAATTAACATCTTTTATAATTAGGGGGCAAAATGGGTAGAATAACAGGAGGATCACCAGAGGAGATCGTTGCAAGAATCTCTCCTACTTTTAACGGAATAATCAAGTCTTAGTACCCAAATCACTGCTTGTGAATTCAGAAATATTTAGCTTTTAAAATTCTTTAGAGTAAAATTCTTAATATTTAAACAACTATATCTTAGAATATATTACAGTTATAAGTTACACATTGCTCTCAAAAATTATATAATTATAATCTGCAAAAAAAGTAAGCATTATTTAGAAGGTATTTAGAAAAGAACAGGAAAAATAAGAAATTATTATTTCAAAATGATGGTGCTTCTCTCAGCGGAAGGAATCACAAAACTTCAATTTTCCAACACTGTGCCAACCTAGAATATATATATAAACTACCCTATATTTTGTAATCATTAAAAACAATTTGATCTGACTTTTAACTACGATTGGTTAGCTGCAAAAATGGTGATATCGATATAGAAGGTAATATGTTTGAACAGGTAGAGAAGTTTAAATATCTAGGGTCTATAATAACTAGAAAAAACTAAATTGAAGAGGAGATTAAGGTTAGGCTGAAGGCGGGAAATGCTTGTTATTTTTCTGTGACAAAACTACTTAGCTCGCGCATCTTATCCCAGAATTTAAAGACTAGAATCTATAAAACCATTACCCTACTATTTATTATGGCAAAACGTGGCCACTTACATTAAAGGTGGCCGCAACGCCTTAAGGTTTTTGAAAATAAAGTATTGCATAGAATATTCGGACCGAAGAAAGATGAGTTAACCGGAGAGCTCAGAAAGTTGCATAACGGCGAGTAGCGTGAAGTGTATCCAGTTAATATAATTGAGCTGATTACATCATCTCGAATCGAATGGGATTGTAAAATTGTTGGGCTTAGTAACGAAAGAATTCTTAAAAGGTCGATATTTGCTGTACCGAATGGTAAACATCTGAGGGGTAGACCGAAGGGAAGGTGGGAAGATTGTGTTAGAGCCGATCTGAAGGGAGTGGGTTTGGTGGTGAAAGGTGGAGGGAGGTGTGCAATAAGCGATTGGTGTTGGCATCGAACCTTCGAGTTCGCTAAGCCTTTTATTATTATTATTATTAACTTAATTTTGAAATTCTTAAAAAGTCCTTAATCTGTTAACCGGAGAATTCCATTTCTAATTATACAGTATATAACAGGTGCGAACTCTTTCAGTAGGACGTGTCAGTACATCACCCCTGGAGGACGTAATTTCATATTATTATTTTTTTTTTTTACTCATGCTTGAAATAAATGAAGACAAATTTTATACATTTTTTTTAGCCTAATACCTTTGTTTCTTTGAAAAAATACGTTCCACCCGTTCCGGGACACAACACATATTTCAAGGGCATATTTATTTATCCGTCCCGTCTGGTTAACAGGTAACAAAGATATCTTAGTTAATAGAGTTAGAGTGAAAGTTATAGACATAATTACTATTGCCATGAAGTGTGTGAGCTTAAAGATCAAGCGTTGCCATACATGTGATGAGGAATTATAATCAGACTATTGTATTATCATATTTGATTCAACTGTTAATAGTGTGACTAAATCTGTGCATAAAAACACAGAATGTATAAATTGGGATAATTTACAAAGGTCTAACTTGCTTAGACTCTATAATAGTTAACTGTTAAATTTAGAGGTCACTGGCAGAACTTCAGAGGCTGGTATATGAGAATGGACAAAGCCAGAGAGGTGATTTCCATATCATAGGTGGTCATATATCAGTTCTATTAAGTTGAGGAAATAGCAATTAACGTCTGCACCCAAAATATAATAGAAGAGGAGTCAATTTTGGTATTTATAGATAGCCAAGAGACTATTAGTGCTTTAAGAGGCTTTGTCTATTAAAAACGTCTGCCAAGTAAAGTCAGTATAGATTCCTCACCGTTTTCATCGGCTAACAATATCTATATTTCAAGATTATAATTTTTCGTATGAGAATAAAATCTCCGGGAGAAGCCGTTTTCGGAAATACAGTTATTCCTCAATATTCGTGGGTTTGATATTAATGAATTTTGTTCATCAACAAATTTGATTCAAATCAAAATTTGACACAAATTACATATTTGATGATTCGTGATTAGGAAAAAAAAACAAAAAAAAACAGCACATAATGAACATGCATATCGCTACTGTTAGTACAAAAGGCCCTATGTAAATATTGAATATTTTACAGGAGAGCATAAAAACAAACTATTTCTTTATGATTTATTAGTATAAGTTCATATTTTATTGCCCTATGATATTTTCCATAGCAGCAGATTACCTATATCAGTTGCAAACTACAAAATGTCACCTTTAGCACATAGAATAAAAATGAAAAATCTTTTGCACAAACAGTAGTGATATATGCTTAATAGATATGTTTTCACTCATAAAATGGTTGGAACGAAGAATCCATTAGAAAATCTGAACTTTTTGTTTATTCGGAGTTAACAAGATTAATATTTTCCTTCAGTCAGAACAAAAATAATTGAAGTTGAAATATAAAAATATGAGAGAAGTTTACTACACAACTTTGATGTTTAAGGAGGAAATCGAGGTCACCATGACCTGATTGAACTTCAATATAATAATAAACTATTGAAACTCACAAATAATTTTTTTAAACTTACAAATTCAGAGTAAAAATTAATAAATTTACAGAAAATTACAAAGAAATCTAAGTAACGGCAGAAAGTGTCATGTCAGTAACATTTTTTTTTTTTTTTCTTCCCTACCTCGCCTTTTAGGCTATACGGGATTTTCCCGGGCCGGGGGGGGTGAGGGCGGGGAATTCTAAAAATCCCCTCCGGCACCGGGACGCGAACTCGTATTTTTTATATCATCTCAAATCTCTGTTATCCGGTTGCCAGGCAACTAGCGGTGCTGTGCACACGCTTTAGCCTATTCGGCCACCCCGCCCCCGTCATGTCAGTAACATTTGGAATCAATCAAACAATGCGGTATAAATTAATTTTTAGAATAAAATCTAAAATTTTATAACCTCATTTTGTATTAAAATAATCCCTCATATTGTATTAACCTTGCACATGCCATAGTTCCAGAAGTGGAACATAATAAACAATTTTTATGGCTCACTTAATCATTATTTTTTTGCAAAAACAATTTTTTTCAATCAAAACAAAGGTTGAAAATATTTTTTTTTTTTAATTTTTCGATAAAGATTTTATCACTTTTAGTTTGATAAATAAAAAGTTAAAGTTTCTGATTTTTAGTGTCGAGAGGTGTATTGATTATCTTTTTTTTGTTTTAATACTATAGCTATGAAATTTAATTTAAATATTGATTGTGATAGATTACTAAAAATAATGCATTTTAGGAAATGTAAATAAAAAAATTGTAAGAATCAGTTTTACTAATTTTAATTTTAATGTTCCACATATGGAAATGTTCATTCTATTCATTGTTTCCTACCTTGTTTTCATAGTACAAAACTGCACATGAAAATTCATAGAACTACTAATTGCTATTTTAAGATTTTCAATTTTTTGTATAATTCCTTACTGATAGAGAAATTTTTTTTTTAGTTGCTAAGAACATATACTATTGGAAATACTACGCCAAATATCCTTTGGTGTTAGTTTTCTCAGTCATTACTGTGTTCTTCTTGTGTGTTTCTTACTCACATTTTATAATAATTAGGTAATGCGGTCTTTACTGCAGAAAGATGGACCGCTGACTGGGTGAAAGACTTCCATCCCTTCTAACAGGCGTAAGGCAGATGGACATTATATCATTTCGGCTTCCCAAGGAAGTGTGACACCAATACAAAATATCGATTCATATTGATTGTTTTCCCTAATATCACGGTTTGTAAATCGTACATTAGCATAACAAATTTTTTTTTTATTCTGTATTCTTACATATGCATTTTCTATTATTTTACAGCCAATTATAGTGTTTTACTATAATATAGTAATAACTTTTTATCAATATTATTAAAAACAACATTATTCTTGTATTGTATATTGTAATAAAACTATTAAGAAAAAAAATTGTTGTATAACATGAACCTGCCATTGTTCCATATTATGGAACAAGTTGAAAAAGCACAAAGGACATTTTTTTAAAGATATATTTTTTGGAACTATCTAAACTGAACCATATTGATACCAATATTACAGAAAAAAAATTTTCTACTGGAATTATGGGGCAGGATGTAAAAGGTTAAAATAACCCCCATCCATATGATCGATACCTTCCACATTTTACAGCTATTATATTGTTAGCAGTTATTTTTATTAATTTCAATTATTAAATGGAATTAAATTAAATTGATACTAGGCAATGTCTATCCTATTTTCCAAAGTTCCTCCAAGTTTGGATCAAATCGACTGAGCCGTTTTCAAACTATAGGCATGTCAAATAATACGTTTACTGATCCAAAAGTGGAAGTATGTTTTTTAAAGAAGTAGACAGAATTTGATAAAATCAATAAATACTTCATTTTCTGTTTACCAATCCCTTACTTCCCCCCCCCCCCCGAATTTGGGCCAAATCAAACGTGCGGTTTAAGAGATATCGATTTTTGCGCATAAGGGGAAGAGAGGACAGAATTTAATAAAATTGATACTACATTTTTTTTTTATTTACTAATACCTACCTTTAGTCCAACTTTGAGCCAAATCGAACGAGACAAAACAACAAAATGCATTTGCAGGTGCATAAGTGGAAGTGCTGGATGGAATTTGATAAAATTTATATAGAACCATCTAGACACTAACCCGCACAATCCCTGATAATTTCATGAAAATCGAATATGAAAATAAAATGATAGTAGATGATACACCCGTTACATCGATTTGACAACAAACAGACAGATACCGAAACAAATTTGATCCTTGATGAAACGTAAAATGCGAGTGGAAATTATCGTTTCTGAGCACAACATTTTTTTTTAACCTCTCCCACGAATACATAGCTTCCCTACTTTCAGTAGTGAGGAAGCAAAATAAGGTTTATTGATCCATGACTATATTATGATTTACAAACAGATTCAAACATTATTTACTTCAGATAAAGTTTTATAACATAAACAATTACCTGTTTTTGTTGGATAGCATTTTAACGTAATGATCCCATCGAGAACTGTCTTTTACAACACTATCTCTATAATTTTCCAATTGGCCAGCAATCAATGATATAGTCAAAGGATGGCCTAAAAGTAAAATGAAACAAAAAAAATATTGAATTCAAGAGAAGAAGCACATAAAAAAATATAAAATCCCAACACTTAATTTTAGAAAAGAAGTCAAACTTGAAAGCAGAAAATCAGCAACTCATCAAATCTGACCAGTACTAAACAAATTATTCACTTAGAATCTTAAATGAACCTCCCAAGATTGCTTTTATGTTTTCCAATTTTCACCAAAGGTAAAGAATTCATGTAAATCTTTAAAATATTGGTTTATTATATCATTGAGGCTTCTCATAGTTCCATACAGGAAAGACACAAACATTGCTGAGGAAGGTCTACTAGAAGTCACAAACAACGGGCTGTTAGAAGTCGACAAACTTCTTTAACAAGCTATGATTTATTACTTAATAACCAGAAAATACCACCATCCATTGAAATTTTAAATGATATTATAGTATTTCTTATCTTAACAACTAATTTCAATGTCTTTATGTGAATTTATAAACCAGATAAATAATTTTGAACCAGATGAAGATATTCTGAATAATGATCCTTCACACTACCTCCATGATCAGATTTTACTATTTAAGAACTTATGAACATGAAAAAACAGAACTTGGGATTAATATAACACTACTCATTGCTTATATCAATCAAAGCCAAACAACTGAAATGTTTTCTTCTACATATTAATAAAACACATAAGATTAATAATAAAAAAAAATTAAATGCAAACCTTTTGTATACTGGTGGATATCTGAAGCTTGCCTGGGCAATGCAATGTCTTTAATGTGTAAACTTTTTGAAAACAGCTCAAGAGTTTCATCTAAGTTAAAGCCTTCATCTACCTATAACCAAGAAAAACTCAAAAGCTACTCTATATAAATGGTTCTGGTTTTTCATACTATAGATAGATTAATAGAATAATTAGTAATAAATATAGTGTGATATAGAAATTGAATATGAACAGATGATGGTTGAAAGCGGGAAATGCTTGTTACTTTTCGGTGACGAAACATGTTAACTCGTGCCTCCTGTCGGGAAACTTAAAAATCAGAATTCACAAAACCATTATTCTACATACAGTTCTTAATGGATACTACACATGGCCACTTACATTAAGGTATGTGCAATGTCTTAATGTGCTTAAAGACAAAGTATTGCATAGAATATTTGGAACAAAGAAGGATGAGTCAACTGGAGAATTTAGACAGTAACAGAACGCCAAATTATGTGAACTGTATCCCGGTTGAGGTGATCATATCGCAGCAAATAAAATGGGCTCGTATAATTGTTGGGCTTAGTATTGAAAGAATCCCTGAAAAGTAAATAAGTGCTGTAACTACTGTTAAACAGCCAAGGGGTAGACAGAAGTGAAGGTGGGGAGATTGTATTAGGCTGATCTGAGGAGGGAGGTGTGTAGACAGTGTTTGGTGGTGTTGGCATCGAACCTTTGGGTTCCCTAAGCCTTATATTATTATTAGAATTGAATGTGAAGTACCAAAGAACATATCGATTCACTCCCTTCATATTGTTTTGAATTTCTCTACATACTGAAAATTAATTTAATAGTTCCTATGACTTACTGAACTAAACTAAATTATTGAAATTATCTTTTTGTTATTTCACTGTCTATAAAACGTCAAAATCAATTTTTTTTTTTTTCATTCGGAACATTACTACAAAAGTACTGGTCCTGCTACTGGTGAGAGAACTAGTTAGGGAAGTGGGGTTTTTTTTTTTCACCAAACCCTGACATCTACTTTGAAGTTGCAGTCGCATACTTTCCAAAGTAGGAATGTCAAGATTCATTTCCCGGGGAGTCCAGAAATAAACATTAACGGGTTCAGGTGAGAATCCAATCCACAAGAATTAGAACCGGGCAGTCTGGAACCCACTCCCCAACTATCTCGTCATCTATTACAAAAGTAGAGAGAGCAACTAGAAAAATATTCTCATCTTTCATAGATTTACAAGTTTTGTTTTTCTATGGGACCAAATTGAATTAAATCAATTCATCCTTATGCTAGACATTTCGGATATATTGCTAAAAAATTTTTCTTTCTAAAATTAATAACATATTTACTAAACATACAATATACTTGAAATGTGCATTGCTACAATTAGCTATTAGGACAATGAAAATAGAAATGAATATATATTGAAAAATAATGATTTAATAAATAAAAGAATTAATAAAAAATATGATGAATTAAAGTAAATTTCTCAGTAACTGCACAAATATATTACATACTTACCAAAAATAAAGGGAATGCATGAAACATAATAAAAATAGAGTACATATTGTAAGGACATATCAAGTTTCAAAATAAATGTAATGTATTTTGTTTTAATTACAAACATAATATAATATAAGGGAATGGAAATAGACAATTTATGCACAACAATATTATGTTTACATTTAATTATTTATAAAACTAGTAGGCCCATGCGAACAATTTGTACAGCACATTGTTAAGTGATCAAATGCCAAATTAATAAGAAAATAAAATAATGCAACATATCAAAAGATAAAGAAATCAATTGTTACTTAATCGATAAATATAATCGACAAAGGAAACAAAAATTAATTTAAAACTTCATTAATGTTTGGAACCAACATGTTTACAAATTTCAATAAGCTGTATCTTTGCTAAAAATTGTCCGATTTTGATGATTTTTTAATGTATTTAGTAATCTTTTATATAATCATGGAAATAACCAAGGAAAAAGTGTGTAATTTTTTAGTTATTTGCAAATAAAATTTCTTTTCTTTCATAACTTGTTTGCCTGAATTTCGGGGTGATTGGACTATTTTGCCCGCCTGAAGGAGAAGGAAGCCTTCAAAATTGTAGGCTCAATCTTGAGATTTGTTGAAGAATTAATGATGACATGATTTGCCGATTAAAAACCATCGGTAAATAATATAAACTTCTCTCTCAATCATAGAGGCCTGAAGTCGACGAAATGAGACATTTATTCAATGACAATACTACAAACAATTAACGTAAGATTGTGTGGATGCGAACCATATGCCTTGCGTTATCTCGAAAATAGTACGTTTTGGGGCTTAAAAATGCAGGACCTGATAGTTCCGAAGGGGCCCTCAGACACAGACTAAATATTTTTTGACCGAGTATCACAAAAAAAATTTAATTGAAATCGGTGACCTCATGTTTGTAACCTCTCCTTGTAAGTAAGAAATGGAAATTTTCAAAAAGTTAATGAAAATTAAAGAACTTATTATGACTAATACGAAATGTAATGAAGTATAGTGGTGTAAACAATTTTATTCATATAGAAAATAAAAACTAAATAATGTATGAAAATTTCAATAGAAAGTTACCTTAATACAATGAACAAGAGATTCAATCTGATTTCCAATGACACCCTTATCTTCAGTAATAACAAGAAACTTTGCACCAATCGCAAAACAGTCTAGCACCATTTTGTCCTTAACATCATCAAGAACAATTAGATTGTCACATAAACCCTTTTCAATCAACCTATTTAAGAAAAAAAAAATATCACTCCATGAAGATTGAGAAATTACATAATTAATAAAATCTACTTATAATAGAAAAACAAATATCAAATAATAATGGTCCCAGGAATGAATATAAACTTTAAAATATAATATATTACTAATTGTTTATTTAACTTTTATATTATTATTGATTTATTTAACAGTCACACTGAAGATTAAAGATTTCTTTTTTCAATATTGATTTCATGCATATTCAAAAATACAAACCAATAACTTAAAACCTTATAACATCATTATCTTAAAATTCAACAGGATATATTTATTGATCATGAGGTAAAAAAATATACCTCTTTTTTTTTTTGTATCTGAATACTTTTAGGTTTTGCAAATACAGGCTGTTACAGTGTTGCTGTCAATACTAAGTTTAAGAATATTGTCTAAAAAATTCATTTTATACATACCAATGACAAAAAGATTTAAATGACATCACAGGATCTTCCAAAACAACTGTTTCATGCCTACATAACTACAGTACTTAAATGAATGTTTTTCAACATAAAAAAATACTTATGTTGCATTGCATTCAAATACTTGAATTGCATATATAACAGATGCTTGATGATTAAACGGTTAATCATGAAACATGCCTAAAATACTGCTCCTTTCTACCAGATGTCCCATAAAACTTGATTTTCGTTTCATTTACAATTTGAATAATTCCATTATTAAACACAAATAATGCCGAATGGTAGGAAACTTGAACATTTAAAATAATATACTTTTTAAATTATTAAATTGGTCTAAAATAGTGTACTTTTTGAATTGATAAATTGATTTAAAATAGTGTACTTTTTAAATTGATAATTATTTAAAAACAAGCAATGCATACATTTTAGTAAGCTGAATAGTAGCTAAATGTGATGAAGGAGAGAGTTGTATTGGATCTGGAAATCTTTCATTTAACTGCTGTTGAAGAAATCCTAAATCTTCTTTACCAACTTTTCCGACAGTCAACCAATACACGGAACCCTGAAAAAAGAAAACAAAGTATTAGAATGATATATCACAGCAAAAAAAAAAAAAAAAAAAAATGCTGAGAGTGGAATGGTCATCCCACTAGATTAATTCATTGTTATAAAATATAAATGACATAAATAACTAAATAGCCATTTAGCAACCTAGCAGATTAGACACCTGATCTGATTTGTAATAAAGCAGCACCGATGATTAACATAAAATTAAAAAAAAAAATAATCGCCTGAAAATACTACCTCAACAACAGGATCTATGTAGGAAGAGAAATCGTTCCTGAGAGTAGAAAGAACCAATAACAATAACAATTCAATCAATAACATTAATGTGGAATAATCATCAGAAATAGACCAGCGTATAACTAGTGTAAACATAACTTCTTTTTTCTCTCATTAAACGGTAATAAAGATTTTTATAAATGTAAAATAGGATGTACAAAGACTTTGAACACTGAACACTGATGTAGAAAGACCTGAACACTAACCAGCATCCTTGAAAGAAGTAATATATTAAATGATTTAAGACGAAAATCTCCCAAAAGATAACTGGAGCCATCTAGGATAACAGTACTAATGCATGGAGAAGGACCAATAGAGAACTACTTGCAGAAACCGATCAATATCTCATGATATGAAGGCAAAGTGATTAAGATAGGCATTGCATGTAGCTCGGAGCAATTCATCATGAAGCCTATAACAACAATGATCGTTTTATTAGTAGGCAATACCATGTGAAATGCCAAACACTAGATGGGTAGGGGACAGGTCATTTGGATGGGGATGAATACACATTCTAAAAATACATAAATATATGTATTTATTAATAAAAGGATATAAATTAAAATCAATCAATTTTAAGATTATAACTGGGCAAAATTTTATCTGGTATATATAATGCAACAAAAATTATTCAAGATTCTTTTCCATCATTGCTTTAAAAATAACTGGGTTATGATCAATTTTAAGTCTTTTGACCTATTTTTGTCCATCAAGGATGCCACCATTTGTTTTTAGGAGACAAGGGCGCCACAAAATTTTTGTACCCTGACAAGGGTGAGGAAAAAAATTCTGAGAACCACTTCTCTAAATACTTTGCAAGTTACAATTCTAACCATTCATAATATTAATTTTAAAGCTATTACATATTATGTTAGATTAAGGTATCCAGTTATTAACAACAAATCAACGACACATTTTTGTAATACAAACCTTAAAGTAAGTTTTGATCAATTCATAATCACTAAGTGCAGCGGCAGCAAGTGTAGTTTTTCCACAACCTAACATTCCATGAAGAACAGTATATTCTCCTTTATTAAGTTTCTTGAGAGAATTTTTTAATTTGCTAAGCTAAAAAATACATGAGATTAAAATTTTAAATAATTTTTACATTGTAACTGGAAATTCGTCAGGTAAAATATATATATATAAAAAAATTATACTTTAATTCATTTAATTTGTATTGAATTAATTAATAATGCAATACGTTAAGGTTAACACATAACATGATAAAAGTATTTAAAGAGAAGGATGTGAAGAAATTTTAAAACTAATAAGGCTTGAAACTGAAATAGCCTGTTAAAAAATTATTTTATAAACTAAATATCTAACAACAATTTTATATCAGCAAAACTGAATACTGGGTTGTCCAGAAAATAATGCAGAATTTTGGTTTAAAAAGAAAGATTTACAACTGTTTTAGAAAATCAAAATAGTCTCCACTACTATCAATACGTATCTGCCAACGTGTTGGCAAATTTTCCATTCCCTCGGAATAGAATTTCCCATCTTTAGAATTGATAAACTCCAAAAACGCATTTTTTAATTCCATTTGTCCATTAAATTTTTTGCCATGTAAGTAGTGGTCCAGGTGTCTAAAAAAATGATAATCCGCAGGAGAGAGGTCCGGAGAGTTTCATATCCAAGCTCCAACAGTTTTTGTGAAGTGACTAGTGAGACATGTGGCATTGTCAAGCAACAAAATGGGTTCCTTCCGATTGGGCAAAGATGGCTTCATTCCTGCCAATTTCTGATGCATTGCAAGTTTAAAAAAGTTATAACAGAAGCTTTTATATGTAACTTGGTTATTTCTATCATTATTAAATTCTTGTACTTAGTTTTATTTATATCTCCAAGCCACATTATTTATTTTCATTCATTTAGTTATCTGTGCTGGAAAATGGCAGAACCTTAATGGTCAAGACAGATGTTCATCTGAATTTAACATTCTACGAATTTGTGATCATGTGATCTTGATCCACACGTCATCCAGAAGTAACAGTTTAATATTAGCATGGTTTGTTTATCTATTTAGATAAGTGTTGTGTTGTGAGCAAGAGCCAAAAATTGTGATATAAATAATTAAATTAAGGCCCCCATATCTAAATGATAGTTGTTTTCTAATGAAAAGAGGTTTGTATATCTCTGATAAGCGAATTCATGTCAACAGACCATATCTAAATAAGGTAAGATTACATCTGTGAACTTGCATTTCCTCTATTCATCCATCATGATGAAGTGGCACTTGTCAAACGGTACAAGGAATAAAACTAGAAATATATACTTATAGGTTTCACTACTGAAGGAATTCCAAATTTATATTTTTTACTTTAACTGAACATATCAAACTTAATACAAACCAGATCTGTTCGTTCAACCATCCGTTGGGGTAAATTAGGTATTCCACCTAGCATTTTCACTTCATAAAATGGTTCAGTTCTTCTATATTTTTCAATTGTATTGCTGAGATTGCTATATAACCATGGGTAATACAAATGTAAACTTTCAATAAAGATGATAAGTTCCTTGGTTGATTTCTTAATAATTGTGTGTAGAAAGTGTTCAATCATTTGCTGATCACTGCCCTGAAATGATCACAGAATAAAGGTTGAAGTAATTCCAATTAACAAAAATTTAAAGAATTTCAATCAAATTCTAAACAATGTTAGAAGAGAGAATTTTTTCAAAAGCAATTAAACTATATGAATGAATTCATGGGAAATACAAAATAAAATTCTCCTTTAATTACGTAAACTAGGCAAATGAATTCAGTTAATGGATGTCATTACAAAAAAAAAAACAACTTACAAGACTGTTTATCGTTTCAAATTCATCTTCTGTTAAAATAGATTTGCTTTCCAAGATAACATCCTCTTGCAAATCTTGAATTAAACTATTCCAGTTATCATTGATCACTTGTCTACTTAACGAAGACATTATGTATATTGCACTAATATAAATATTATTATATGAAAACGTAATTAGTAGCTTATCAAGACAAATATTTGACAGATATGTATGTATATTTCAATATTTAAAAACTAAATATGATCTGTCTACAAATTCATTTCTTCCCTCCACAAGTGACAAACAAGTGGTTAGAACAGTGTTGCCAGATGACTTTCGATCGATAGATGTCTTCTCATTTTTTTGCGTTTGGACATTTCACAAACTATGGGAAAAAAAGATTTATAAATGGTTATTTCACTACGCTAGTATTTTTGTTTCTTATTTTTGCTATTTTCTATCTGCTGTCGATATCAAGAGAAATAAAATAAATAGTTTACTTTAGCAACAATGTCGCTATTAGTTAAATTAGACAATTTTCTTTTTGATACCTTATTGTAATGTCTAAACACACCTTTAAAGATAAAATCTTCAAAATCCAAAAAATACTGACTGTTAATTGTAACTGATAAGCTGCAAAAAGGTACTCTAAGTCATTTAGAGAGAGGGGAGGGGATATTTATGGAGCAAAAAATATAATCAGTTGGCTATTTTTCATTGTTCTGATAATGAGGATTTTCAGCTTTAAATTGATTTTTTTCTGATTCGTCTTTTTGTAGATATAATTCTAGGAATTAGAGGATATCAAGTTTATGAATACCTCATTTCTGAAAAGTTTAATACTATAGTATATGATGGGTGACCCCTTGTTCACAATGCTAATCTGTATATAATTGCATGTTGATCTTTATACAAGTATATATATATATTAACGCACTATTGTATATATTTTATTATAATGTTATTATTTGTTTTTTTCTCTCCTTCCTCGCCTTCCCTGCGTTTTTTTTTACCCTATACGTTTTTTTTCTCGGACCAGGGAAGAGGGTGGAAGCTTAATAGCAAAGTTAAAAGCCTATGGCACCGGAATTTGAATTTATAATATTTTTTCAGCTTACCAGACAACGCTTATTTTACAAACGCATAGCCCGCTCGGCCACCCTGTCCCTTTGTTATAATATATTTAGTTCTATAAACATATTTAAAAATAGTTTGAAACTCTTAGCAGCTTAACTTTAAGGACCACTCTGCCCATGTATAACTTCCTCCCTCCCGATCTTCTTTCATCCATGAATCATGAAGAAGTGAGTGAATTATTCTAATTTCCTTGAATTCGTTAATTCCTGAAGTATATTGTTTATTTGTTCAGAACATTCTAAATTATATATATATATATTAAAAAATAAATAAAATTGTGCTATAACTAATAACAAATGTCAACAAAAAATGTTACTAATCCAAAGGTGTATTTAGACATTTCACAAACTATGGGAAACAATTGTCTAATTTATCTAACAACGAAATTTTTACTAAACCAAACTATTTATTCAATTTCTATTGATACCGAAAAAAGATGTAAAATGTCAAAAGCAAGAAACTAAAATACTATATAGAGAAATAACCATTTATATATTTGTTTGTCCCGTAGTTTGTGAAATTTCTAAACACACCTTTAAAAGATCTGGACATTCCCCAAAAATCTAGGACGGATGATCACCTTATCCAAATCAGAAACCCCAAATTGGTCATTTTTCTCACTTTAAATCACTCTAAAGGGCCCCTTACTAGGTCAATATTATTGGAGCTATATAATTGAAGAAAATATATTGAAGGGAAGATCTTGCTTCAACTAAAGAGGGTTTTCAAAGGGGTAATCTTTCTTTTTTGTGGAAATGAATTTCCTACTACTTTAATTGCCTTGGCTTTAGCACAAAAATAAAATTAAAAAAAATGTGTTCTTTGTAATGTTTATTTTGTTGCTAGACATTAATATGTTTCTAGTTTCAAATAGGTTCTGTTCTTGTTTACTAATTATTTAATATTTAAAAATAAAGTTTTGTAATAAAAACAAAAATTTGTATTAAATTTTTTATATAAAAAAAGTTTTGAATAAAAAAGTAACTTCGAAAAAGTTAAATGGCACAAAATACTGCCATTTTGTATTTAAAAAAATTAAGGGGGGTTCTTCCTTCTCCCAAAAAAGTATCCCTCACCAACCCAAACGTATTACCATTATATCTTTTTAAAAAATCGAAGGGGAGGTTAAACTTTCCTCTTTCCAAAAAAATAATAAAAGTATAACTAAATATCACCCACCTACCCAAATATATTGTCATTTTGAAGTTAAAAAAAAAAAATCGGAGGTATCATCCAGGGGTTCTCAAGATCCGGATAAGTGGTTTAATATTGCTCAATATAGCCCTTACACGTGCAATTATATTGACACTATATCAATAATATTGAAGGAGTTTCAATAAAAAAATAAATAAAAAAGTTATATCAACCAGCTTGATTGACGTCAATATAATTGATGTCAATGTAGCCCCCACGGTCACTATTGGCGAAACTCGATATTGACCGTGTTAGGGGCCCTTTAATGTCAATGCATGCGATGCATAACCTGTTGGAGGGGATGCAGTAGATAAGCGGATATCCTGAAAAAACATTTTAACCAAAATTAAAAAATATATATACTTTTAAAGATGTATTTGGTATGTTAAAATGGGAGTTTGAAAATTATCGTAAGATAAATTAGTAATTAATGATTAAGAATAAACCTGATTATTTTTTTTTCTAAAGGGGGAAGGAGTGCACAGGAATAACACTTTCATTGGGGCGCAATCAACTTTAGTCACACAACCACTATTATATTTCATACAATCCACGTTAGTAACTTTATCAACCAAAAATATATCTAATGTTAAAAATAAAAACTTTCCGTATTACATTGAATATTTGTTTTCAATTTTTTGTCCATTTGTTTAAGCTCTCCTTTTTATAATGATTGATTTTTATTTTATTTCAGAATACCTTTTTAATTGCTTAGTGACTTATAAGAAATTTATCAGAGCAAGTGCTTTTCTAACATATATAGATAATAATGATTGTATTAGTTCATAGTAATAGTAGAGCTCTATTTCTCTTATAAACAGTTACTACAAACCTTTTGAATGTTTACGTAATCTAATGCTATACAGTCGGCAAAGGAAGAGTTTCTGTTATCGATCGTCGTGGAGTTGTGTAGTATAGTACCTGTTAGAGATGGCGAACCCAGCTGGAGTGCTGGAATTAAATGTTGGGGGGGTCCTTTACACCACCACATCTCAGAATTTGGAACCACTACTCTCCAGCTTAGATGAGAATCCGAAAGACGCTAAAGGAAGGATATTTATCGACAGAGATGGGGTGCTCTTCCGCTATGTTTTGGACTTTCTTCGTAACGGGTCTCTGGTTCTTCCTGATAATTTCCGAGAACGTGAAAGACTTCGGAGAGAAGCTTTATATTATGGTCTTGAAAATATGGCAGAATCACTTGCCCCAGCTACTCGTGGATATATCACCATAGGGTATCGAGGTAGTTTCCAATTTGGTCGAGATGGATTGACAGATGTCAAATTCCGCAAGATCAGTCGAATTTTAGTTTGTGGAAGGGTTCAACTGTGTAGAACAGTTTTTGGAGAATCATTAAATGAATCAAGAGATCCAGATCATGGAATACCTGATAGGTATACAGCAAGATTCTTCTTGAAACACAGTTCCATAGAACAAGCTTTTGATCAACTGCAAGAACATGGTTTTAGGATGACTGGAAGTTGTGGATCAGGAACTGCCGGAATGAGTTCTACCGATCTGAAACCTGGAGTGGATCAAGAAGAGAGCCGATGGAATCATTACAACGAATTTGTTTTTTCACGTGATTAGGTAAACAGCATATGCATGATATAAATTTCGGGGTCACACTAATGGTATTGATGAAATATAATATTTTGTTACCATGCCATTACTGATTTAGGCATTTAAAAGCTCCCATTCTTCCTGATATACAATCAATCATCTTCCTTACCAATAATTTCAACTTCTTCCGAGATAGGTATGATAGATAATAAATATGCTATAATTTTTAAATAAAGCATTTATTTGAGCAATCATGTATCACTCAGTATTTTTTGTCAAATTAATGCATCATTATAAACTGGATTTATGAATTTTATTTTTCAAATGCATATTTCATTAAATAACAATTATTTTGATATCAATGAAATTGAGTTTTTTTTGTTTTGTTTTTTATGATTTAATGGTATACTACATATCATGAATTATTACTGCTGATAATAAGATTTAAAACTAAATACTTAGTTTACTTCTTCATAAAAAAAAAAAAAATTGGATCAAAGTTTTAATTATAGCAGATTCAAAATAGGTATTTTTACTCTGAAACTTTAAGAAGTAGTTTGAAATGATTTTTTTATGTAGTATACAGATATACGCAGTGTGTTTGTTAAAACACATTTCTTTTTTCCTATAATAGTTTTTAGTCACTCTAAACTTTTCAATATATTAATCTTAAATGCTGCAATAGTTTAGTTATATAAAATTTAACCATGATTATTAAAATTCAGTAATCAGTCTTTGTTATGATTATTAAAATTCAGCAAAAAAAAAAATAAATAATCAGACTTGTTGATTGTTTTTCGATTTTAAATGACTAATCTTTACTTCAATTTTCTATAAAAGAAGGATAAAAGTGGCCTTCCTATTGATGGAATACCTCTTTTTTGTTGATTTTCACTCTTTTGATGCTGTTAGATTACATGAAATAGTAATAAATTAAATAAAAAAGTTCAAGCTTTAATTCTACAATTGGATCTATAACTTCATCAGCAACTTTTTGTGAAACTTACTTTATAGTTGAATTTATAGTGCATAAAAGTTCTTTGATACTGATTTATTATACTGAATATAATCTGAGATATAGAGGTTACTTCTAACTCCACAATTACTAAAAATTATGTTGTTTAGTTTTATTCAAGATTTCACGACAGATTATAAATACTGTTGATTATTTATGTGAACATATCTTAAAAATTGGACCGAACTATACATTGTGATAATGCAAATTGTTTCATTATTTTACATAAAATTATTGTATCCTCTTAAGTTAAGTGTGAAGAAGGGTGTAGTTCTTACTAGAACATAACAGATAATAAAAAAGTAAAAAAAAAAAAAAAAAAAAATGATTACTATATAAAATAGATTTTATGTAGTTATTTCATATTCTGACTGAGCATAAAATATTTCATTTATAATTCTGAAAGATTTATTGATAATTTTATTAATTATCAGGAATATTAGATTTTAGGATTGTATTTTATAGTAGGATGCACGATTCCATACTAAACATTCCAATCTCTTTTTAGTGAAAGGAGAGTAGTGTATTTTGTTGTTCCTTGATTAAAACTTTTAATCGAGTAATTAAAGTAAGAAAAATATATTAGCAGCGCTCCATACAATGCTGCATTCTGGCACTAAACATGTTTATCTTATCAAATTGGCCAATTGCTACATATTGAATTTTACTTTCACAAAAATTTGATCATTATAATTAGTTAACTATTAAGATTATTACTACGGGTATTGACCATAAGTATTATTAAAAAATGAGTGATCATATTGCAATTTGTTGGTCTAAGAAATGAAACAAAAATCTATATAGTTTAGAAATATTTTTAATCATTCATGTGTACATAGTGAGTCTTCTTTTAATAATGGACCATCAATATTCATATATATTATTTAGAAATAGTGATGTTAAGAATTAAATGGCTTTAGAATTTGTTATCATGTATTTTTGTGATGTAGCTGTAGTGATATTAAGATAATATAGAAGAACCATATTATTGACGAGATTTTTCTTCTAAAAAATAATACAATACTGTGTTTAGTATGCTTTTGGTGTCGTAAAATAAATCATGGTATTGAAAAAAATTGAAAATTCAATCTAGGTACATATTAGGATATTAAAGTAGGCTGTCTCCGTAAAAGCATGTTTTTGAAAATTTTAAACACTAACTTTCAAATGTTGGTTCAATGGCAAATCACAAAGCAACAAGGAATCGATTGTGACCATTTTTTATTATTTATTTATTAAGTTCCATTAGCATAAAGAATCTACTCATCAATTTTATTTTATAAACTGTTTCTATTTATCATTATGGGAACAATTATGATTAGATTTCTGTACTGATAAAATCAAAGTATCTTAAGCTGCATTATTAATTATGAAATTCATTATTAATTATACTTGTAATTTTGCCAAATAATATATTTATTTTTATCAATCTAAAAATATGATTATTTTTATATGAAAAAAAATTACGAGTTTATAAAAATTAAGTTAAGTAAATTTGTTTCAATCTAGAGATTCCAATTGCGAATAATCAAGTACAATCTCAGAAAATTGAGCATTATTCACTCAAGGACAGTGTATTTACTATTTATTAACCTTTAGCTAATAATTTACACCCATAAAAAAAATGTACACAGTCTATTCTTACAATATTTCTTCAAATCATATCTGATTTATTAGTGGTAATTTGAAGCTATTCACATATGTTTTCCTCTTCAATATGAGGCATTTAAAAATAAAAATCATATAATCAATTAATTTATTTTAGAAGAAATATGATTAATTAAAAAGGGTAAATAAACAAAATTCATAATGGATTAATGATTATATGTTAGAATAATCTATCTGTGAACAATCTATAGTCTGTAAAATCATAGTTTTTATGGTTTAATTTAATTTTAAAAATAATAAAATAAGATAAAACTATATGTGTTGAAATTAATGAATGTAACTTAATAAATGTTGAAATAAAAGAGTGTTGTTTCCACTATTAATTTTATTACATTCACCTTTATGATTAGATACATTTTCATTTATTTATTTCATACATCTAAATAATTTAATATTAATTTGATTAAAGATGCAACATTTTTTGTGTATTCTAAACAGAATAAAAAGGATGAATGAAGATTTACTGTATAACACATCATCATTTGAAAACAACTGTGTTTTACAGGATACGAGTAATGAAAAAAGTAAAAATTGAAATGGGGACAGGATGGCTGAGCAGTCTAACACGTAAGCCAAACACACATTACCCAGCAACCAGATGATAAATAAAAGTTTACATGACATTAAATAATTACGAATGGACAAAAAGTTAAATTACAATGGGATTTTATTATTAATGCTGAAAAATACTAGAAAATAATGGCGTTTATAAAAACTAATTAAAAATAATTGATTCATCGATCTCAGGATAACTTTTATAAGTTGTTAAAATAAGCTAGAAAATTCCAGGACAATTACTATAACAGTGACTAATAAAGATTTAGTGCAGATTATATGGAAAATAAGATGAAAAAATTAATTGATAAATATAATAATGATAAGGCAGACGCTCTCATTCAGATCTATATTAGTTAACTGTAGTTTTAAAAAAAGAATCAGCCATCTGTTTGGCAAGCTACTGAAACAAGTAACATACATAGCTTGATACATAATATAGTTTTTTTTTTTTTTACAAAATTTCTAAATTTCATTATTAGCATTGTGCTTTTTGAGATTAATAATGTTTTTTAATATTATTATTTATTTATACTTCTGTGAATTATGTTTTCATATTAATTAAATTTATTTATTATTAAATGCTTCCCCCCTATGTTTAGTATATTATTTTATTATATATTACATTATTTATAAAGTTTTAAATTTAAAAGTTGACAAATTCAAACTACCATCTTTACTCTGATTATTTATTTTTCCATCAAAATAATTTATACATTACATTAAAATAAATTACATGTAGAATGCCTGTAAATAAATCAGCCTTTTTTTTCACGACAGTATAATTAAAAAAAAAAATGCTTAAGAAGTAAGTAAAAAATATATGATATCAAAAATCTTTGAAACCTCAAAAAGTACAAATGTTTAAAATATAGAACAAAAAAAAAATCACTAATAACAAACTTTTTTAATGAAAGAAATATTTTTATTAAATCAAATAACTAAATCATTCTAAAAAAAAGATATCATTAGGAACTATATTCACAATGATATGTCAGGAAACGTTTTATTCAACACTATTTTATGAATACACCATCCCGAAAATTTAGAAGTTTTGGGCTTTGCAGATTTATCACAAGTTGCATCGAGTCGATTTTTTGAAGAACTCCTACATCCAACAAATCTCATAGCAAAGTATAACAAATTAGAAAGCTGGACCAAAAATAAGTTACAAATTTCTATGAAACATACAAATATTTTATCTTTTCTTGTAAAAGGAAAATCCACGATCAGAAGTTAAAATCAAATGAACATTATGGAATATGGAGATATTCTAAAATTTAAGACTTTTTTTCCAAATAGAAAACCAAATTGGAAATACTACTTTGACGAAATAGTAAAAACCACAAAATTAACAAACTTTAAAGCCAATAAGAAAAACTTTCTTAAGGCTATATTCTACAATCTTAAAAATAGGAGTGTTATTGTCATAACTACTGTATGAAATTCCAGATAGAAAGTAAAAAAAAAAGGCCTAGAAATTGATGGGGAATAAAAATGTATTAAGTTTTTAAAACTTTCTACCTAAATGAAACATGTATATAGGCTGAAATACTTACTATACAACTTAAAAAATATATAAAAATAAATTTATCCATAACAAACTCACACAGTGATCAATGCAGACCTAAAGATTCATTTTTATTTCCTTTGAAAGAAGAAACATATTGAGATGTTTCTAAATTGTTTTTTTTTTAGATTTCACTAAAATTTACCTATTTTGTTCTCTGAGCATTGAGCTGATGGATGATATTCCATCACAATCATTTTTGAAATCTCCTAAACCAGC